ATCAAAATGCAGATGCGTTGTCACCCGTGAGGACTAAGATGGAATGCCTCTTTTCCAGTAAAAAGGGTCTCCGGTTCTCTACACTCACCATACGAAACACAGCAGCATTAAGCTGCTATTTTACGCTGGTATTCTGTGAGAGCGTGGTCCTTCCCCGGTCGAGCCGAACCATTCGTGCTACAACTATACTACTAATATAGCTGCAGCATGGCTCTACCACGTGTAAAATGTTTATGTTAAATTCCTACCGTAAAACTGGCGCCATTTTATAATGTCATTGTCATCGTCAGTAGGCATGTCGATTCTTTCCGAAAAAGATAGATTTTTAAATCGATTCGAATTGTAAGCTGTATCGATTCATAAAAAATCGATTTCTAAAATATAGATATATTTTCCTATTTGCATTTATAAGATACCATAATAAATGATCTCTTATGGAAAAAAGAAAGATAATACAATAAATGATCTCTTATCAGTAAAATTAGTTTTAATGGCGATTTTCAAGGGTGAAATATCGATTCATTGGATCGATTCTGTACTGCATACCGATTTAAAAAAAAAACGATATTTTGGGCCTGAAAAATCGATCTCATATCGAAGAAAAAAAAAATAAAAATAGAACATAAAGATGTCTTCGAAGAATTAATTAAGGCTATACAATATGTTTATAAAATTGATTAATAAATTATTAATTATATCTGATTTATTTATTTTAACAGCACCTATTAGGGCATATAATAAATAAAATAGGTTAGGTTCTACTTATATCAAAGAACCAAATTGAATGACCCCGACTCCACCTGGTACGAGTCTGTCCTACCCCTAGAGTGGTTATAGAGCCGGAGGCGGGAGTAGTTCCGAACTCGTCCGATGCCTACGATTTATTACGCAAAGGCGTAGAGGCTGCTCTTCCCGCAGCGCCGGAGACGTTGCAGTCTCAAAATAGATACAGAAATAAACCCCCCCTCCCCCCTCAATTCGACGAATGTCAATGGAAATTCGTAATAAAATAGATTCAGAAGGGCTAGAACCCAGAGCCGTAAAGCCAATTAAAAAAAAAACAAAAATATTGTAAAAATAAGTGACTTTTTAAATAAAAAAAAATTTCAATAATTTATTTTTCAAAAAGTACGTGTTTCCGCATATTGAAACTGTATGTGTGCTTATTAAAATGTAACCTTTCTTTTATTAAAAACCAACTTCTCAATTAAATGATTATGTGTAACAAAAACTTTACCTCAGTGTCAACTAGCGACATCTGGTGAGCAGAAAATTATTAGCCCTCATTTACAAAAAATCGAAACAAAATTTACTTCAAATATATAAGTAAAATACACGCAATGTCTCTTTTGATTTAGATATAAGGGTGAATGGTGCGAAATAGTGAAAAGAAATTTTATGAATAGCATGTTTACGCAATTTATGCTCCTTAACCACTTAGGGCCGGCTTGTTTCGTACCTATAAGTTTGCTTTTTTGATTGACAAGTTCCCGACCCAGTCGGATGGCACGTGCATTAAGTACCTACGCAGAATTCGGTTCAACCGGTTGCGTGGTTATGTGGGACTCACTAAGAAATGCCTACCCACTACACACCACTTGTGGGACTGGCTTTGTGTACTGTTACTGGCCTGTATGGCCTCTTCGCCGCATCAGAAGTGACTCCCCTTAGGGAAGGGGCGAAGGCGCGGGGATGGGAGCGCGGTTCAACTAACACAGCTGGACGGGGGTGGGGGGGGGGGGCAGAGGATTGACAATGTGAGAGTCGCATGAGCGAGAATGCACTCACCGTACGGGGACGGCGAGCACGGTTTGCTAACGCAACTGCACGGGGGCGGCAGTGCTAGCGAAGGCGGGAAGGGGGAAGGTACACACCGTACGGGGACGGCGAGCGCGGACAGCTAAAGCAACCGCATGGGGGCGGCGGCGCTAGCGAAGGCGGGAAGGGGGAAGGCACTCACCGTACGCGGACGGCGAGCGCGGACAGCTAACACAACCGCACGTTCTATTGACTGACGTTCTATTCCTCGACTGAACTGACCGAGCAATTCCCGTACGTAGCTAGCGGACCCCGCCAGCGCACGACCGCACGGGGGTGACGGCGCAAGTGGAATGCATTCAGCCTTTATTTTGCGCCTAATACAAGGCTACCCACTGGGAGCGGGGGAGGAAGGTGGTGAATGCTCATAGCATACCATGCAGCCGGCTGCGTGCTTATGTGAGATTCACTAAGAAGTGCCTACCTACTGAACACCACCTGTGGAACTGGCTCTAGCCTGTATGGCCTCTTCGCCGCATCGGAAGCGACCCCCCCTCCCCCCTCCCCCCTTAGCGCGGAGACATTCAGCCTTCAGATCGTCGGAAATACTCTGGCTCTGGCTCGACAACCAATTTCCCACTCCCTGCGCGTCCCCCTCGCCAACGCATCGACCGGGTACGAACTACGTGACCAGCCGCCGTGTCTAAGTTTGAAAATACTTGCATAGGAATTCGACCCGTTTTCCATGTTATCCTACTATGAATAAGGAGCAAAATCGTATAAATAAAAAAATAATTTGAAGTTCAAAGTATTTTTTATTCACAAATACAATTTAGTTTCTTATTCCCATAGCGATATGGATCATTTCTCCTATGCATGTATTTTCATGTGGTGTTCTTCGAGCAACTGACTTACAACACATACTTTCATACTTGCAAGTTTTTTTTTCTCGTACCGGAGCGCCGCACTTTGAAGTGAAAACCTGGTTTTAAAAACCTAGTTTTAAAATAAATAGCGTAAATTGTCTCATCTGTAGTGAATAGTGCTGTAAAATTTTATATTTGCAATACACTAAGTTACAGCTCAAAATGGTGGTAACAATTATAGCAAAATTAGCAAATATAATATATTTGCTATAATTCTCTCGTAGGAGGGATATTTGAAATATCCCCCTTATGAGGCGGAAGTATAGGGGAGGGGAGAGCCTATCTTCCGAAATGAATGAAGGAAAAAAATTCACTGAAGGTGAATATTTACATTTACAAAATATTTAATACCAAAGCTTTTTAATTAAATAGACTGGCTAAGGCAAGGTAGAACTGATTGTAATCGTTGGTTTGTCTGTTAGTTTAAATCTATACATCTATACAATTAAATAAAATTGAAGTGTCTGTTTGTAATGTCAAAATTACAGTTTTTTATTAAATGCATATGAAAGTAAATACGGTACTTATAACTAAAATACAATTTTTAATATTTTGTCTGTCTGTCTGTTTGTTCCCGCTAATCTCCGAAACGGCTGGACCGATTTTGACGGGACTTTCACTGGCAGGTAGCTGATTTCATAAGGAGTAACTTAGGCTTTTATTTTAGAAAAAGAATTAGGGTTCTGCGCAAAAACATAAAAACCCTAACACGCGAGCGAAGTCGCGAGGAACAGCTAGTATATAATAAATGAAGTAGTGATTGAAAAAATAATCGGTATATACATCTCTTTTTGACATATTTTTACAAGTTTTTATTTAACTTGCTTTTTTCGTATCTTATCCGGTTCAAAAGCAATGCATTTTTAAACACTTGCTGGAATCCGGGCTAAGCTAAGCTGAAATTTGGCAAACGAGCAAATGGTCCACCCGATGGTAAATAGATGCTGTGGCCCATACACATTTACATCTATCCTCGATTAACAATCATAATACAGATGCTTGTCATCCCTAGGACCAAGATGGAATTCCTCGTTTCAAGTAGAAAGGGATCTTCGGTCACTGAAACTGGAAACTGCTATTTCACGCCCCGGTATTTTGTGAGAGTGTGGTCCTTCCCTACTCGAGCCGACACATTCGTGCCACAACCTTAATGCTGCAGTATGGCCCTACCACGTGAAAAACACAATGCAATGCTATAATATGGTACATATTGTACATAGGGTGACAAACGAGCACACAGTCCACCTGATAGCAAGTGGTTATGTTGTTACTGTGACCCATAGACATCTACGTCTATCCTCAATAAATAATCAAAATGCAGATGCGTTGTCACCCGTGAAGACTAAAATGGAATGCCTCTTTTTTAGCAAAAAAGGTCTCCGGTTCTCTACACTCACCATACGAAACACAGCAGTGTTAAGCTCATATTTTACGCTGGTATTCTGTGAGAGCGTGGTCCTTCCCCGGTCGAGCTGAACTATACGTGCTACAACTATACTACTAATATAGCTGCAGCATGGCTCTACCACGTATAAAGAAGGCTACTCTTAATTCAGTACAATTTCAATATATCGCCAATTTGATCGATAAACTTTCGCCTAGGGCGTCCCTTCCCGACTCTGCCTTTCACTTCTGCAACATAAATTAGCTTTGTCACTCTTTTCTCATTCATTTTATCTACATGACCAAGCCAGTGAAGCATTCCTTTCTTAATCCTGGTCACAACATCATTTGAAATCAAATATAAGTATATAAGCGAAGGCGCAAGTAGTAATGGTTACGACCCGCAAGTTCAAAAAGTCGAGTGTTCTAATTCTAACCCGCTCTCCAACTGCTATCGTAATTCGTGACCAATAACACAAGCATTTTAAGCTTAATTAGAGTGATTAACTGGAATATTAGTAATGTTAAAAGCGTTACTATTCGTTAGTAGGTATTCTTTTTTATTAAAAAATATACAAGATGATATTTATATAATGAATTTTTATCGTTGTCTGTACTGCACTCTATCATGGTTTTTCCTCTAACCTATTTATTATTTATTTGAAAACTGGAACAACATTGCTATTTCCATGCGTTTCGCTGAAAAGATAATGCATGAATTATTTATAATTATTGGACAAATCCTGTAGCCACAGATAAATTTCTCTTATCAGGAGGATTCAGTTATACGAGTTTCCTGACCTTATGTAATGGCAGATGATATTTATAATACCGCATAATTCTTCGGGATTCAGTACAGCTTGTGCTACTCAAGCTGACTAACGCTCCATAGAGTTGTTTAAATGGATACCTAACTCGCGAAATTAATCGAAAATGCATAATATTCAACGCGCGTTTATATTTCTGAGTGGAATCTATCTCTGTGGGGCTGGATATGGCTACGGTTATTATGGGCCAACGGCGTAAGTACTTCTTTATATATTTATTATAGAGGTATTATATGATGTATATAATACTTTTGGGCAAGTTGTTTATATTTTTAACCGACATCAAAAAAAGATGAGGCAATCAATTTGACCGTATTTTATTATATGTTTTTCTTGGAACTTTTTTCTACGTGAACCGATATTGATGAAAATCTGGTACTTCTCATGTGGTCCCATATATATTAGGTAAAGATCTGACCTGTGCTTTTTGAATTATCCTTAATAATGCGTATTTAATTGACTTCGACTACATTGATGATGTTCTCATTTTATTTATATTGAATTAGGTTGTAGAAATTTTTAATTTTACCTATTGTATGAATAGAGAACTACTCTAGACATTCCCAAGGTGTATATAATCATTACGTGGTACTAATCCTAGCTTATAAAGTTTTTAGCATTACATACCTAGATATTTTCGACAGGTTCTCAATTGGACTATTTTTTTTAATGTGTGTTATCTCAGAATTTTGTCTAGGTGAACCGATTTTGAATACTGATACTTTTTTCATTTGAAAGCTGGTGCTCATGTGGTCCCATATAAATTTGATCAAGATCTGACCAGCAGTTTTTGAGTTACTTTACTACATTGATGATGTTCTCATTTTATTTATATTGAAGTCGGTTCTACAAAATTTTTAGTTAAAAACTTATACAATCTAATAAATTAAAAAGTGATTGTTAGTAAGAAGTAACGGACTTGTACGGTAGTACTTTTGCCAGTGTCAAATTATCCTTGATTATATAAGATAATCTAAGATAAGGATAAGCTAAGGGTTTAGCGGATTTTACTTTGCTCTAAACACCCTCAGGAATAATACAAGGCCTTTGTCATGCTTTGTTAATGTTCGGATGTATATCTTATATTTGGATTACATATTATATACAATAGGCTTATAATGTACCTTTTCATTATTTACTTTACAAATGCAACCGAAGGGTGGCAACATGTACGCAAGTATAAACGCAATCAAATATCTGTGATAATGCTCATCAGTACTGTATTATCAGTCCGTCGTTTTGGTGGGTTTGGAAGCAACAACAGAAATAACAACAGTGGCACTTACGTTCCGTGGTTTTCGTAACCACTGCTCCTAATATAAAGAAAGATAGAAATAAAGAAACAATTCATTTTGTCACGACTCATTGCGTTAACATTTCTATATACTTAAAGTCTGGAACTAGCACCCTTTGTTAACAGACTATGAAATTATTTGGCGAAAGCTTAGGTATTCCCTGAGCTGCTACCACTGCTCCTAATATAAAGAAAGATAGAAAGAAAGAAACAATTCATTTTGCCGCGACTCATTGCGTTAACATTTCTATAATCTATATACTTAAAGTCTGGAACTAACACCCTTTGTTAGCAGATTATGAAATTTTTTGGCGATAGCTTAGGTATTCCCTGAGCTGCAACTACTGCTCGTAATATAAAGAAAGAAACAATTAATTTTGTCACGACTCATTGCGAACATTTCTATATACTTAAAGTCTGCAACTAACACCCTTTGTTCGCTAAAAAATATCATTCGCTATGAAATTTTTTGCTTATTCCCTGAGCTCCTAATACAAAGAAAGAAAGAAAGAACTACTTCATTTTGCCACAACCAATTGCGTACATTTCTATATACTTAATAGGTGGTGGGACTTCTTTCTGCCTAGGGGTCCTACTAATACCGAGGTAGGCACCCTTTTACCTATTTTTGCCACCAAACAGCAGTGCTTGCACTGCTGTGTTTCGGTTTGAGTAGAATAGAGAGCCAATTATTTGAACCTGAGTTTTGAACAAATGAAAAAGTGTTTAAAATGTAATGGGGAATTTGAAAACCAGTAAATAAATTAGTTTACATATGAATTGTTTTATCTATGAGTAATGTAAAACTTTCAATGTTGCACACGTACCTATTTTTAACGGTAACGAGGCCAATCCATAGTAGTCCGTAGTGGTGATATAGTTGCCTATGGGCCACGGTATCCGTTCAAGATCAGGTAGAGTGTGTTCCCGTTTGTTACCCCGACTTTTCTTGTTTAGTTGACCTAACTTACCCGTACCCGATGTTACGATTATGTAAATGATAATATATCGCAGAGATACACAATCAGAAGTTATCCAGGCACAATTAGCGTTGCCAGAAAACGGTTAATGCATGGTACAGCAAATTTAACTCCTGATCCCAATTCGGTATCCAGTTATTCAAACAATAGCCACATGCTTTCATTTTTTACAGAAGTATGGTTGACAAACGATCACACAGGTCTTTATGCTTTGCTGCATAGTAGTACATATGTATACCGCATACACATAATAAGAACATACACATTTCACATAATATATAGGGTTATTTTGCAATAACCGGCCAAATTCGTAGAGAAGGTTCAGAATAAGTAAAATAGGAAAATGGTGAAGAAAAATTAATGAAAAATCATCTCAAACATTCTGACCTTTTTATCTTTTAAGTTCAAAATGCGCGGTAATGCATTATTTTAACTGATTGGCGTTCATAAATATCTATTGCCTACTATTTCACTACGTCTACGATCTGTCGGCAAAAACATTGTGAATTGAATCGCACACAGATGAGCGCGCGTACGCGTAGTTGTTGCTTATAAATCACATTCAATTTGGGATAGTTTCAAATAAAAGTAGAAGACTTATTTGCTCGTATTTTCAAAAACTGCAATGACAGTAAGTATATCATTATTTAATATATGAACGTAAGATTAAAATTTGGCTCTTTTAAAAAATAACCGTGTATAAGGAACCTATTGTTTACTCTGCTTCATTTTATTTTAATTCGTTACGCGCAGTCAATCAGATGTCGGGGCGCCGTCATACGTTCCACCATACGCAAGAGTCAATCCGGGTGGATTTTCTCACCACTACACGAAAACCGGTTACAATGGAAGGAAAACAGGGTACAGCGGCACCAAAACCGGATACTCGGGAACGAAGACCCATTACACGCCCAATGTCGGCTACGCAGAGAAGAATTCCTGGTTTTCTTCAGGTGCAGCGTAAGTTATAAAAATTATATTTTTCTGAGAATTAAAAATTTTAAATTCGGATAAAAATAGTTATTGTCAAAACCATTAAAGTTACAAAATGTGAAGTATTGATAAAAGCTTGATACAATTTTTAAGTACCTACCTATCTTAGCGATCACTGTGATAAAAATGAAACTTTAAATTTGTATAATAGCGCTGGATACGGCTGAATAGTCTAGTGTATTATCTGGCTTCTTGCCACCATCGGTGCACTTTCTAATTTTTTATTATTTCCAAATGTTGTTAACACTGGCTCTTAGTTTAAAAAAATGTTACTAACCACTGTTGACGCTTCTTGTGCGAAATAAATAACTTATTTATGTAAGTGTTATTATTATAATAATAAGTTGCTTGCGAATACATAATGTATAGAAGAATTGGGGCACCGACATCAGAATGTGGAATTATTTCATTCTTTTTATTTATTTTAACTTTGAAGTCGGCGTTAACTATATCGAGGGGAATAAGGAATATCATAAGGATACACCTAACAAATGGAATGGTCGTTTAAATAGTTTAGTCGTAATCAAAAATTTTAATCAGATAGAGGGAATTACAAATGCCAAAAGTCATTAAATTAATCGTATTTAAGTTGTTTTATACAATAATTAGGAGTCAGTGGGTTAAATAAATATATAAATATTAAGTCGAATTAAAAATTTCACTTTCTAAAATACAAATATATAGCAGAATAGTAGGTATAGTGCAGTTTGAACTGAATTCAATGAGGGGCATTCACGACTTTTTCTGCCACCAGGGCGGCGCCACTACAAAGTGAGGTATAATATTTGACAGATTTCATAGGGGTAAGTTAATTTGTCCGGAAAATGTAAAAGTTATTGTTACTTTTTGTACTATGAGCTATATTTTATAATAATAATAATAAAATAAATAAACGAAACCACAGAATATTCATAAAAGTAGAAAAATAAAAAAAAAGTTAAAAATGTGCAAAAACTTAAAAAGCAAACCACTGACGCATTGTTTTGTGTATTAATATTCTAGAAACTGATAAAGTTTTATTAAAAACAACTTCTCAATTAAATTACATTGTGTAACAAAAAACTTTACCTCCGTGTCAACTAGCGACATCTAGTGGGCAGAAAATTATTAGACCTCATTGCGACGAAACGAAGATTACAGTGCTGGAAATAACAAAAACATCAAAAATCACTTGTTTTGTATATTCCGTGAAAAAACCCATCTATCTCACTAAAAGTTTTTGGGAATTCTTTTGGCATTGATCATTGATCAAAAGGCCGGCAACGCATCTGCAATTCCCCTGGTGTTGCGGTTGTTCATGGGCGGCGGTAGTCACTTACCATCAGGTGAGCCGCATGCTCGTTTGCCCCCTCTCCTATAAAAAAAAAAAAAAATTTATTGAAGTCCTAACTGCTTATTATAAAGACCACGTCAACGACTTCTGAAAGCTATTGGTATGTGCTATGAACTGTGCCAGAGATATTATAATCAACTTACCACGGTTCGGTGTAACGCTTATAAGAGTGGAAGGAGGCTAAAAGCTGTGAAAGAGCCCTGAAAGATTAGCCAATCGCAACACGTGTGGTTGGCCACTCAAAACAAATATTGGCTCGGCTGGGATCCGGCCGCGATGGTCTTTCCAATTGCATGGAGGATTAGTTCGCGACGCTTAGCAGACGTATCAGCAATTGCAGCATCAGACGGTATCAGCGATTACAGTAACTATGTACATTTCTTGCAACTTTGACGATGCTGTCCGTCGCCGGTCTTAATACTTTACGTCTGCCGTAAACGGGATGCCATACATCGGAAGCGGTTAATTCTTTTTGGCATTTCCCAAGGTTGTCTCTTGCAAACTCCACATGACGAAATTGGTGATGGATTAATTTACGCCGTCGTCACACGGCTCGTAATAGTCTAATGTAAATTGCTCTGACCAGTAAGCCATGCGGTTTACCAATCATTATTGCACATATAATTTACAAGAACAATATTTTTTACAGGCCCAGTTACGAACAGTTCAATAACATCGCGAGGGAGAGTTACGCTCGTAAGTAAACATTATTACTAGAATTATCAACTTATAACTTTACTTATAAGTATACCCGAATGTATGTAAGAATGTAAAGGAATTTGATAATCCAATTTGCACCCACTTCTAAACGTCTGGATAATCTGAAAAATTCGACCAGGGAAGGATCACGCTCTCACAGAATACCAGCGTAAAATAGCAGCTTAATGCTGCTGTGATCGTACGGTGAGTGTACAGAACCGGAGACTCTTTTTACTGGAAACGAGGCATTCCATCTCACAAATACCTAGTGTGGGGCTTAGAGTTAGGGCGGCATCAGAAGCAGCTGAGTAATCACGAAGTAAGTGGCGCAAATATGAGTCTCTGAGAGATGTCTACATAGTTGTGCCGTTTGCTGTAAAGGCTATGTCTGAGGGTTGAATTTCCTAAAGAAACTCTATTAGCGACTTATCGTCACTGCTAATAATAAGAAGGCTGTTTTTTTTTTCTCACTTAAAGGTTCAGTATAGCTATTCAGCGAGGAAACGCAGCCAGTGTTCTTTAGGCTGTATGATAATTTAAGTTTTTAGTTTTATTTTTTTTAAATTACGGTAATAAATATTTGTATATTTGAAGGTTATGTAAATAAATAGAATATAATACTTTAACTTCAATATCCCTTATTTTGTGAAATACGTTGTGTATTTGGCTTTCAAACTAATTTACGGGAAATATAAATCATTATTAGTATAAATAAACACCCACGTTTGTTAGATACAAATTTAGCAGACATGTTATTAATGTGAACATCAAAATAAATCCAAGCGCATTATCATCAAGTGTGGGAGTAATTATCTAAAACAACGGAAACTTGAAAAATCCAATGACGCCGGACGGTTAAAACACGTCCCGATTAACATAAATAAACGACCTATTAAATCCTCAATGTTATTGATAAAATGCATATAATATGAGGTCCAATAAATGTTCTCTGTGGGTCAGGGTAATTTATTTATAAATTTTCATTACGGGCGCAACTGAAGCCTCAGGAACTAATAGTTCCACCAATTGAAAAATTGACCGCTGAAAATATTGACAACTTTATTTTAGTAATCTATAAGCCTTTCTTTTTAAATATTACAATATAAATTCATTATTAAATATCTTCCCAAAAGCTTAATTTAAAAACTATGTATAAAATCTTAGTAACGTCGACACTGATAATTTACTACTATCGAAAAATAAACTCACTCTCACCAACAATTTTTTATACGTGGTTGAGCCATGGTTCAGCTATATTAGTAGTGTAGTTGTAGCACGAATGGGTCGGCTCGACCGGGGAAGGACCACGCTCTCACAGAATACCAGCGTAAAATAGCAGCTTAACACTGCTGTTTTTCGTATGGTGAGTGTAGAGAACCGGAGACCCTTTTTACTGGAAAAGAGGCATTCCATCTTAGTGTTCAGGGGTGACAACGCATTTGCATTTTGATTCGCAAACGGGGATAGATGTAGATGTCTATGGGCCACAGCAAGATGTATCATCAGGTGGAATGTGTGCTCGCTTTGTCACCCTATCCTATAAAAAAACCCATTGCAAATAACATCACAATAGTAGTACATACTTAACCACTCTATATCATAAACACCGACAACGGAGTACCTGAAGTTCTAAAACACAGGGGATATCCTAGTTTAGGCTCTAGTCCACCGTAAAATGTACGATATTTGTTGGTTAGTCTGTGTAATACATTAATTTTGTATTCATGTTCAGAAATTCGTACAGAACTGTCTTCTCATCATTATTGCAAATCAGTATACAGTATGCTTCAATATATTATTCAGATCCATCTGCAATCTACTGAAACTGTCTACTGATTTCCCCAAAACTTATTCCGATTGTTGATCTCGTATCGTTTGACCTGTCCTGCACTAAAAACGTCATAATTTTGTTACTCTAGAATATTTTCAGAACAAGGTATTCAGCCCGGGGAAGCAAATTGAATATGGCAAAATTTGACAATCGCAGTTGTTTATTTTTTAGTTATAACTAACTAACTAACACAGAATAAATAATAGTACAAGAAGTTATAAATAAGAAGACACTGCTGCCCATCTCCTGGTTTATTTCACTTTCATTTTCGGCACTGCGTAGAGATGTTGCGTCTCTTTGCGTATTTTATCGCATCTATCACGGAGAGTGCTCTGAGTAATTGTTCGGACTAATTCCAGCCGCTCAATTTCAACCATCGCACATCGCGACAAAACTCGCGATATCCATACCATCTGGATGATTGGCGGTCCACCACTGTGCGATTTAGAAGAAGTTTTCTTCCTTGCACAACTTCCTTGTAGAATCGATTACCACCAGCGATTTTTCCGGACCGATACGACTTAGGGACCTTCAAGAAAAGAGCCTACTCCTATTTAAAAGGCCGGCAACGCATCTGCAATTGCCCTGGTGTTGCAGTTGTTCATGGGCGGCGGTAGTCACTTACCATCACGTGAGCCGCATGCTCGTTTACCCCTTCTCCTATAAAAAAAAATATGGCTTAGTGGATATTGGTACACCGCCACTACACTAAATTATAATATTGTTATTCAATGTCGTAAAGTGATACTATAGCTTAGAGCTTCAGATAAAACTTACAATTGAACCTTTACAAATTATTATTATAAGAGATCCAAATAATCATACTTATTGGACCTATCATTACGTAGTACTGTTATTTATTCTGTGCTATCACGGAAAACTTAAGTTGGAGGTCCTTTATCCAAGCTTAGGACTGACGATGTTAAAATACTTGAATTTTTACAGCCAAATGCGAAATAGAATGCAAGAACAACGGTATCTGCGTGGACACGAACACCTGCAACTGTCCCGCCAACTTCTACGGGAAGTACTGTGAATTCGAGAAGAAACCGTGCCTCGTGTATCCACCATTGCCGATGAATTCAATCAGGAAATGCTCCTCTGAGTATGTAAAATTGTGGCCTTGCGTTTGTTTTAAAATATTATATTATTTATAAGATCATGTATGATTTGAGCAGCGCGTATCTAATAACGGTTATATGGCGCAGTGGCTTAGCTATGAGTTGCAACGCTAAGGGCCTTGCGTTCGATTCCCGCACGGAACAAGAATTTGTATGGCCTACAAATATAATTCTTCAGAGTCTAGATGTTTGCCCTTGTGAAATTTTTGTCTATAAGCTGTCTCACGATACAATAGAAATCCTAGTTGTAACGGTTTTTCTACCGACTTAAATAGGAGGTAGTACTCAATTCGACTGTATGTTTTTTTAATTGTATATTACCTTATAACTTTTTTCTGGGTGAACCGATTTCGATGATTCTGTTTTTACTTGAAAGCTGGTGTTTCACATATGGTCTTGCCTGACCAGTTTTTTGAGTTATTCTTTATAATTTATATTGAAATCGGTTATAGATTTTTTTAAATTTTTAATTAAAAAAATTAATATGATCATGATGTTAATGAATCCTGTCATCATTCATCATCATTACAGCCCTTCACAATTCCACTGCTGAATATAGGCCTCCCCCAAGGAATGCCAGAAAGCACGGTCCTGAGCCACCTGCATCCATCGACTTCCTGCATGTCTTACAAGGTCTTCACTCCATCTAGTGGGGGGACGCCGTACACTTCGCCTGCCGGTACGAGGCTGCCACTCGAGGACCTTTATTCCCCATCGGTTGTCGGTTCTTCGAGCTATATGGCCGGCCCATTGTCACTTCAGCATACTAATTCTTTGGGCTATGTCGGTTACTCTGGTTCTACTGCAGATATCCTCGTTTGAATTTAGAATTTTTTGAATCTTCTCTATAAATGTACTTGGCATATTTAGTGACCTGCTTCTTGTTGTTGCATCTGACTATTAGATATACTGCCGCGTTGGTCTAGCGTTCGTAAGCCAAAGCGCCACTGCAGATCGTGTGGTCCTGGTCTCGAATCGCGGATCGGCCAAAAACATTGTTTTGTGTCAAGAAATTAACAGTAGCAGCCCGGAGTCAGTAGGTTCGCGGCGTTTCACCCCCAGTGCTTCGGAAAGCGTGTAAAGCCCTTAGTCTTGAGCCTTATCTCCTGGTGGTGTCAGATAGCTGTTCCTATGGACTATAAATAAGATTGAGGAAATAGAGCGTGCATCTGTGCTAGCGCCCTATAACTCTGTTCTATGTAGATGTCTAATTTCCGTTGAACTGACCGCCGTGGGCGAAATTTGGTCCGGAAGACATTATTATCTTATTATAATATTTACTTATAATTTTTAAGGATCATCTACTTATTATATTATTTGACTTTTTTTAGATTCTGCACGATCACCTGCATGGACGGCCACAAGTTCATCGACGGCACGACAATAGCAAATATGAACTGCGTCGATGGCCAGTGGCAACCGACTCGCGCTGACTTCTCCTCTATTCCGGACTGCATCCCAGAATGCGATCCCCCTTGTCTCAACGGGGGAGTTTGCTTGTCGTTGAACACTTGTCAATGTTCCGCTGAGTACAGAGGACCTCAGTGTCAATATTGTAAGTAATGTTTTTAATAATCTTAATGTTTTTAATACATTTTTAATTATAATTACAGATTATCATCATCATTACAGCCCTTCATAATTTCACTGTTCCTATATAATATTATAATAGAATATTATCTTACGCTAAGTAGGAAGTTATTTATACAGGTTGTGCTAGTTGGTAGCAATGTTGTAAAATTAATCAATTTAAAAATCATCCATAAATAAAAAAAATCAAGCAAACTACCTCTATGGTTGCTACAGGAATGCGTGGCTGTCTTTTGTAGAAATTAAGCAATGCCGCCTTTATTTCCTTCTAATGCAAATGCGATGCGTGCAAATAAAAAAAAATCTTTCTCGCTTTATTTATACTGTAGTGCTAATTAGTAGTAATGTTGTTAAATTAATTAATTTAAATTTCGTTCATAATTTTAAAAAAAAAAACATCAAACAAACTATCCCTGTGATTGCCACAGGATTATCTCGAAATTTGGCAACGCCGCCTTTATTTCCTTTTAATGAATACAAACGTAACGTTTTTCTTTCTTACTTTAATTTCATCAATACGTCTTATTATGTGTGACTCCGTGAATTGACCTCTTCGATTTTGATGGTTCATTGGTATAGCATTTAATATCACAATATTCACGCATTGTGTGTGAGTGCGATGCGTTACCGAATATGCGTTTTCACCAATTAGCTTTTGTCACCAATAAGCACCCGTATCTTCTGAGTTCAACGCCGCGGTAATCTATGCAAATATATTGAATTAAGATTCTCTTCTACAGCCGCAAGTGCATGTGACATGCGCAAATTGGCGTTCAACGGCGGCTACAATTGCTCGGGCGATGGCGAACAGTTCTCGTGCTCGCTGAGTTGTCCAACCGGAGCTAGTTTCAGCTCCCCACCCGCTGATGTCTACACCTGTCTTTACTCGACCGGCGTGTTCATGCCTCAGCCTATTCCACACTGCGTTTTTGGTGAGTATGCTTGCAGTGATTAAGTCTTGAATTAGTCAATTTTTTTTATAATGGTGCTGTGAATAATGAATTCCCAATTCACCTGATGATAAGTGATTACCGTCCATGGACACTTGCACCTTCAAATAAAGAACGCTATAGATGCGTTGTCACTTCTGAGAACTAAGATGGGACTCACAACCTATAATTACACTATAAGGACTCTCTAGTATATATACCTACAGTAATCTATGATAAGGACATAGAGAATACCTTCATATCAGAACACAGCACTGCAAGCACACATAAATATTGTTATACATACCCAGACTGATTTTTAAAGAAATAATAAGGTACGTGAGGGTAATATGGTCACCTTAAGATTTGTCGCCCTATAAAACTAAAACTAGGAGGAGGACAGAGACAAAAACGCATCGTCGTATACTATAACTAATATATTACTTATACGCTTACGTGGTAGAGCCATACTGGAGCTATATTAGTAGTATAGTTCTAGCACGAATGTGTCGGCTCGACCGGAGAAGGACCACGCTCTCACAGAATACCAGCGTAAAATAGCAGCTTCATGCTGCTGTGTTTCGTATGGTGAGTGTAGAGAACCGGAGACCCATTTTACTGGAAAAGAGGCATTCCATCTTAGTCCTCACGGGTGACAACGCATCTGCATTTTGATTTGTAATAGAGGATAGATGTAGATGTCAATGGGCCGCAGCAACCACTTACCATCAGGTGGACTGTGTGCTCGTTTGTCACCCTTATCCTTTAAAAAAAATATTAAGAAAAAAGTAAACAAGCTTTGATAATGATTAGGAACACTTCGAAGAATTTACTAAAAAAAACTAACTACAATAAACAATACTAAAATCGATTAAAATATTTACTATAATGTCAACTGTCAAAATGGCGTCGGTAAAGCAGCGCCCTTTTGACCTTTTATTATTTCATTGACTGATGAAGAGATACCTTATCACAGAGTCATCAATGCAAACAAGGCTGTAGTTTTTTAATTATAAGAAAACGACCATATTAACTAGATGACCATATTATCGTCACGTACGTGCTTATTATCATCTATACAAATAAATAAAATTGAAGTGTCTGTTTGTAATGTCGAAATAACAGCTTTTTACTATATGCATATGAAGGTATATACGGTACTTATATCAAAAACACGATTTTTAAAATTTTTGTCTGTCTGTCTGTTTGTTCCGGCTAATCTCCGAAACGGCTGGACCGATTTTGACCGGACTTTCACTGGCAGATAGCTGTGTGCTGATGATGATAAAAATAGCCTAAGAAGTGACTTAGGCTATTTTTATTTTAGAAAAAGGATTAGGGTTCCGCGCAAAAATAATAAAATTGTCATTTAGAAACTTTTCTTAACAAGATTCTTTAATCAGTTATTATTTTTCCTTCGCAGATGAAGTGATCATTATTACGCCCAGCAACAGACAAATCAGTGACGTAAGTAAAATGTTATGAAAATTAGAATAATCTATGTATAACATTCTTGTTCTCCCTCTTCAGCTCGCAAAAGTCCACTACCGGACGTGAATTTCCCCCGATGTAGGGAAGAATAGCTTGGTAGGCGAAGAAAGCTGCTTCTTGTCACCGATCTGAATATTTTAGGTCTGGCGTGAACGAGATGTTTTAACCGGCATCTGTCGGAAGACGATAGGATTTCTGGAGTTCCCATTTTTAGTAAGGTCTTTTAAAAAAGAAATCTTAAATAATGATAGATAGTGATAAAGTATGTCTAGTTACTCAGACCGAGAACTAGCATCAAGGAACCAATGTCTATTGATTGTGACGTGATTGTGATCATCTAACGCTTGCCAAACGTAGCGATTATGGCTAAGTAAAAGTGGCGAAAATCTATAATTACTACAACAGCAGAAGCCAATATCCAGTAATAGATTTTTCCGGACCTATAAAAAAGGAAAGAAATATATCTAGATTTTAAATCCGGCATTCGTTATTTGAGAAATGTTAAAATTAAAAAAAGAAGTACAACTATTGTCTTAAATAATTTTCTCAATTTTTTAGACTTACTATGAAGTACACAATTCACGTAACATAACTACAAGCGAAGACGGAAGTCATATGCTCGAATCAAGCACATATGGAACCGGGAAATACGAAGGGGGCGCAAAACAGATCATCGTTGTGCAAGACTTCACTCCAAAGGGTGGTAGTTGTTTAAGTTGGGCTGGAGTCCACTACAAGACTTTTGATGGCAAAATCTATAGGTAAGAATATTTATAATTAATATTTTACAGTTATAAGATTTCTTTTACATTACGGCACATAGCCATCTTCCTCTTGATGGCTTAGATTAAATATATTAATATAGTGTATTATTTTTTTTGCAAGTTTCTTAAGTGAGATTCTATTTTTAAATGTATAATATTCTTTAAAATTTTTATAATCAATTGATTTTAAGTCTGTACTTATCGTATTTTTTAGTTTTCAATCACCATGTCAACACATTCTCGTCCGCGACTCCCAAGAACACAAATACACAGTAGCTATCAGGCATCCGGAATGTAAAAGACAGGCCTATTGTCCTTCGGAGCTCGTCGTTTATCTGGACGACAAGATGTACGCCCTCAGTGTCGGGGGTAAGTTTTCGTACTTTGCGTTATATGTCGTATCACAGATTCTTGTAATAAATAGATTTTCGATGTACGTATCAATAGAACGGAATAAACATGCAAATAGTAAATCGTAAGTGGATAATGTATTTTGTGGCCCATATATTTACGAGTATCATCACCCGTTAAAAGGGACTGTGGTACCGACGCTCCTGGAGTCTGCAGTATGATAACATGTCAAAGATCATCCCAATCATTACATGTGATTTGATAATTCTCGCAAAACAACACCGATTCCTACCAAAGATTATTCGTGAGGCCATTGAAATTAAAATACAATACATGCTAGTTTCATTAGAGAAGACATCTTTGTGCTAACATCTGCTTGAGATGCCAAAATTGATAAAATTAAATCCAAGCACATCATACTATTGCAAGACTACCAGATACTCTAAGCTTGTACTGAGTAAATCGGACCAAAGATTAATATTTAAAAGTTGGTTGAAAGTAGCTTTCATTAATTATGATAGGACGCCGAACACTTTAGTCCCCTCCTTGACCACGAGTGCTGTATATCGCATGAAACGTTGGGAATTAAAAATTATACGTGAAAATATTCGTAAAATAAGTTTAATTTAAAGTATTGGCGTAAATACAAGAAAGCATTACGTGTACAATATCTGTCATGTCCGTGGTCGTAAAATAAACAATATAAAAGAAATAAAAAGGTGCAAATAAGTTATTAAATTAATAAATATTTCAGAGGATGGAGCTGTGCTGTTTCGCAATACAAAACGTCTGATCCCCATACCGGCATCGCTGCCTGGTATACGAGTGTCCATGCCGAGCGATCAAGTTTTTGTAAATTTGGACGCGTTAGGAGTCACTATTAAGTGGGATACAAACGTAAGTACTGTATTTGTTAAAAAAAAATCTTAAGCTAGGTAAGACACCCTTTTTTTCTACGTGAATCTTAAGTCATATATTTAAACATCTTTAATATCAGCAAAGTAACACCTGATTCTATTGTTTAATAAGGATAGCGAAGGATCGATAGGTTTCTATGGGTCACTTATTATATAAAATTAATATAATAAATGTCATTATCTTTTGTCATTGTTATTAAATAAAAAAAATAAAAAAAAACTAAAGTACTCGTACTAAGCATATAAGCCTAAAGAAAATGTACATCTAATCTATAGTTAACGTTTGATTTGCAGAATTTAATTATAGTTGAGGGATCTATACTTCTTTGGAATAAAACCGAAGGTCTCTGTGGAACTTTGGATGGTAATCCAGAGAACGATTTCATGATCAAAGATGGCACGATCGCAAGAACGAAGTCAGTTATGGTGGCGTCATGGCAATTGAATAAGATCGGAGGTAAATAAAATTAACATTTAAAACTATTTTGTATAAAAATAAAAATATCTCATTAATGTGATTTACACTTTCATTTTAGATATCTGTGACAGCAGCCCTATAGAAAATAGCGCGTGTACCTCAATAAACGATGCAGATATGAAGAAAGCTATGCAATTCTGCACTAAGATCTTCAGCAAAGATAAATTCCGCAAATGTTCGAAGGTAATTAATAATAAACTAAAATATTATTTACTCTTTGTCACTCGAACAAATTTTTATGCGTCAAACGATATTTACAGGTAATGGACGTGTCTCTCCTGTTGGAAGCTTGTCAGTGGGATTACTGCGCATGTACCACAAGTTTGAGTATGTATCAAAAATAGTCTTTTTATTACTCCTATTTTTTTTCAATACCGTTCTCACAGTTTTCGTATAAGGTTTGATGGTAATATAAAATATTTCGTATAACCAACAAATTCAATTATCATTGCAGGTCCTGAGGAATGTGCTTGTAAAACTGTATCTGTGTACGCCAAAGAATGTCTCCGGCATGGAGTTAATGAGATGAAGGACTGGCGAGATGCAGACACGTGTCGTAAGTGATGACGTATATGTTTTCATCAACATCATAAATTTTAAATTTTTTAACCAAGCGGATACGTAATAAAATAAATATTAACTTTTTTACAGCCATGCAATGTCCCGACAGCAAAATTTACAAATCATGTGGACCTGATGTGCAACCCAGCTGTGCTTTTCCTCTTGTCACAAAAACTTTAGGCAAAAACAATACTTCATGCGTAGAGGGCTGTTTCTGTCCAGAGGGCTTATTACTAGAAGGAGGCCGGTGCATTCCGAAGGCCGAATGTCCTTGCAGAGTACGAAATCAAAGTTTTCCACCAGGATCTGTTGTGCCAAAAAGCTGTAATACTTGGTAGGTTATTGTTATTTGTAGTGAAACTAAAAATTGATATAAAATAAAAAATAATTGTATGTAAAACATATACATATCCAAAATAGAGCAATGAATCATAATATGTCGGAATGAGCCGTGAAGTACTTCTAGAAATTTTAAATTTTCTGCGTTTTCCAGCACATGCCAAGCTGGAGAGTGGATTTGTACTCAAGTGCCATGTGGCGCTCGATGCAGCGCTGTCGGTGACCCGCATTACACTACTTTTGACGGACTCCGCTACGACTTCATGGGTACCTGCACTTACACGCTACTGAAGACGGAAAACGTCACAATTGAAGTGGAGAACGTGGCCTGTTCCGGAGCTATTACTGAGGTGGGTGAATTTATTATATAATTTTATTATATTCCTAGTTTTTTACTCGCGGCTCCGCTCGTGTGGCATTCAATTTAAAACTGCTCTTACTGCTCCGTACAAGTACTACCGTCCGTACAGTCATGTAGACACAGACACCTTGGTGTACGGACACCAAGGTGTCTGTGTATCCATGACTGTCATAAATATCGACTAAGTAAAACTATGTACTTTTGTGTTTGGATTTCGTAGTTAGTGGAATGGCGCGCAAAAAGCTGTTGATTTATTCGATGCAAAATTACTTAGCCTAAATACTAAATAGTAATAATAACTTAGGTATGTGTGTTGATATTTTATTTGGATTATACACTCTTTCGTTCCTTTTCTTCCATTGGACAACAAGCCGATAGTTAAAGATTTTGGACGATAATTCAAATCTATACAAATAAATAAAATTGGAGTGATGTTTGTAATCTCAAAATAACAGCTTTTCACTAATACAGGCTGGTCCAAACAGTGAGGTTATAAAATTTTTTTTGGATTCCTCACACCTAGGGGTATCCGAAAATACCCTATGTATGTTCCGCGATTTTTTGTAGTTTTCGAGTTATGATTTTTTTTATCCTTTTTTTGAAAATGTTCACCCTAAACAGCCTAACATTAAAAAAAATGTAATTGTAAGATTTTTTCCAAGTTTTTTTGTTTGTAGCATGATCCTTATGAGTTGCCCTATTATCCATAAAATAATTAGCTTTCTAACATTCACCGAAGATACAACAATTTTAATCGAAACTTAAAAATTTTCTGTCAGGAGAGTGGGGCTTGAATTTTCAACACTAAATGAAAAATAGTAATAAATGGTTTCATACTTTCTAATTACTTTTAGAAACTTGGCAGTACCTTAATCTTTTATAATAACATAAAAAAATGACACTTAATCGGTCAGTTTTTCTGTTACAGACTTCTGAAGTTACTCAGGCAGGAAAGTACCTGAATAGTTAATTTGATTTCAAAAATCTTTTTATCATTTCTAGGGCTAAACTAAGATAGTAAATGCTTCAGGTTAGCAAAAATAAGATCCAGTATCTTTACTTATTGTTTAAAATTTATTGACAACAAGGTATCATTTTACTACGTTCTGGACAAATGATTTCAAGATTCATAATAAAACTAGTAAATAATTTAAGATAAATTTATTTAAAGTAAATTTAACAAGATACTATGGACGGATGAATCCCGGTTTGAAAGGACTGGCGTCTTTAACATTCACAATTATCATAGCTGGGCCATTGAAAACCCAAAAAAGCAAGGCAGTCAAATTTTCAGAACAGATTTAGTATCAACATGTGGTCAGGAGTCATAAATGGAGAAATGGTTGGGCCCTTTGAATTGTCGGCTAGGTTGAACGGGTCCCACTACCTGAACTTTCTACAAAATAACTTAAATAGTTTATTATTTGAAGTTAATTTACAAACGAGGAGGGATATGATATTTCAAAATGACGGTGCTCCTTGCCATTTTGAAAGACAAGTGAGGGAGCACCTCAACAAAACTTTCCCAGGAAGGTGGATTGGGCGTGCAGGGCCAATCGAATGGCCTGCACGCTCACCAGATTTAAACCCTATAGATTTTTTTTTTTGGGGATTCTACAAAGAGATGGTATATGCTAGAGAAATTAATTCGGAAAATGAATTAAGGGAAAAATTGAGACAGTGCGCAGAAAAAAATCAAAAACAATACGAATGCTTTTCGAAGACTAAAAGCAAATTTTTTAAGACGATGTAGACTGTGTATCGAAGATAATGGCCGCCATTTCGTAAATTTACTTTAAATAAATTTATCTTAAATTATTTACTAGTTTTATTATGAATCTTGAAATCATTTGTCCAGAACGTAGTAAAATGATACTTTGTTGTCAATAAATTTTAAACAATAAGTAAAGACACTGGATCTTATTTTTGCTAACCTGAAGCATTTACTATCTTAGTTTAGCCCTAGAAATGATAAAAAGATTTTTGAAATCAAATTAACTATTCAGGTAGTTTCCTGCCTGAGTAACTTCAGAAGTCTGTAACAGAAAAACTGACCTATTAAGTGTCATTTTTTATATTATTATGAAAGATTAAGGTACTGCCAAGTTTTTAAAAGTAATTAGAAAGTATGAAATCATTTATTACTATTTTTCATTTAGTGTTGAAAATTCAAGCCCCACTCTCCTGACAGAAAATTTTTAAGTTTCGATTAAAATTGTTGTATCTTCGGTGAATGTTAGGAAGCTAATTATTTTATGCATAATAGGGCAACTCATAAGGATCATGCTACAAACAAAAAAACTTGGAAAAAATCTTACAATTACATTTTTTTTAATGTTAGGCTGTTTAGGGTGAACATTTTCAAAAAAAGGATAAAAAAAATCATAACTCGAAAACTACGAAAAATCGCAAAACATACATAGGGTATTTTCGGATACCCCTAGGTGTGAGGAATCCAAAAAAAATTTTATAACCTCACTGTTTGGACCACCTTAAATGGTACTTATAACAAAAACACAATTTTAAAATTTTTGTCTGTCTGTCTGTCTGGTTTGTTCCGGCTAATCTCAGAAACGTTTGACACTTTTATTTAAGAAAAAGAATTAGGGTTCTGCGTAAAAAAATTAAAATCCTAAATTATACTCGGGCGAAGTCGCGGGGAACAGCTAGTGATAACATATCTTTGGAGTACCAATATAATGTACAATTTCATTATTTGGGGGGTACAGCAAAGGCTTGAAGATATGGCTGTCGTCAGTGGTTCCAGATTGATAAGATTCCCCAGTCTTTAAACTAGACAAGTTATTTTTTTTTACATGTAAATAAACTAACTTAAATTCTTTATAGGCAATGAATCTAGCGCCATACAAAGGCGAAGGGAAGCCTTCATGCACGAAAGCAGTAAACGTTATCTTCAACGGAGCAAACATACATATGAAGCAAGGAGGATTCATCCTCGTCAACGGGAAGGAAGTCTCATCGCTGCCAGTTAACGTCGGAGACATCAGGATACGAGCAGCGTCATCTCTGTTTATTATTGGTAATTTTAACATTTTATCCTTACCTTTCACTACAAAGTTTACTAAGAAATTAATTTCCTTAATATTAATCATCAAGACGTTCCAGTTTAAATATATCTTAAAAGTTTCTTAGTACATTTAATAATATTACAATACAAATTATATAATTATCGTTGTTTTAGTTCAACTGCCAATCAAAGTTGACCTATGGTGGGACGGCAATACCAGAGTATTTGTTGATGTACCGCCAGAATTCCATCAAAGCACCAAGGTAAAAGTATCCATCCTTCTTCCAATATTTTCTTGTTATTGATGTTTTTCATAATTTTGTTAATGAGCATTGCCCGTCAAATAAATATATAGCAAACATGAATATCTTAGATTAATATCGATGAAAATAAAATACAAAAACAATGGACAAGCGTATTTTATAAACTTGCAAGGTAAGCTATTACGTGGTAGTACCACGCTGCAGCTATATTATGTTTGTAGCACGATTGAGTCTTCTTGACCGGGGTAGGGCCACGCTTTCACAGAATACCAGCGTAAAATAACAGAATGTAGAGAACCGGGGACCCTTTTTACTGGAAACGAGGCATTCCATCTCAGTGCTCAGGGTTAACAATGCATCTGCATTTTTATTCTTAATTGCGGATAAATGTAGCCATATATGTGTCTATAAGTCACAGCATCCAGTTACTATCAGATGGACTGTGTGCTCGTTTGTCAGCCTTATTCTATAAAAAAAAGAAACAGCTTACATCAAGAGACAATTCGCACTTATTTATCGTGGTTGAGATTGACTGCGAAATGTTATCAAAAACTCTCTCACTGTATTGTACAGGAATATTTTCATCGTGTCGGATAAAAAAAAATCCATCGTGATTACTATCATGCGACTGAATCTATGATTGATTCTAATGTATTGCGAACACAGTCTAACGGTCGTGTCATGCAAAAATATTTATCGAGTGTGTATGAAGCTAGATTCAAGCATCAAGCAAACATTTAAACCATCAGCTACGCTTGACTGAAACTACAATCTATTAGACAACCTTTGCAAAACCTCTGTAAGAGTTCAAATTTAGTAATATTTTTGTAAAAAAGAAAATCTATGTATATAACTTTTAAATTAACATTTTCTGATTGAGTTTCTTTAGTATTTCGTTCTGTTGTAAGTGAAATATAATTAAAATGAACTGCTAACAACATGCATCCTTATTTCAGGGACTTTGCGGGACTTTCAACTTAAACCAAAAAGACGACTTCCTGACTCCTGAGGGTGACGTCGAACAGTCGGCCTTCGCATTCGCCAATAAGTGGAAGACCAGAGAGTTTTGTAACGACATTGCCACGCAAGAACCTGAACATCCCTGCAAAGCAAATGTAGAAAACAAGGATGCAGCTGAAAAGTACTGCAGTATTTTGAAGAGCTCGCTGTTCGAATGTTAGTCAATTTTCTATATTTCTTTTGTGACCATTTTAAAAATAAAATTGAATTCAAACATATTTTATACAATCAAACTCGAACTTCGAAATTGTGGAAATTCAGACAAAAATATTTAATTTTTTTAAGATATTCTAGTGACAGACTGGCTAACAGCCCACCTAAAGGAAAGTGCTCACTGCAGCAAATAGTCACCTGCAAGCAAAACCAAATAGAAAAGTCACTTTTTCTGCCGACTTCCAAAAAGGAGTCAGTATGTTTTTTTTTTATGTGTGTTACCTCATAACTTTTTACTGGGTGAACCGATTTGGATGATTCTTTTTTTATTTGAAAGCTACTTCAAGGTACTGCTCGTGTGGTCCCATATGAATTTGATCAAGGTCAGACCAATAGTTTTTGAGTTATTCTTAATAACTTATATTGAAGTCGGCTGTACAAAATTTTTAATTTTAAATTATCGTAATCACAAATGTATTTTCGGTTAATGACTAAGAAAGTTGCTCTTTACAAGGTGATAGGAGTTTTCTCTGGGTAAGCACAACCATCTTGTCATTTTATTTATTTTTACCGCCAAATAGCTGTGTTCCGGTGTGAAAGGAATAGAGAACCATTAAAATTACAGAACGTGAGGCATTACAACTGAGCCCTCGGAGGCGGTAACGCATTTGTAGTTTTTTTTTATATAAAGTTGTGTTGTCCATGAACTGCAGCAGCCGCTTCCCATCAAGTGAATTGTAAGTTCCGTTTGTCACTTCAGTTTTATAAAAATAAATGAAAGAATATTTCTATGTCATCCTCCTGTCAGGCGAGTTCCATGTCCTATGGTGCCCATTACACAGTAGGTTTTGCTGTCAGTTTTACAACAATCACGGTTGTGATTGACGAATAACCTGCCGTGTAATGCGGTATTTAACAGTTCCATGAAATTGATTGATAAATATCTGGATATTTTGATTTTTACGTCAATCAACTATCAGTCACGAATTTTGATTGAATGTGTAATGGCATTTCGTCAATCACGCATCGTTGCTCCTGGCTTTTCTTCGGGAGTTATAGCTTGTCGCATACATGTATCTTATTTTTTTTAGGTATGGTGTTACCAAGACCAGTAATTTATCAAAACAAGCCTCTTTCATGCGAAAATAATTTGCATAGTCTTAGTAGCATTAGTCTTTTGAAACCCGTATGTAAGTCAGTAAGTCTTCAACTAATCTGAAGATTTCAGTTCCACTCCATTTTACTGACTTTATCGGCAATGCTTTTACTGTTCAGGCTACATTACTCTGGCACTCCTTACCTGAAGACATTAGGAAAACACCAAACAAGATAGCCTTCAAAAGATTGGTCCGGGAACATCTCTCAAAAATCGCATCGCATAATACCAATCTTTATCTTTAAATAAAAATCTTTATCCAGACATATTATGTATATATTTACACATAGTGTGTGTGTATATGCATATATGTATTTATGTATGTGTATATTATGTATATGTGTATAAGGATAAGTGTTATATATGGATTATTATGTATTTGTTTGTATCCATATGCATTTGTGTAATACTTAGTTTTATTTCAATATGTTATATCTATATAAATTTATTATATTTAGTTACTTCAATCACAATCTATATCTTACTTACGCTTTAGTTAGCCTATTAAAACACTCGGGCCATAGATTACTGTATATAGGCGTAGCCTCGCTAATTCGTTGTGTTAAACCTCACTGTCGTTAGATGGCGTTCACATTGATTGTGTAAATGTGTGCGTACATCATTCGAGGTCATTTGGCTCTTGTAGTCTACAAGTTGTACATAGCAAAATCTAATGGCCCCTCCATAGATTACTGTATATATACTAGTGAGGCCCCTCTTCTTTATATCACAAAGGGTGTTGAACAGAGTAGTGTTTGTAAGTCACACTAATAGATGGTGTTAGTAGTACTTTATAACGCGGTACGATTTGCTAGAAAAGGTTTTCTAGTCTATCAAATGGACAACTGTAATATCTACTGATTATATACTCTTTGGAGGGTAGGGTCATTACTATGTTCTTATCCAAAATTATTTTTGATAACGATGGTAACTAGTATCGTCGTCGTTGTTTGTACTTTGTAAATTGGAATTTTATGTATATTATGATAATATGGTAACTTTCTCATATCTCAAAACATTGACAATGATAAGTGTATAGGAGAAGTCGACCTACTACTACTATACATGGATACGGATCACTCACACAAGTATAAAAAAAATACTTTGAAAGTTTTTTTTTCATATTGTTTTTCGTAAACCTACAAAAATATACTTAGAATACTTATATACAGAGACTGCTAGGCTAGGTATAGGCACTGGAAGCCTAAAAGATAAAATAATGTCGAAATTATTCTATCATCCAAACGTGTAATGGCCGCTTATATCGTATCATAACAGTGGTAGAGCCACGCGGCAGCTTTAGCTGTCGCACGGATGGGCCGGCTCGAACCGGGGTGGTACCACGACCTCACAGAAAACCAGCGTGAATTAGAGGTTTACCTCTGCGTTTCGCCTGGTGAGTGCAGGTGGCCGGAGGCCCTTTTTACTGGAAATGAGGCATTCCATCTTAGTCCTCACGGGTGACAACGCATCTACATTTTCATTTGTAACAGAGGATAGATGTAGATGTCTATGGGCCGCAGCAACCACTTACCATCAGGTGGACTGTGTGCTCGTTTGTCACCCTTATCCTATAAAAAAAATCATTAAAATTATATACCGCAGATAGCGGGCTTACACTAAAAATAATTTTAATATAATTATAAAATAATCAGATGATAGATGTCTATGGGCCGCAGCAACCACTTACCATCAGGTGGACTGTGTGCCCGTTTGTCACCCTTATCCTATAAAAAAAAAATCAAATCCTTTTTATTTCAACTAGCTTGCCATTGGTACGTGGATGTACAACCGTACTACGAGAACTGCCTTTACGATATGTGCGCGTGTAGTGGCGACGCGTCGCTCTGCCTGTGCCCCATATTGGGGACCTACGCCATGGCGTGTGCCTCCAGCGGCGTGCACGTGCAGTGGAGATACAATGTTAAGGAGTGCGGTGAGTTTCCATTTTTGTAATGTTGATAATCTACTAATAATAATTTATAAAAATCTATAAAACTATGTTAACCTGATACAACGGATCGGAAAGGAGGATACAACGGGCCTGGCTTAGGTAATTGAATTCCAGCGGAGCCAGTCCAGATCACACGAACATATCAATAATAGACTTGTTCATTTAAGCCTTGTCAAGAATGCGTCATATGCCAAGCTCTGCATAGTTGATTTGCATGCATTTTTTTACGTGATAGAGCCATGCTGCAGCTATATTACTGGTATAGTTGTAGCACGAATGGGTCGGTTCGACCGGGGAAGGACCACGCTCTCACAGAATACCAGCGTAAAATAGCAGCTTAATGCTGCTGTGTTTCGTATGGTGAGTGTAGAGAACCGGAGACCCTTTTTACTGGAAAAGAGGCATTCCATCTTAGTCCTCACGAGTGACAACGCATCTGCATTTTGATTCCCAAACGAGGATAGATGAAGGTGAAGTGAAGTGTAGATGTCTATGGGTCATAGCAACCACTTACCATCAGGTGGACTGTGTGCTCGTTTGTCACCCTATCCTATATAAAAAGAAACTCTAAAAGTCTAAAACACGAATAACTAGTCGTAAAAAATTCTTTTCTATGCTTTAGCGCATTATGTAGCACGAATGAGTTGGCTCGATCGGGTAAGGACCACACTCGATCAGAATACCAGCGTGAAATAGCAGAATAATGCTGTGTTTCGTGAGGTGAATATTGAGTACCGGAGTCCCTTTTTACTTGGTAACTATTCATTCTATCTTGCTCCTCAGGGGTGATAATATTATCGCGAATATTAACCGAGGCAATATAAATGTAAGCGTCGATAAATCAATGGCGTCGATGCGACACAGTATTCGCTTACACACTGACCATCAGTTTGACTATGTGTTTATTTGCCATCCTTGTACAAAATAAATAAAAAATAAAGTGGGTATATAACAATCCTACTGTAGAAAACACGTCTCATATATAGATATACCTACAGATTGTTTACCTTCGCCATAGAGTTGATATTACGAGTACATATCGAACTTGGTATACCCACGTGTTACGAAATCCACGACAATCGCAAAATCCCAATAACTTATTTTGTGTCCATCCCGTCCCGGATTTGAATAAGGGATGGGATGGGACCACATAATCACATGACCAACGAGTCATTTCAATATATAATATTATGTGGTTTTTCCAGAGCTATCGTGTAGTGGCGGTCAAGAGTATACCGTTTGCGCTGACAGCTGTCTTCGAACTTGTTCCGACGTGGCGTTATCTGCCAAGGGTCTCTGCAAGCCATCCTGTGTGGAAGGATGCGCTTGTCCAACAGGACAGGTCAGTTAAAAATTTTCTTTAAATAGGAACTTTTTATAATTATACAGATAAAACCTTTGCAATTTAGTTTAAAATATCACTGATGATAACAATTAGGTAGTTGACATGTTGACTACCGCCATTTATCGAAAACCATGACTTTTATGGGATTTCCCATAATCGTATCTCTTGATAACTACGGCGTTTGAGATCCCATTATTCTGCTATTATACGGCCTAACGCCATGATGACTTTCGAAGGCGAGCAGCGTCAAAGATACTAAACTCCTGGTAATCACCAGGCATGATGGTAATGACAAAAAATTCCTTTAACTGCCGAAGGCCACGTTACAAAAGAAGAAGAAAGCAAAGAAGTTAAAGCACAAAAATCTCTTTCAATCATCAGGTATTGGACAGCAATAACGAGTGCGTACCGGTTGCCCTGTGTCCGTGCTTCCACAAGGGTATGCAGTTCAATGCCGGCTACAAAGAAGTAAGGGCTGGCAGACGTGAGCAAGAACTTTGGTAAGTTTATTGGGACAATGATATTTTACTATTTTTAAACCAAATTGCTTCCTAATATCTTCTTAATTCATATTTATGCTAAATTAAAGCCTTTAATAGTTGTCATCGTTATTAAAAAAGAAAATCTTTAAAGCATTTCGAGGACGCAAGTAAGCGATTATGTCGTCTACACAATTGTGATCGCTAGAATTCGTCGATGGTGTATATATCTCATGAGATTCCTAATACACTGAAGAATCAGTGCCAGCTCATTCTAACGTTAAAATAAACCACGATACAAAATGATTGTATGTGCTTTTACCTACCGTTAAACTGGAACTTATCATAATGATGATTTTGGTGACAGTACATGCGTGGGCGCCCGTTGGGACTGCAAGCCGGCGACGCCCGAGGAAATAACCCAGTACCCGCCGGCTGAAGACCTTCGCAGCAATTGCAGTGCTGCCAACCACATGGAGTTCACCACCTGCCAAATCGCGGAGCCGCTTACCTGCAAGGTAGTGTATTACAACCTTGATTTTCGAATATACGTGCAGTCTATCGATAAATAGAATATTTCGAATTCCTGTAGATATTTGGATGGTAAAATCACGAATCTATAGTTTATTTTTATTAGCACGTAAAACAAGCCGTGTATAGACGGCTATTTAGGACCTGCAGTACAATTGCATAGCTCCAGTTAATCCATCTATAAATGACTTTCAATAATTATTACTTCTAACCAGCAACCACTAATAAAAAAACTATATACACAATCAGTGACAAAAATGTCCTTACCGAATAAGCGCCTACTCGAACATTTGGGTGCGATTTTAATTTGTACATAGCTTTGTGAATACAACTTTATGCAATGCGTTTAAGGTTGAATTTACATTAATGAATATTTATTTCAACTAGAATTACGTCAAAACAATTGGCGACAGTTTTTAGAGAACTTTTGCATGGGATTGTGTGTCTAGTTTTTTTATTAGTGATCGATGCTTCCAACTAATACTAATTATATTAAATTCTATTCTATGCTGGGAACTAAACGTTTGTCGGTGGAAATCATTTTGCAACAGCGTTATGTTTTTTTCATTATGATAATATTTTGTAACCTAAAATAAAAATATATAAAAATAACATCGCCTTATAATCGATACTGATACGTTTATCTTTATCAAACGGTGAACTTCAAAATGATTCCCACTAGCAGTATACAATCGAACAGCGCGTTCTTCACTTGTGTGCTTTATTCGTGGTAGAGCCACGCTGCAGCTATATTATGGTTGTAACACGAATGATTCGACTCTACCGGGGCAGGACCACACTCTCACAGCGTTAAATATGCCAGAGTAAAATAGCAGGTTAATGCCACTGTTTCATATGACGAGTGTAGAGCACCGGTTTCCCTTTTCACTGGAAACGAGGCCATCTTAGTCCTCAGGAGTGACAACGCATATGCATTTTGATTCTTAATCGAGGATAGGTGTAGATGTTTTTGGGCCACAGCATCTACTTACCATCAGGTGGACTGTGAGCTCGTTTGCCACCCTTATTATATTAAAAAAAAACCCGATTAATGACAGACGATCTATTTAAGATCGCTGAACCTAAATTTCACAAAGTAGCCTATCATTATCAACGCGTAATACGTAATTAAGTAAAGTGTTTTCAATTTATTGTTTTTGCCTTTTAGTATGATGAAGACTAAGAATAAATTATAAAATATTAAGATTATTGTACTAATAAAAAACTAGATACTCAATTCCATTCAAAAGTTCTCTAAAAACTTCCGCTAATTGTTTTGATGTAATTCTAGTTGAAATAAATATACATTAATGTAAATTCAACCTTAAAAGCATTTTCTAAAGTTGTATTCACAAAGCTACGTACATATTATAAGCGCACCCAAATGTTAGAGTGGGCACTCATTTGGTAAGGATATTTTTGTCACAGATTATGTATCTAGTGTTTTTTATTAGTGATCGATGTTATTGTAATAATAATCGATAGCAGTGTCTGCACTATTGTTTTCCGGTCTGAATGGTACAGAGAGTCAGTATAACTACAGGCTGCGAGGCCTTCCATCTTAGTCCTCAGTGGTGACAATGCATCTGCAGCCTTCTTTGTTTGAATTTGGCTGCAGGTGTCCATAGACTTTAGCCACTTAGCATCAAGTGTACTGTAGGTTCGTTTTTCACTCCAGTTTCATATGTCTTTTGTTTGTTTGTCACTGAACTTCTCCTAAGTGGCTGGGCCAATTTCAGTGAAATTTTTGTGTGTGTTTGAAAGTTTAGATTCGCAATTGGACCAGGTAGGAGGTGCTGTTGTTGAGAGGTTGAATATATATAGTTTTAATATAATATGTAATATGGTGTCAGAACATGCACCTGCCGCCGTCGGGGACGACGACGGAGTGTCGACCGGGATGCCAGTGCAAGCGCGGGTTCGTGCTCGAGGCGGGAACGAACACGTGTGTGGAGCCGGCACAGTGTCCGTGCCACCATGGCGGGCGCAGCTACGCGGATGGTGACCGCATGCAGGAGGACTGCAACACCTGGTGACCACTCCTTTTGCTAATTCAATTAGAATAATAATAATATCCTACAGACCAGGTTTCGGTCACGGTGGCCATTCTCAACGGAGCCATCTGTGCAGGACAGGATTTAGGAGAGTTGTAGTGTCCGACACAAGTGTAACAACAAAGTGTATGCGCCAACACAAGTGCACTCTCTATTCCTCGCTCCCATAGTGCAACGGCACGGTAATCCTACAAGACCGAAGAGAGATCAGGCGTAGGACCCACAGCCTTACGTGCTTAAAAAATATAGAATAACACACATATGTCACAGTACGCAGTTTGCCGCGTGATCGGGGCGTAAGAGACTTCCTCCCACAATTTCTTTGTGGAATCGTCTACTACCAGCGATTTTCTGGACCGATACGACTTACCGACCTTAAAAAAGAGCCTACTCTTTTTAAAAGACCGTTATCGCTCCTGCGATTCCTCTGGTATTGCAGTTGTTTATCGGCGGCGGTAGTCGCTTATCGCATGCTCGTTTGCCTCTTCTTATTGAAAAGAAATCGTCCCGTAGGTGTGTCGTTTCATTCAGCTATACTGTTTATTTAACCGACCTTCAGTAAGTATTCGTATAATCGATTTTCGAATTATCTGTTCTATTTTTTCCTATCAAAACCTTTATGGCTTTCGATCGTGGTGTATCGTCAGACGTAAAATGCTCAGCCCATACGAGCGGTAATGATGGACCATAATGTCAAGGATGTGAGATGTCTGCCACAGCGATTGTCTATCATCCTGCCAAGCGTGACAAGTATAGCACATTCTCCCTGCTACGGGAGAGACCCATGTCCAACTGTCATTTAACCAGCCGATACAGAATAAGAAAAATAATAAAACCATGTAGAATTACATAACATGTATTAAAAATGACATGTGCTAATTCGGTTATTCTTTCTGATATTTTTAAGAACTCAAAAACTTATAAAACCTCAATAATTGTTTATAAGTTTATCACATTAATTACAAGAGATCAAATATATTAAGTAATGTAACAGTATAACATACACGTTTTTGTCAGCAAGATACACTAAAAATGCGAATAAAAGTACTATATTGAAAACCCATTCACAGATATGTAATAATGATTACAATAAATTTATATAAAAGTGAACAAACAGTTTGGAGGCGCCGGGTATCGATCCCGGTACCTCTCGCATGCTAAGCGAGCGCTCTACCATCTGAGCTACGCCCCCTGACAACTGTTGGGTTGAAAACAAGCAACTGTTTAAATATGATATCATTCATTCGAAATGCGTATTGCGTAAGTTTGAAAACAAGTAGGTCACCTTGAGCAATGTATAACGAACACATGCAATACATAGAGACCAACTTTAATCATGAATACCGTATATTTGGCTTGTAACTTAAGAGAATAATGGAAACAAATAAAAGGACGTCTCAGTGTCATTTAAGATGTGTTGTGGTCACAACTCACAACTTAAAATTCTTGCAAGCATTTCAATCAACTTTTTTATTGTGTGGTTAAGAAACACAGTTTTCTAAATAGAAAGCGTGAATCCGCTGCTTTATTAATTGTACCTACAAACAGTTAACTTATTTTTAAAAAGTAACCACTTCGAGACATTTAATGGAATGTGTCAAAATCTGAGTATTAATGCGGTTGCAATAAATTTTTATACTTGACGCGAAAAACTACCTCACCAAATTATTTAACTTGTAATGTTATTGATGATGTTTATCACATTTTGATAGAATGTGCCCAGAAGCCCAGAACTCAAGAGAAAGAAAAATTTTAATTTATATTTGTCCTTAATTGGTAGCGGTAAAAGTATTTTATCGGACCCGTTATCAGATGATGCCAAAAAACTTTATTTGGTAGTTATTATGAGATTAAGTAATTAATAAGTTTATCTTTTAGGATTTATTATATTTAAGATTTTTACTAGGGCGTCATAATCGCATCAGCGACAAAGCCCTTTTGTTATGAATAAAATATATGTAGGTATATATTTAATGAATAAGATTAATCTTTACTTTTGCGCTTGCCAACGCGCTTGCCCAGCATAGTGAGGAAGTACCTAAGGGATAAGGCAATAATGCAATAATGCCTAATGCCTGCCGGAATTGGTGATGTATTCTGTTCCATCATCTATATTTTTACGTGATAGAGCCACGAAGAAGCTATATTATGGTTGTATCATGAATAGGTCGACTCGACCGGGGAAGGATCACGCTCTAACAGAATACCGGCGTAAAATAGCAACTTAATTTTGCTGAGTTTCGTATGGTGAGTGTAGAGAACCGGATACACTTTTTACTGGAAACGAGGCGTTCCATTTTAGTCCTCAGGGGTGACAACGCATCATTCTGTTTCTTACTCGAAGATAAATGTAGATGTCTATGGGCCACAACATTCACTTACCATTAGGTGGACTGTGTGCACGTTTGCCACCCCCAGTCTATAAAAAAACCGCCCGTCTACCGTCAATGACACAACTTGTAGCACTGTGGATTCTGTTGCGATGTAAGCGTGCTTGAATTTTAGAAAAGTAGTTGCCATAAGGGCAACTTTTGCAACTAAAGTATGCATCCCGCAGCGAGTGCAAGAGCGGCAAGTGGTCGTGCAGCACGCGTGCGTGCGCGGGCGTGTGCGGCGCGTGGGGCGACTCGCACGTCAGCACGTTCGACGGCGCGCAGTACGACTTCGAGGGCGTCTGCGGCTACCTGCTCGCCAAGGGCGTCATGGACGGACGCGATGGTTTCGCCGTAGAGATGCAGGTTAGTGTATACATTTTCACGTGGAAGAGCCACGTTGCAGTTATATTATAGTTGTAGTACGAATGGATCGGCTCGACCGGGGAAGAACCACGCTCACGCACAATACCAGCGTAAAATATTAGGCCAATGCTTCTGTATTTCGTATGGTGGGTGTAGAGAACCGGAGACCCTTTTTACTCGAAACGAGGCATTATATCTTAATCTTCAGGAGTGACAACGCATTTGCATTTTGTTCGTAATCGAGAATAGATGTAGATGTCTTTGGGCCACAGTATCCACTCACCATCAAGTAGAATGTGTGCTCGTTGGTCACCCATGTTCTAAATAAATAAATCATCATTGCTTTTACAATTTTAATTTCTTTTACAGAAAAAAGACCCTTGTAAATTTGATTTAGGAGATCCTGTTTGAAGTATATAAAGTAAAAGCAAATCTAAATAGAATAAAGTAATTTTGACACCATGTACAGCAGTGTCAAACGAAAAATACCCTATAATTTTTCTTAAAACTGCTTTAAATATTTGTTAATTAACAAATTGCGTTCATTGTCTAATTTTATATTTGTAAAACATAAGAGTTTATCCTGAAAGTTCGTCATCTTGTGGGGGTCTCTACATTGTATACGTCTTTTTTTTATAGGATAGGGTGACAAACGAGCACACAGTCCACCTGATGATAAGTGGTTGCTGTGGCCCATAGACATTTATCCTCGCTTGCGAATCAAAATGCAGATGCGTTGTCACCCGTGAGGACTAAGATGGAATGCCACTTTTCCAGTAAAAAGGGTCTCCGGTTCTCTACACTCACCATACGAAACATAGCAGTGTTAAGCTGCTATTTTACGCTGGTATTCTGTGAGAGCGTCGTCCTTCCCCGGTCGAGCCGACCCATTCGTGCTACAACTATACTACTTATATAGCTGCAGCATGACTTTACCACGTATAAAAATCACTTTATCACATCATTTAGATAATTATAAAATAATCACTTTTGTAAGATATAAAATTGTCAAATTGTACAAACAATTGATAATAAGTAATAATGGTGCTGTTTCGGATAGAAATAGCTAAACGAAAGAAAAATAAAACGTACTTAGAAAGTGTCCATTTATAAAAAGAGCCATAGAATTTTGTGTACGTAATCCACAGGGAGTCTTAATATTTTTGTGATATTTTAACTATATAATGACTATGAAAGATATAACAACTTAGATACAACTTCCATATGCGAGGCACCCGATATCGATCCCGGTACCCCTTGCATGCTGAGCACTCAACCATATGCGCCCTGCACCACATGGTATTTTAACTATAAAATGTCTATTCATCATTCATCTTCATATACAGCAATTCATACAGAAATATCTACATATATCGTGGTTTTCAAAACATCAGTGGCGAGTGATGATAACTCATTACAGTTATAATAACGCATAACACATCAGCGTTAAAATATAGCCCTCTGTTGTTTTTTGTTATAATATATTAAATTTTTTCGATCAAAATATTGTTTCATCCTTAACATCTACACACTTTACCAATTTTTCAACATTTTCTTGACCATTTGATAGTCTCAACTGCAGTAAACAGTATCGTGGACAGGTATCAATGAATAATTCGAAAGATATTAGAATTTCTATTTCAGAATCATCTTTTCTTCCTTTCAAAAAGTTCTTCTTTCGAAACAAAAGGAAGTATGTCGAGACACGATCCAGTGAATATGATATGTGACTTAAACTCTCCAGGTCGAGGTCTTAAAGCTTTATAAAAGTGAAGAAGTGAGAAAGTAGAGGTTGTCATGAACAGCAGAAGAAAGAGTCAGCACATTCACGTAGTTATCTGGTTTTCCATCATCGTTTGTAGTAATCCAATCCTTTTGGGAAAATCTGTAACTATAAGGAATTTGATCGATTGAGACGGGCTGTTTGCACAAATCCACAACTTACTATATAGGACTTATGGTTATCCCAGTCAACAAAACTCCTTGAGCAATCATTTTTTTTCTTATTTATTCTTTATTATTTATTAAAAATATATTAAAATGTTGACAAATATAGTAATTCAACATTTCATATTAAATTTGTTTATATTTATATAGAACGTCCCATGTGGAACAACGGGTGCGACTTGTTCGAAATCTGTGACCCTCAAAGTGTCGAGCACTGATGGAACTGAAGAGTCGGTTTCCCTTGCACAAGGGGCACCTTTGCCTGATGTCTCCAATTTGAAGAGGTATGATTATGTTTATTCTTGCATTGTAAGGAATAAATAGAATTTATTATTTAATGTTAAACTCATTTTATAAACTGGCAACCTAATCAAAATTAAAAATACATTGTAAGTAATTTTGAAGAAGTTGCACTCAAAACCCGTGAAGCCTAAGTAATTAAAGATTTTATATTATGTATCTAATGACAACCTCGTAGCTAGTGGCCAGTGTACGAGTATTTGACTGCTGCTAATACGAGTTTTGAATAATCTTAGTATTTTTGTAATGCTCGGTATACACTTATGGCAACAATTACAAAATTCTACGTTAGTATAACTTACATTAGTATCCGAAAATAGTCGTGGTGGTCGAAGTCTATCGGCTAAAACGTCTCACTAAAAATATTCAATAACACTATCATATGAGTCGATGAGGAATTAATATTTCAAAGCGAAAGCCAAAGCGGGTACTCTGAATAGATTAGTTTTATTTTGTTATTGATTACTTTGTCGTTGGTTTGATAAGTAGTTCTTAATATACAGAATCGTAAAAGCAAAATAAAAACTTGATTAATTCATACTTATTTTATTTTTAATGAAGAATCTTAATTAGGTACTTACTAACCCAGAACGGGCATTTGGGATACCTTCCCCTGCGTGGGTTCAATATACTCGTAGTTCTAACATGGTTTTAATTTCGCAGTAACAATATCGTTTACTTTACTACAGAATAAAGCTTCGCATCGCCGGTGCATACGTGTTCCTGGACGTGCCTTCACTGGGTATGAGTTTACAATGGGACCGTGAGCTGAGGGTCTACGTCAAAGTCGACTCCATGTGGCAGAACAGGGTCAGTGAGAGAAAACTTTGATTTTTTACGTGAAAATGTCTTACTTCGCACACCAATATGTTCAAAAAGTTAGCTTTAATCATCAGTTGTTCCCAAGAAAAATTGAATTTCGCTATTGTAAACCGTCGTTGCTCGAGGTGTGCACTTTTGGATTTTGCAAATTTTTCCAAATTATTTTTTGTACTATCTAGAACCGTTAAAGCTATTTTTAAAGTGTTCTCATTATTAACTACTTATTTTCATGTATTTCTTCGAGTGTGTTTTTTTAATTAGTTCGCGTTCTTAATTCCATGATTGCTCCATGTAGTACTTGCTTCATAGGAGGTGATCGCGTCCAAGCTATTTCAAATTTTTATTTTGTATTGTTAATTATTATGTAACATTGTAAACCATTCTTTTTTTGTGATTATAAACTATTCTTTTTTTTTTAAATGTTCCGCTGGGTTTCTTGCTGGTTCATCCCAATAGAGGTATTTTTGAACCAGTGGTGAATTGAACATTAGAGTGACTTTTAATAACTATTATTTATAATCTAATTAAAAAGTTTATATTTCTATTTCTATGAGTTTCCTTGTTTTAAAACTTATCATAAAGCTCATCGCAGGTGAAAGGTCTGTGCGGCAACTACAACGCGGACATGCGCGACGACTTCCAAACACCGTCAGGCGGCGGCTTCGCCGAGACATCTGCACTCATATTCGCCGACTCCTGGAAGCTGAGACCGACCTGTCCCAAGCCGCAAGAAGTTGCTGTGAGTCCTTTTTCTATTTTCAAATTTCTGTCAGGATCTTCCGAACAACCGATGTAAAATAAGTAAACGTGCTTATATAAATGACATTTTAATTTCTTACATAGAAAAATAAAGAGTTTTAATGTTATTTCATCTGAAGCTACAAACCGAAGGACGCAAAACAGCTCAATACTACTATAATCGTAGTGTTTCAAGTTTCAACGCTAGCAAAGAAGTTTATCAATAATTTGCGTTTAAATGTATTGTTGTACGATATATTTACCAATCGAATACTTACTTTACTTATGCAGGGTGTATCCTGGATAATACACAAACAACTGCTGAATGGTTGATATTTCGAATCTGATGACATATTTTAGTCCTTGTGGTAGATAAATATAGAACGCTTCACATTTTTCAATTATACCAACTCAGACATCCTATAAATCGGAACTTGAACGCTTCATAACGCGAAGAGTTATTAGGTAGTGTCTTACTTTGACAAGTCAAGGTCAAGTAATTTTGTAGTCTTAAAATGCCTCTGTCATAACCATATTACATTTATAAGATAATATGAGTAGCCGTATATCAAGAAAACACTTATTTACTAATCTATCTTATATTTTCTAAAAATCATTTTATATTGCTACTTTGATATAAAACGGTTTGAAAAAGTTTTTACATGGACGTCCGGATGTTGATTTTGTATGTTGTCACGATAATTCCCGAAAAAATTGACGTATCGAGACCGGGTTTTTTTATTAGCTTCAGAATTACATCAACTGGTTCCCCATTTCATATGAATAGCCTAGTACGCGTCGTTTGTTAATGAAATGATTTTCAAGTTTTATAAGTTATATTGCAATTAAAAATTTATAGGCGCTTTCATTTTTTTAGCCCTTGACAGACAAAGGACAAATGTACCATACTACCTATATCGATTTTATACTTTGTGTAATCGATTTATTTTGGTAATTTTTTTTTGATAAATATTAAATGAAATTCATGTGGGGTTCTTTTAGATTTTCCAAACTATTTAAAAATATGGCAAAACCATACAATACATACAATCATAGATGGTAGTAGATTAAACGAGAAGTTCTCAATGCATGTAAAAATATTAATTAAAATTTAAAAATAGCGACGTTTTATGTCTTGACATCATAATTACTAAGCCTTTGACTGTAGCACTACTGGGGCAATCAGGGCCACGACGTTCTCTGCAACCAAGGCAACGGCAATTAGGAATGAGGTGATGGTGAAAGATTTCATAGGGGGACTTATTTTGTTCGAAAATTGTAAGGGTTAATGTTTCTTTCTGAAATATTAGGTAGGTATATTATCTATTAATTGAATTTGAAATGGATAAACCAAACAACGGTTATTCTTAAAAGTAAGAAAATAAAAAAAAATCTATGGTGTACACAATTAAAGATCAAACCACAGATGTATTGTTCTGTGTATTTATACACTCTAAAAACAGATAAACTTTTATTTAAAACTCAAATTAAAATGATCTTGTGTAACAAATAACTGCAACTCACTCCCAAATAGCGATATGTTGTGATAGTAAAATGATTAGCCGTCATTGTTTCTAGATATTTGACTATATGTGTTTGTAAATATGTGATACGATACGATACGTTTAAGAATATCTATGTAACGTGTCCGCGTGTCGCCTGGTTGCGCAGGATCACTGCAAGCAGCGGCCGCAGCGCAAGGAGTGGGCGGCGGCGACGTGCGGCGCGCTGAAGCGGTTCCCGTTCGCGCTGTGCCACAGCGAGGTGCCGGTGGCGGCGTACGAGCGCGCGTGCGAGGCGGACGCGTGCGCGTGCGACGCGGGCGACGACTGCCGCTGCGCCTGCGCCGCGCTCGCGCACTACGCGCACGCCTGCGCCACGCGCGGCGTCACCTTCCCCTGGCGCTCGCAGCACCTGTGCCGTGAGTTCATCCATCCATCCATCCATCCACTACAGCCTATAAAATCCACTGCTGAATATAGGCCTCCCCCATAGATTACCTCATAGGGGGTATTTTGCCATTATTGCCACGTTTGGCATGCGGGCAAGAACAACAATTGTGAATAGGGTCAAAGTAGACAAAATTCTGAAGAAAATATTTATATCAACGTCTTCTAATTGAGATGAACAACTTTTCGTAGCCATGCAATGCGACGGCGAGTGCTCCAACTACAACCCGTGCATGTCTGCGTGCCCGCCCGAAACCTGTGACAATACGCTCGACTACGCCGAAGTTAAAACAGTTTGCGAAAAAGAAACCTGTGTTGAAGGTAAGCTATCTTTTTTTTTTATCCTTTACGTATATGATATACAATGATATACAACCTATCATACTCCATTGATGAACAAAATGACCTCACCTATATATAGTCGCCAGGCTTGGCAAGCGAGCTTGCAACCGGAATTTGTTGGAACGAAGTCGGATGGTACGGGGTCGGCGGATGGGAGTTATACGACAAAAAGTGTAACATTTTTTTGTCACTACCCCTTGTGTCATACTGTAGACGGCCTTGGCGACGAAATAAGGAAGTGAAATGGAATAATATCCATCTCCCTCGTACTTTTTCTTATCTTGCCATGATTCTTTATTTCAAATGACGCTTCATTTTAATAGTCGCTAGTAATTCATTTATTTGTATTTGTTAATCAATAATATAATACCTACGTTTATCAATAATAATATACTACGCAAGGAACTTCGTTTCAATCGAGTGTTCCACGACAATCACGATTTTTTTAAATTTGGGTATTTATCAAGAAGATGCTGCGGGCTGTTTGTTTCATTTGCCTGTGTCGCCTCTTAGGACTACTCACGGGATGATATGATACCTTAACTGACTTGTATCGAACCAAAAATATAATCAAATTTTAAATAGATATTTTTTTTAAACACACATGTTGTTGGATAATAATTTGAAAATAATCAAGATTATGCCTTTAGGCTTTAAGTTCGAACGTTTATTGCTAGAGCTTATATTCTTACTTACTCCTTATTCTTAACACTGCAATCATTCTTTATTTCTTTTCTTTCTTCTTTTAATTTTTCCACAAACACTAAATTTTAATTTTCTCTTTCTCAAGGTTGTAAACCCAAGAAGTCTTGCCCAGAAGGCTATGTTTATTCCAACAGTACACTAACAGAATGCGTTCCCCGCGCCAAATGCCGTCCAGTATGCATGACCCTTGAGAACGGAAAAGAAATTCTGGAAGGGGAGGTCATCGAGGAAGACGAATGTCACACCTGTCGATGCTCTAAGAAGACGAAGGTCTGCACTGGTCAACCATGTCCAACGGAGGTGAGCATAGTTTTTTAGGTTATTTTTTATAGTATAAGGGTGACAGACGAGCACACAGTCCACCTGATGGTAAGTGGTTGCTATTGCCCATAGACGTCTACATCTATCCTCGATTACGAATCAAAATACAGATACATTGGCACACGTGAGGACTAAGATGGAATGCCCCATTTCCAGTGAAAACGGTCTCCGGTTCTCTACTACGTAAAATAGAAGTAGTGGGCTTCTTTTTTGCCAAGAAGTTCGTCTGGGTTTCTACTATCCTCCTTTCTATCACTATCGCCAAATAACAGTGCTTGCACTGCTGTTTTCCAGTTCGAATGTTATAGAGATCCAATATAATTACAGGTTGTGATGCATTCCAACTTAGTCCGCAGAGGTGACAACGCATCTGTAATCCTCTTTGTTTGAAGTTGGCTGCTAGTGACCTGTATGTTCGTTTGTCTTTTTAGTTTTAATTTATCTACCAGTGCAGTATTCAGTACTATAGGTTTTACACTTTTGACGCTGTTACCCGCAATTTTGTGTATTATTTTACACCTGACTGATGTTTCCTGCCATTTGTCGGGACCCATGAGAACTTTCTTGAATTTTTGAACACGGGACGGCCTAACTACCACAGGTGAAAGATATCTATGGATAATGAAAATCACTTGTCTAAGTAACTAATTATTATTATTATTAATAAATACCAATATTAATATATATCATTTACAAGCTCCGAACATTAAAATATAACTATTGATAACCCTTTACCAAATTCCGTTTAAGACCACGCCACCGGGCCCCTCTACGTCGCCGAAGCCTCTGGATGAACCACTTAAGTGTGTGCCGGGCTGGACCGGTTGGATCAACCGCGGCCCGCCGGAGATCGGACCAGACGGCGCGTCCGTAGAGAGTGAACCGCTACCACGTCCCAACGAACTAGTGAGTACTCATTTTTGAAAATATACATAGTCCAAACATTTTTTTAATTGTACATTGCGTGTTTCACTTTAATAACATTAAGTATCAATTTATAAGTTAAGTTAATTCCAACTAAGTTTTGTTTGACTGTCCATGTTTCATTGTAACATTTCTAAAGGTTTTAACTGAAAGCTCTTATCTCACAGGTGATCGGTTCCCCGATGTGCAAGGCTGATATGATAAAGAAGATCGAGTGTCGCACCGTCGACAGTCACAAGACCGCCAAGGAAACCGGCCTGGACGTCGAATGCAGCCTGGAGAAGGGACTCGTGTGCCACGAACAAGAGAACACCTGTCCAGACTTCGAGATACGAGTCTTCTGCGAATGTGGAGGTAACCAGAGATCCATATTACTGGCATTACTTCTTAGTCCTTAGTGGTCACAACTCATAACGCATCTTTTTTATAAGAGTGCCATAAGTTACCAGTAAAAATGAACACAGCAGAATTATGTTTCTATTTCACGCTGGTATTTTATGCAGTTGTGATTCCCAGGTCGAGTCGCTCTACCACGTACATATTTGCATTTTAAATCTTAATTGAGGCTAGATGTGATGACTGACTTCTGATGAAATTGGCATCATGATTTATGTTTCTGTTTCTTCACTCTGCCGAAATTATATAAATTAGTATAACGGCGAAAGAATTATTGGAACGAAGTTCCTTATCGGACGGTACGAGTTTGGCGGATGGGAGCTAGGTGACAAAAAGTCTAAGATTTTTTCGTCACTACCCCTTGTGTCATAGTGTAGACGGCCTTTGCGGCGAAATAAGAAAGTGAGAAGGAATAATATCCATCTCCCTCGCACTTTCTCTTATCTTGCCTTGAAAGAAATATTATTTTATTTCAAATGACGCTTCATTTTAATAGACGCTAGTAATTCATTTATTTGTATTCGTTAATCAATAATATAATACCTACGTTTATCAATAATAATATACTACGCAAGGAACCCGAGTGTTCCACGATACTCAAGCATTTTTTTTTGTTAAATAATTGTTGTAAATGTAGCTAACAAATACATTTCTAACGCAGCACAACAATGTAAGGACATCATTTTTTACAGTGGACTTTTGATGGTAAGTCCACTGATAAAAACAGGTCTTGCCCATAGACTGCTTCATAAGGTAGATATTTGCCTTAGTTGCGACGCTTGGGAGGTGGTACCGCCGAAACCAGATTTCTTTTATTATTTTCAGATGTTATTAGTTAGACGCTGCTGCTCTTTTCCTTTTTCGGTTTCTCTCTATCGCCTCTTACGACAACTAACGGGATTATATGGAGTAGTGGATTATCTTACCTCGCAATTACATGGCACTGCAGTTAGTGCTTTGCAAAATGTATTGTATTTCACTCCAACGTATTTTTATTTTTAATCTGCAGAAACGTTCCAATGTCTGAACGTGACCCACCCTAACAATCCACACCCAACGGACTGTAGCAAGTTCTACGAGTGCACACCGGACCTAATGAATCCAGACAAGCCCCATGCTGTGCTGAAGCAGTGTGGCGAGGGTTTGCTGTACAACCCGAAGCTGATGATCTGCGACTGGCCCGCCGCAGTGTACGCAGTGCGACCAGAGTGCGGGTCCACTCCATCTACTACCCCTACTACCACTGGTAAGAACGACTGCTCTAAGTATATCCACCTACAGGTTGATATAATGTATTATAGTCTGTTCGCCGAGTCGAGCTAGTATAATGCTATCTCAATGCGTAATTGCATACAAAAGACAAGGACATAAGAATGAGTTTTTAGCCTAACAGGCGTGACCTAGCGGTCGAAAAAGTTAAGACGCGTTCATAATATAACACAAAAAGAAGGCACAGATTTTAAAATAGCATTTTTATTAGAAATTACTAAATTACCATTCACCCTCTGACGAATCACCACTACTCTCGCTAACCACATTTATAATACAGTATTTTATCATAACTCCTACATTCCTATCAGCATCAGTTCTACAAATTAATATCAATCTGCGAGGCCGTTGGTGTAGCATTTTTAAAAGAGTGAATCATATTGCAAATCATCGTATTTCCAGTAGATGCAAATGGGCGTCGGCATCTTTTTTTTTTAAACACAATTAGTCCAATAACAAGCCAGATCGCGTTATAGAAAGAAGCGGTCGTACTCGGAATATTCGCAGAGAACTTTCGAAGCGTCTGAACTAAATATACTGGGTGCAAAACTGATTTTACTTACAATGTGAACGCTGCCTATGCGTTTATCTCTAACGAATCAGGCGCGAGGAAATTTTCTCGGTACTAGCTCGACTCGGCGAACACATTGTAGTATGTATAGTCAGTTATTGGGATTTCCTGTCAAGAAATCTCAATAGCAGTCCGGAGTCAGAAAGTCGGTGGTTTTTCTCCTTCGTGCCTCGGAAAGCATGTAATGTCATCGGTCCTCCGCCCGGTCTGATCTCCGATCGTGTGAGATTGCCTTCCCATCGGACTATAAGAGTGAAGAAATAGAGCGTGTATCTATACGCATACACTCGTGCACTATAATCCTATCTTGCGCAAATGCCTAGTCCCATTAAGACTGGTCTCTGTTACTGAAATTCGGTCTGGTAATTCGGTAGGATTTTACCACGCAACTCTACTGGGGTTTGCATAAATTCTAAAAAATATAACATACATAAATATGTTATGCCTATAACCATTAAAAGGATGATAACACGTTGGCCATTCATATTCCAACTAGATACTTATCCAATAACTGAAGTACGGTATGCAGAAGTGCAGCACTGACTCCTTTCATTCTATTCGTGTCAGGTTTCTTCATCAGCCCGTAAGTCCCTTGGTAGATGGTAAGCATCGGTTAAACAGACTTTTGTGACCGAAATTCGGTCCAACGGATCCCAGTTGGTGCCAACATTTGTGCAAATTCGACATTTCCATTCATGTTACTTTCGTTTTAAAGATGCCATTTATATAATTATAGTTTTATTTGTAGTGAAAGAAATATAACAGATTGTTTGAAATTATATTTACTCTTTTTCAGAATACCAAGAGATCATTGTTTCTGAAACACCAGGAGGTAAGTTTAAATTTTTTTCTTGACGATGCTTACAAAGAAATATGTTAACAATGATATTAAAAGTAGTATTCGACATTTGACAGATTTTACGAATTTTGTTTACGAATGGTTTCAATGCATTGTTTTTATGAGTTAATGTGTTTAAATTAAAACGTTTGGAATTGTGTTTCAGAGCCAAGACTCATAACATCAGAAGATTTCATCATTACTTCCACGTCCACTGCTGGTGAGTTCCCATATTTATAGATTATACTTTCTATTCATTTCTCCTTGGCTTACTCTAATCTTTATTTAGATGGGTATTCAAAACATCATTCATCATCATCATTACAGCCCATTATAAGCCCACTGCAGAATATAGGCCTGCCCCGAGAAATGACAAGAAGCACGGTCCTGAGCCAACTGCATCTATCGAGTTCCTGCATACCTTACCAGGTCATCACTCCATCTAGTAGGGAGTCCTTTCTTTCCCGTCGGTTGTCGGTACTTCGGCCCATATGACCGGCCCATTGCCACTTTAGATTACTGATCCGTTGTGCTATGTCAATTACTCTGATTCTGCTGCGGATATGCTCATTACAAAGTCACACAGAGAAACTCCGAGAATAATCTTCTCTATTGAGCGACCTTATCCACACATTGTTCCAATATTAATTGTATTTTTAACATTTTTATTATATTGAATATTGTATGAATTACATAGCAGAACCATGCTGTAGCTATATTATGGTTGTAGCACGAATGGGTCTGCTTGACCGGGGAAGGACCACACTCTCACAAAATACCAGCATAAAATAGAAGCTCAATGCAGTTAGGTTTCGTATGATGAGTGTAGAGAACCGGAGATCCTTTTTACTGGAAATGAGACATTCCATCTTAGACCTCATCGGCGGCATAGCATCTGCATTTTGACTTCTAATCGAGGATAGACGATGTTTATAAGCTACAGCATACCACTCGTTTATTCCATGAAAAAAAGGACACTATATTTTATTGAGATTGCAAAGAGACAGTAAGTCTTCATAACTTGGGACATATGTTTATCATGGGTATAATAAACAGTCTGATGATAATGTAGATGATAAGGATTTTTCAACATTTCCGCAATTAACATTACAGCAACGACTCCTCTGCCGATCACCACCGGTATCTGCCCACCTGGGCAAGTGTTTTCTTCCTGTGCGTATCCCTGTGACAACCTGTGCGAACACTTCTTGCAATCTCTACGGGAGAAGGGGCAATGTTTGCCTGGGCAGGTAAGATTCCACCAGCATAGTTTATAATTTTATATTTTAATTTATAATATTTTTTGTACAAAGGCAAAAAGTAACTTAATGTAGCTGACTTAACTTAATGCTTTGTATTTAATGTTCACCCAAAGTATTAAGTTAGCCAAGTCGATCATTTTTTGTACGTTGCTTATATATAAATTATAATATCGTCTTCTATACAAAAACCGCTTGCAGATTTGTAAAGCGTTGGTTCTAGCTCATATAGAGTATTGTTTCACTTGACCTCACTCAACGAAAAGCGCTTCCAATCGTTGCGTCCAAGTTCCTTTCGATCGGTTTGTACCACTAGCCTTTCGAATTGCTTTATTTCAGTTCATCTTCTATCGCATAAGCTAGGGGGGGTGCTCAAAATAATTGTTTAGATTAATTACAGCAGCTAAATTCCTCATACATCGTACTTAGAGACTGAGCTCGAAATTCCATCCTCATCATCTCGATGTTTCGCTATCCACTATCATGGGCTTTGCAAGGAATTTTCTGCCACGCATTACCGCGTTGTGATATTTACTTTTTCCAGCGGTTTTCCCGGACTGAAACCACTTAGGGACCTTTTCGGGTTCGTTGTTCGCGTCCCTTAACCACTAGGCTACTTTCACTAATCACTTTTTTATAATTACTACTTTTGTTTTTGCTGGATGATCGTCAATCATAAGATTATTATATAACCAACATTTTATGATTTTAATTCTTTATGACCTGATTAATGATTGGGTGGATCGTTTTTAGAAATGCGTGAAGGCGTGCATCGACGAGTCGGTCGCCAATATCAAGTGCGAGTTCGGTTCAAAGTGGCGCGACGAGGCGACCTGCGTGCCGCTAAAAGACTGCACTTGTTATGACGATGGACAGAGAGTCAAGGTAACTGAGTTTCCTATATTTCTACAAATCTTACATATTATTAACAATATATTTTACGTTTGAAAATTACTATTATTTATTTTTTGAAATTTAAATCTTGTATAGTTTTTATTTTTATTCGCATAAGCAGGTACTGTATTTAAGATCTAAATGCAACAACGCTATGGTAATGCTTATACGTGGTAGAACCATGCTGCAGCTATATTAGTAGTGTAGCTGTAGCACGAATGGGTCGGCTCAACCGGGGAGGGACCACGCTCTCACAGAATACCAGCATAAAATAACAGCTTAATGCTGCTTTGTTTTGTATGGTGAGTGTAGAGAACCGGAGACCATTTTTACTGGAAAAGGGGCATTCCATCACCTCACGGGTGACAACGCATCTGCAGTTTGAATCGCAAACGAGGATAGATGTTAAGGCCTGTTTTCACTTTGATAAGTGATTAGTGCAGGTGCTTAGTGTTTAGGAGTAAACACGTGTGGACAGCGATTGATTAGTGCAAGTGATTAATAACCTGTGTAGTAAAGTGATTAAAAGCGTGTTCTATTTTTTTGCGAGTGGCTTGCGAGTGTCACGCCCCACGCGCCCTTCCTTTCCTCTCACTCGCAGCATGCCTGCCACTAAACATGTATGAACAGCAGTGCTAAGTGTTTAGCGTTTAGCGTCGGACGCTCGCATCTGTTAAAAAAATGTCCATACTTCCTGGTCGACTGCTAACAACTGAATATACTAAACACAGCCACTAAACAGAATTGGACACTACTTACACTACACACCTGCACTAATCAACCGCAAAACTAATCACTCGCACTAATCAAAGTGAAAACAGGCCTTAATGTCTATGGGCCACAGCAACCACTTACCATCATCACGAATGGGTTGCCTCTATCGGGAAAAGGTCTACGCTCTCACGGAACAGTATTAAATAGTGGAATAATGCTGCTGTGTTTGGTATGGTGAATGTAGTTAATCGGAGACCCTTTTTATTGGAAATGAGGCGATCCATCTGAGTCCTCGAGGGCACAACGCATCTGCATCCAAATTCTAAATCGATGATAGATGTATATGCCTATTGACCACAGTACCCACTTACCATTTGGTGCACTATTTGGTCGGTTGCCACTCTTAATTTAAAACCAAAAAAAAATTGTTACTACAGCATGTCTTTTTGTCTTCAGCCTGGCGGTGTAGTCGTTCATGGCTGCGAGAAATGTCAGTGCCTGGACAACGTACTGCACTGCGATACGACAGACTGCGTGTCCGTTTTCACGTCCGTCGGACCCACGCACATGCCGTACATCATTGAGCCGCACTATACCACTCAAAGCCCCACTCCCAGCACTACAATCGCCCCTACCAAGCCCACCCATGTGACCGTTTCGTCCACCTGGACGCCCACTCCCACCTTCAAAACGACTCCAACTTCAACTTTGCCCCCCACGACTCCCTCAGTTGGGACAACCGAGCGCACCACTTCCGAAGCAACAAGCACCACAGCGGCAAACATCACAACATCCCATCCGCCTCTCATCATCAAATCTACCGCGACCCCGCCTCCAGAGTGTAATCCAAGCAAGTAAGTAGTAGCCCACTGATCTATGGCCAAAACTGCGGTCTCTTTAGTATTTGCATCAATTAATTACAGCCTATTATTGTAAATGTCCACTATTGAACACAGGCCTCCCCTATAGATTGTTAATGAAGGGAGATTTGCCATAGTGGCCGGCTTGGCAGGCAAGTTGGTAACCGCGATTTTTTAAATTAATTTGAGTTATCAGAAAGATGCTGCTACCCTTTTGCTGTTGCAGTTTCATTATGTCGCCTCTTATGACACTCGCGTGATGATAATATGGAGCAGTAGATTCTCTTAAGAAGCCAGTCTCTTTAGCACATAATTATTTATTTCTTCCCTTTCTTTTTTGTGAATTATCTCGAACAAATTGCCGCGTAGGAAGCATTAAGACCGCCTTTGAATTTCTCATATTTTGTATGTTTTTAGTTTCATCTCTTCTTGGTGTGCAATCAAAAGTATTGTATTGTTATTTTAAATGTTAGCTTTTTGTGTAAAAATTGCATGTACAATTTTCATTGGTAAAGTTACAGTTTTACGGCAGCAAAGAAATGGTTGATTGAATTTTTAAGCGCTGATTTACCACGTGCTCGGCGGAAGGAAAACATCGTGAGAAAACCTGCATTACTGTGGAATAAGAAAAAAGACATGTGAACACGCATTGGGGCAGCGCGGCGGACATTTCCTTGACCTAAAACCTTCTCTTAAATTAGAGAAGGCCTGTGCCCAGCACATATAGAGGCTGTAACTTTAACTTTTAACAGTCTGGGACCTGGTAAGATATGCAGGAAGTCGATGGATGCGGGTGTCTCAGAACCGTGCTTTGTGGCGATCCATGGAAGAGGACTTTGTTCATTAATAGACTAAAGGGCTGTAATGATGACGATAATCACGATGAAGGTTACAGTCTATACGGGTTCCAACACAGTCCTTCTCCAATAAGTCACATGTCCTCGATATATTTCATTTCTCAGACATGCAGGTGCAAGGACAATTACCCAGACACAGAGCAATTATTTGTAGGTCATATAAATACTTATTCCGTGCGGGAACATAACCCGCAGTCCTCAGCGCAGCAACTCATTGCTAAACCACTGCAATTCATAGCCGTTATAACTACGCAGTTTATTTTTAATAATTTAAGAATATATAAACATGGCAGTAGTAGATATGGATTGTATGGTGAAAAAAAGTTAATCCATGTGGGGTTAACCCATCCGGTGGTTGTCATAAGAGGCTACAGAGGGATATTGAACCAGAAGATGGACAGCATCGTCTTCCTAATAATATTTTTTTATAGGATAGGGTGATAGACATCTATCTACATCTATCCTCAATAAAGAATCAAACTGCAGATGTGTTGTCACCCGTGAGGACTAAGATGGAATGCCTCTTTTCCAGTAAAAAGGGTCTCCGGTTCTCTACAGTTCTCTCCGGTTCTCAACATACGAAACACAGTAGTGTTAAGCTGCTATTTTACGCTGGTATTCTGTGAGAGCGTGGTCCTTCCCCGGCCGAGTCGACCCATTTGTACTACAACTATACTTCTAATATAGCTGCAGCATGGCTCTACCACGTATAAAAGTAAACTAAACTAATAAGTACAAAAAAAAAACTGCGGTTGCCAACATGCTTACCCAGCGTGGTAACTATGGCAAATATCCTCTCTATGAAGCAATCTATGGCCTACACGTATGTTCAGCAGTGGACTTTCGATTGACTGTTGTTTCGTAGTTTCATTATAAAGGGCATAGAAATACGTTTGTATGGAGACTAAACGCCTTCCTAATGTCCTTTTGATATGTTAAATAATTGTTCCAGTTATAAATACCTATTATGGGAAGAAGATCGGGTACCGAAGTCGGCATTCTCAGCCAGCTCGGTGGCGAGCGCTTTGTTCGAGCCGCAATACGCGGAACTGAACGGACATCCTCTGGACGTTTCTGGTGGGTAACTATAAATAATATATTATAACGAATTCACGCAGTTTATTCAAATAAATATATAAATCTATCATAAATTACGTTTTTATGAAATAATGGCTAAGTTGATTCCGAAAATTAATTTGTTCTTGAAACTTGTGTTAAATACTAAAGTATATATAAAAACAATTGCAGATTTCAATTTAAATCTCGTAGAAAGATGAGCGATATTATATTTTTAAATTATATTTAAAATTATTTTAAAAAGCTTTTTTCATCAGAAAATTAATCTTATTTGTAGTTTTCCATTAAGTTTAATATATTTAATTTTCTGATGAAAAAAACCTAGTAATCGGGGAATAATAAATGTTTTCTTACTATCCTGTAATTTTTTGAAAAATTGAGGTTCGCCCCTTTGCGGCGTCAACGACGACTGGTACGACCAATACAGGCAGATATAGTACAACTGTACAAATTTATAAAAATCTTTCAGCCGGCTCATGGAATCCGAAGACGATGGACTCGAACCAGTACATTCAAGTGGAGTTTCCCCGGCGCGAGCCGATCTACGGAGTGATAATGCAGGGCAGCCCACTCTTCGACCAGTACGTCACCAGTTACGAGGTTATGTACGGCGACGACGGTAACGTTTTCTCTACGGTGGACGGACCTGACGGGCATCCTAAGGTGAATCTTTACTCACTAATGCTTATCAAAGTTGGACGTTATTACGCAAATAGATCCAACACACAAAGAGATTCCATTTTTTGATATACTGAAGTATTGTGCTTGGATCGTTATTAATTTTTGTTTTTTTTTTTTTTTACCTGCGCATTTTCTTTCGCCGTTTCTTCTCCGGTCAAAGTAATCTCATTTCGAAATGATTTGGATTTGGATTTGGAGATAAAATGACATTTGATAAACAATTTCATATCTTACGTCGAAGAAATTTATCAATTGCTTCGATTTCTTTGTAACTTCGCATTTTATGGAGTGAAACCTTTGCTGGGACTGATTTTGTACGAAAAAGTCATTCTTACGTTATTTATTTATGTTGACTTAATTATGTCCATATATCAGTTCAATCATAATATCCTCCAGACCAAATTTCGGTTACGGCAGCCAATCTCAATGGAGACTAGCCATCTGCGCAGGACAATATTTATAGTGGACGAGTGCACACCTTTCCTCACTCTCATGATCTGATGGGACGGCAATAACACGACTGGACAAAAATCAGGCGTAGAACCAACGGCTTTACAAGCTTCCCGAAGCACGGGGGCGCAATACCGCCAATCTCCTGACTCTCTGCTGCTACTGAGACAGAAAAATAACCCAGTTTAACTGAATTTTTGGCCCCACCTGAAATTCGAACACATGATCAGTAGCTGCGCTCACGACCACTAGATCCACGAGGCAGTCCATTCAATCACTCACCAACAATTTTGTTTCGTCGCAGGTTTTCCGCGGCCCAGTGGACAACAACACACCCATAAAACAAATGATCGAGCCTCCGATCGAGGCCAAGTTCGTTCGCATCCGTCCGCTCACGTGGCACGATGAGATCGCCGTGCGCTTTGAGCTCATCGGCTGCCAGGAGCCCACCACCACCACGCCACTACCCACCACCAGCACAGTTACCACGGTTAGTATGTATAACGACCTGCACATTGTGAATATCTAATAAAAAAATCTTTATTGGTCTTCTTTTCTTTTTTAAACCGACACTAGGATTTTCCCCTTTTTATAGGATAAATTACACATGGAAAAATAAGCTTAAATAATTATTTATAGGCCATATATACATACGTACACGTGGTAGAGCCAAACTGCAGCTAATATAGCTGTGGCTGTAATACAAATGGTCAGCTTGACCTGGGAAGGACCACACTCTCACAGAATAATAGAGTGAAATAGCAGCTTAATGCCGCTGTGTTTCGTCTGGTGAGTGTAGAAAACCGTAACCATTTTAACTGGAAAGGATGCATTCTATCTTAGTTCTCAGGGGTGGCAGCGCATCTGAATTTTGATTCTAAATCGATAAATGTAGATTTTTATGGGGATAGATGATGAGGATAGATGTAGATATATATGCCTGACACTTTTATAACTTTGCTCACCATTTTCTCAGCACTCTTCGTTTCGAAGACGAATAGTAATAGCTACTTTAAAATATATCTCTTGATACAATTTATAAAAAAGTAAACTATACATATAACGTGAAATTAAGCTAATTTGCGTTTTTCAGCCCGAGCCAATGCAATGCACGGAACCACTGGGCTTGGGAGCCGATCTGCCTATAGAGAGCATCGAGGTATCCTCTAACAATGACGCGAGACCTTTCTTGAAACTGGACAGCGAAAAAGCCTGGAGGCCTATCTACAGCACACCTGGGGAATGGATAATGGTTAGTTAATAGCAGCTGCCTGAAGTATATTCAAATTGGGATATAGAAGATCACAATTTGGGATATTTAATATTCTTTTATATACTATTACTTTTTATATTATTAAAACATTTTATTAAAAGGAGAAGGACCTTCTTTATACGTGGTAGAACCATGCTGCAGCTATATTAGTAGTATAGTTGTAGCACGAATAGGTCAGCTCGACCGGGGAAGGACCACGCTCTCACATAATACCAACGTGAAATAGCAGCTTAACCCTACTGTGTTTCGAATGGTGAGTGTAGAGAACCGGAGAACCTTTTTACTGGAAATGAAGCATTCCATCTTAGTCCTCACTGATCACTGACTGTGTGCTCGTTTTTCACCTTTATCCCTTATCCTATAAAAAATATATTATTTTCATATTATTTTAGTCGAGTTGTTACCTAAATACCTACAATAGACATCACTGCTGACCGTAAAATGATGCTCTAGTTCTTTCAACGAGTTATGGGAAGGGCTATGCTCGGCGTTGCTCTGCGTGAATAAATAAGTAACAAGTTTATACTTATTACTAAAAAAAATTACACCGATGTAGTGAAATGTGATGCCGGTTTTTTCACCATAATCACATGGCGACAAAATGTTAAAAGCTTTGAATTTAATATTAAATATATGTAATTTAGTGTAGTGGCGGTGTAAGAATATTTACTACCCCATATTATCATCCCGTGAGTGTCGTAACAGGCGACAGAGGTTATCAGATCAGGAGACGGGCAGCAGCGTCTTCCAAATAACAATGAAAAAAACTTCGGTTGCCAACCCGCCCGCCAAGTGTGGCAACAATAGCAAATATCCCCCATATGAGGCAATCTATAGGGGAGTCCTATGTTCACCAGTAGACTTTTAATAGGCTGTAACGAAACAGAAATATGAATACGGCAATAGCTTTGCCCTTTAGCTACTACGGCTCCAACATTCTGGTACAAGACGTGTTGAAATTTGAAGTAAGTTGTTGACGGTGAAGGATAACACGGTGAACAAACCCGCATATCTGTGGAATAAAATATGTCAAGAACACGTTGTGAAGTCCACCTACAAGCACTGGCAAAGATGTATAATCACTACATTTGAAGCACTGGAGCAGTGCGACAGACTAATTACTCCCTAATCTCCTCAGAAATGAAGATGCCTATGTCTAACTATGGAGCCTATATAGGCCATTACTTACTTTAACAATAGATATATACGAGTACATTATATACTTGAGCTGCAGATAATTTATTCTTCTTTATTCTTTTCCAATACAGTTCAACTTCATGTCACCGCGCAACATCACCGGTATTAAAACGAAGGGCGGAGTAAACGGCTGGGTGACAGCGTACAACGTCATGTATACCTCCAACTTGTCGGTGCCATTTAGTCCAGTTGTGGACGGTAGTGGCGCTAGGCAGTTATTCCCAGCAAACTTCGATGGTAACACCGTCGTGTCTGCCGAGTTCCGGCCTCCCATACGCGCTCAGTATCTTAAGGTGCTGCCTATTAAGTGGGCTGGCAATATGGAGATGAGGGTGGAGCCTATTGGATGTTTCGAGCCTTATCGTAAGTGTTTAACTTTTTGACTTTCATTATGTGGTAGGGCTATTTTTCTGTCTAGTAATCTCTCTGGATTTCTTACTTGATTCTCCCACTGAGCATCATTGTCCACTGGTGTGTTCCTTTTCCGGGAGCTTAAGTGGTCAACTACCACCAGACGCTTACAAATTGTTTGCCACTATTGTGTTATAAAAATGTTATTGTAAAACTATATCATTGCCAAAACGTATTTTCATGATTATTTATCTACTTATTTTTATTGCGTACAAAACCTTAAGAAATAGATTACAAAAGGCGGATTTAATGTCGTTTCGCATACTCATCCATTGAACCCAACGATATATCGTATATATGGGTGCCGAAACCAAAATAACGTTGAAGTAATTCAGCTGTACAACAGTGCTATTTACAATAATTTAAATCTTTGTATAACCGACTTCAATATAAATTATTAAGAATAACTCAAAAACTAGTCGTCAGACCTTGATCAAATTTATGTGGGACCACATGAGAAGCACCAGCTTTCAAATAAAAAAAGGGGTAACACACATATGAAAAAAACATACAGTCGAATTGAGTACCTTCCCCTTTTTGAAGTCGGTAGAAAAAATAACAACTAGCAAAGCTGCGCATGAGCATAAGTTTAAGTAGTCGAGTCGAAGTAGTCAATTTGCTGTTTCTAGCTGTCACTAGTTGAATTTAAGGCAATATTTTTTGAATGAAATGAAATTATTTCTTTCCGGTCATATCCTCATTATTGTTTCCATATTTTAGTGAGCCCAACCCTGTCTGCATTGAATAGACCGTATATTAGTAGCTTTTTGTTTATGTATGATGACTTTCAATTATTTAAAGTTATTACCTTATTATCATCAAACCATCAATAGATTTTATACTAGTCATTTGGACTGAATAATTCCCTAACGTCTTTCCATGACATTGATTTTGAAGTAGCTATTTGAACTGAGAAATGCCCTAGGAACATTCCTCATTTGACCAATTTTTCCTTGTTATTCACCAGCTACAACTGTGGCGCCTACGCTGATGCCCACAACGAATAAATCTGGCTGTGAGCCGTGTCCCGGCGTACATGTGGTGGCTTGCAACTGCTCCGAGTCAGCACACTACTTCGACGGCGATGCTTGCGTCTCTAGGGACCAGTGCCCTTGCGTGGAAGGATTTATGACGTAAGCTTGTTTAAAACTCTTGTATATTTACTTAAAATAATTAAATGTTATTTTTCTTAACCAGCATTTATTAATCCATTACTGTATTAAGATGGAAAATGCCAGAGGTAAAACTATCACGTTTTACCGTTTTCGAACTAAATGAACTGATGATTTAGCAAATATGATATTACTTACAATATTTGGGATTATATTAGGGTTATTAAATTTTAAATATTACATTTATAAATTACTGTATAATTGGTAAGCCTTATTTTACACTATACCAAAAGGTTGCAAACGACTGCCTTAAGGTTATGATTAATCAGTATTAAGTAATAAAAATATCTGATTCAGGTTTATGATAAATGTATGTATGTAGGTTATATTAATGTAGGTTATGTATTTGCTGTGTAGTGGCGGCGGAAGAGAATCCGCTGCCACAAATTACTCATATCATCCCTTTTAAAAGGCATCAGAGGAAAGGAGATAGAGATAGGTAGCAACATCTTCCTGATAATAATGCAAAATATAAAAACTACGGCAAATACCCCTAAGTCTGTCGATGTTATGCAGTGAACTTTTGATAAACTGTAATGATGAAAAATGACGTATATATTATGGGTGTAATTTTATTTCAGTATTGAAAATACTTATAAAAATTATATCTTTTCAGGTATGCAGTCGGCTCGATCTTCCGCGGAACGAACTGCGACGAGTGTATGTGCAAGCTGGGTGGTATCACCGACTGCAAGCCTGTTACGGAATGCAAATGCGCACCGGTTAGTAAAAAGTATTTTTGTTAAATTTTTAACGAGTATAAAATTAAAACAACTTCTTGTACGGGGAAACATATTTTGAGTCTGTTTTTGCTGATCTATACTTAGAAAATAACTTACATGATATATGCTATTGGGTTCCGCTCATTTATTACAGCATTATTGAGATGGAAAAGTCCGCTGCAAATTTAAATATTTAAGATTTTATCACAATATTTTTCGTCACCCCCGAGCACATGTTGTTAAATAAAATACAATCAACGGTGCCGGCGGGGATTGAACTCGATTTACTCGCATATAATGATATGTAAAGCGTAGACACTCGCCTTAAACTATCATGGATATTCACTTCTATATATTAAATTAATACTTTATTCCAACACAGGAGCTCGTACCAAAACTCTCGTCTTCTACCTGCGAGTGCTCATGTGAACCTTGTCCCGAGGGAACTAAGATCTGTCCGAACAGCAAGATTTGCCTACCGCTAGAAAAATGGTGCGACGGTCTGCAAGACTGTGGTGACGACGAACGCGAGTGTAGCACCACCAGTGTTAAGACCACCGTCACTGAGCCCACTGTCGTCACCACTGTAGTCCCCACCGTTGCTGTCACGCCACCTGCTACGACCACACAGAAACGTAAGTTGATCTACAGTTTAACAAATCAGTCATTGACAGCTACATTAGTTGAAACCTGTTGCTGAACCAAATAAAGAAAAATAAAAATAAAATAGAGAAAATATAAACCGGTCGTTGATCTTATGGTCATCGTTGGTGCAACTGCTACAGAAGGCTTAGACGGCTTCACAGCACAGTGGTTTAGCAAAAAAGAAAATTCTCAAAAAAGTGTAGGGGTAACGTTTAAAAAAAAGAACAAGGAACCAACTTCGCTGCAATGTAATGTGTAAGTTTTTATGTCACTGATTTATTTTCAAATAGTTTCAAGTGAATATATAATATAATAAAATATTTTGAACGAATACAATAAAAAAAGTTGAAGGACGTCTTCTACTGCGCATAGGTGGGTCTCGCGATTAATAACGCATGTTTCTATATAATTGAACTCCTTTGTTACCAAGTTAACATTAGACACAAAGCTTAAACTGCTTATATATGAACATCATTATGTATAGTTGATAACAAATAAAAGTGGTTAAAACTTTATTCCTTTGAGGAACTACGAGTATATTATAGCCACTGCTCATACGGTAAACGGTAATATTTTATTTTAATAACTAGGAGGAAGATATTACTATATGCTGTAATTTTCTTTATTCGTCCTGACCAAAAATAACATATAGGCTCATAAATACTTGGATACCATAAATATTTAACTATTCTTTATATATTTAGCTTTTGTTATCGAAATTAAATGATGTGTATATGTTTACCTTTCAACTTATTTTGATTTGTTCTTAGATAGTGCTAAGAACGTCAATTCTCATGTTACGTGTTGATGACAAATACAAAGACTTGATCAAGCTTGTGCTTGAAAAAAAATAATAATTCTCGATAATCGTCTGATTTTTATGCACTATAGATTCTTTTTATTTTATTTTAAAACGATAGCGCAGCGGTTTTTAGGAACTTAAAATTTGACAAAAAAAATAGGCACCTTTACTAAATGATTTCTAATTAATTTTTTTTCAGCTCTGTCGTGCCCAAAGGTAGAGTGCCCGCCTGGTTACTTCGTTCAATACACTTCAAACTCCCGTCCTAGCTACTCACGGTCTTCAACTTCTGACTTACCTCCGCCAAGACCTAGATATTCCTACCAGAGGTATTACCGGGGCGGCTACGCTAAGGGCGGCTTCTCTAAGGGTGGTTTCTCAAAGACCGGATACTCTAAAGGAGGATTTTCTAAAGGCGGCCGCTATGGTTAGTATTTTCCTTTTCTATATCAGCTTAAAATTTTGATGAAAATAGAATTATGTAATGGTTTCCATTAATTTTTGATAAGAAATACAGGGTTATTTTGCAATATATGCCCAAATTTGCAGAAAAGGTTCAGAATAAATAATACTTATATATTTGAACTTTCATTATTTATATATTTGAACTTAAATACAAAATTTGGATACTATGAAAAATAACCCTGTATTAAACAGTTTAATCAGTCAGTCAGTTTAATATACAAAGCAAAATGGTGATAGAAAATATGATAAGTTTCCGAGTTATTGTATATCCTCTGCAAATGGATACTCTCCGTTAAGATTGTCCGCCGTGACCGAAATTCGGTCTGGAGGACGTTAAACGATCTCTGATTCTATGTAATTATCGGATTCGAATTGATGCACTTTGTTTCCCGTCTCCTCACAGTTGCTCCGAAGCCGCCGCAGCACAACCAGGCGTTCTCGCTGGACAAGCCGACGGGCGCGTTCTCGTCCCGCGATGTGCAGGAGTGCGAGCAGTTCCGGTGCGTGCCGCGCCTGCCGCCCCCGCCCCGCCCGGGCTCCACCCCCGCGCCCTTGATCTGCTCCACCCCCACTTGTCCTCCACAATACTCACTCAAACTGGAAAGCGTGCCCAGCGAACTCAACAAGTGCCCGCAGTGAGTACACGATTACTTATATTAAAACATGGCAAAATTGAACTATAGAATTTACTACGATTTCATGGGTTTTAATTTTTTACGCAAAATCCTAATTCCTTTCTAAAATAAAAGTATCCTACGTTACTTCTCATAACATCAGCTATCTGCCAGTGAAAGTCCCGTCAAAATCGGTCCAGCCGTTTCGGAGATTAGCCGGAACAAACAGATAGACAGACAAAAATTTTAAAAATTGTTTTTTGTTATTAGTTCCGTGTACAAACAGTCACTTCAATTTTATTTATTTGTATAGATTATCCCTAATTTAATGTGATTTATGGGCAACAACGTGTTTTTGGCTACCGATCGACCCTTATGAATGTGTGTGTGTGCAGTAAAATCAGTTACAATAATGCATTACCACGCATTTCGAAATTAAAAGGTAAAATGGACAGAATGTTTGAGTTATATTTTAATTAATTTTTCTTCACCACACTGAGCTTTGACCGTAAAAACGTAGTAATTATGCAAACTCATAGTTTGAGCGCTCTAAGAGCTGAACGCCTTGCCCGGCGGCAGGTTGCTCCTTTGCCTTTGACAGCGAAAATTTTATATCTTTAAATTCCTTTTTTTCTCAGTATTTTCTCACCGTTAATTTTGGAAAAGTGTTAAATTAAATCAAACTGAAAATTATGAATAATACATTTTTAAAATATTGCTTCATAAAACTTTCAAATCCATGCGATGATCTTTTCTTTTTCTTATAACAAGGTAGTCAAGCGTACCAAGTTCGTTTCCTGCTAGGACAACTGAAATTGTTAATTGTAATTTTGAGTTAATCTATATTTAGAATTATATTTAGAAGTGGACTTTGATAGCCTTTAATGATGATGATGATAACTTTTAAGTGATGATTTCTTATATTTACGCGAACACTATACATTGATTAAACCATTGTTTACGGATTTGATCGCATATTTATTAAATTTTAACAAGATATGGTAGGGCGACTTATCTAAGTACCTATACAAATAATTCGAGGACGTATAAAGTACGCTGACGCGCCCTCTTCGCTCTACCAATTTACTCAAAAATTAGGAGTGGTGTGTGCTTAGCACTGAGCCGAATGCAGGTTTTTACTTGTATTTTTTTTTACAGATACATTTGCGTACCTCCGCCAGAGAGGCCAGTGTACTGTAACGTCACAGGCCGTACCTTCAACACGTTCGATGGCTCCGAGTACAAGTACGACGTCTGCTTCCACATTCTAGCTAGAGAGAACCGCTTCGATGCTTGGACTGTGCTGGGTAAGATTTAGGCTGTTTTGTAATATTCGTATTAAAAAACAGCATTCCACGGATATCTGCAAATTCAAGCAGAGAAGCTTACAAATGCAATGTCACTTCTGAGGCTAAGATAGAATATAATATAATATAATATTTTATTTTATTTTCTAGCAAAAACTTTTCCCTCCAATTAATATTACTCAGTTATCCTGTTTATGCTAGAGCTTCTACTAATCCTTGAAACACTTCTGTAACTGTATTGAGATAAGCTTTCAGCAATACGCTTTTAATCCTTTCTTTACATTAGAAGATATGTCTTTTCAACCTTGTTTTCATTTCTAGGGTATAGCTTGAACAAGAGCATTAACTTGGTTTAAAAGATAAGAAAAGAATAATAATTTTATTTCTTTTAAACCATGTGCCAAAAAAATTTCAAACAAAATTTCATGGAATGTACCTATATCCTCAGCTTCACTTCACCATCATTCTTGGTAAACATTGCTAATTATAATTTCATAAACTATCGATGTTCTTATCGATTGCTGATTTGTTTGGAATCTAGTCATCTACATTTTTATTTCACTTTCATGGTCATCTTGCAAAGACTCGTTAACCCTTATTTTATAAGCCATAATTAACATATTTTAAACATTTAGTATAGCTAATTTTAATGAAAATTATGTTTATATTTTTTCAACAACTCATAATAAACTGTCATTTTTTAAACACACCTTATACATATAAGTGAAGGTAGACTAGAAATTAAGGGAAACTAAAAAGTCGTAGTTTCGTATCCGCTATTTCAATACTATATCATGAGCTTCTCCTAGCTCAAGCAATTTGAGCTAGTTTGAATAGTTAACTGGAGTCAAAATAGTGGTTATAGTATTGTTTGTTGTTCTTTAAAAATATATTAATTAATCAAGACATTTTGAGTTTTCTACTGCTGTAATTAGACCTCTAACATATTTGTAACAATTTGCCATAATTTTCATGCTTGACTGACATTTCCGATAAACTCATACATTGAATGTAACTAATGGTAGTAACTGTAATCATTAAGCTATACGGACTTCCAGAGCTCCAGAGGTTATGAGATATTCCTAACTTAGTCATAGTCGGCTCTAAATCTACCCACGATTCAAGATGTGATGATGATTTCTCTTAAGCAACCATGTTATGAAAAATTATACATCAAATTACAATTTTACATACAACCAAAACATCTATACTTAACAGTCCGCAAGAAGTGCCGGCCAGAAGGATGTGTGAACCAATTGTTCGTCCATCAAGACGACCAGCTGATCCTCGTGAAACCGAACCTCATGATCGAGTACAATAATTACGAGTACACTGTGGAACAGACCAGCAAAATTTGCTTCCAAAAGAACAGCTTTGACGTCGATCGCCTCGGCAATGGCGTATCTATCAAATCCAGGAGATATAACTTCACTGTGCTGTACACGACCGATGGCGATATCAAAATTGGGGTGAGTTCTGAACTTCTTAGTTCACATTAAGTGAATAATGAGTCATAAATTTTATGTGCAATAAAAGTTGCCAAAAAGGATTTCCAACACATTTCTCACTATAAGACAAATAGTCCAGCTGTAGATGCTGAGGTGTATAGATACCTAAATTTCACCCCAGTTGGAACATACGTTACTAATAAAAAAGTATCCAGTTCTTTTCACTCACCATATAGTAGTATAGTGTTGCTATTTCACGTAGTCCTTGCGACCCATTTGCTCTGCAGCTGTAAATTGGAACGGGAATGGGTTGGCTTTCTGGCTCTCTACCGAATACTACTTTTAAAACATACAGTCGTCATTTGTGTTTAGTTTTTCACTATAGTTGTCTAGTGTTTTATAGCACGAGGCGTTTGCCCCTCACCGTCATTTATTTTACATCTATTTTGGTTTCTTATTTTAACCATTGGATACATTGCACGTACCCGTATTTATTGTCAATCTCATCATCTTTTAAGTCCGCTAAATATCCACTACTGGATATAGATCTTCATTAAAGACCCTCAACAATATGCACAGTAGATCAGCTCTTAACAATTTCAGTAAAAACTTAAAGTAAAGTGACAAACAAACTTATTTAGTCCACCTGATGGTAACTGTCATGTAGCTACTGCTGTCCATAGCTTTTTGACATTGACTTTATACATCACAGTTACTCGCTTACTGTGATGTATAAAGCACAGTTACGTACAGAATAATTCAAACTTTGATTTTACATTCAGGTACTTACAAGTCACATGGGCCATGTAGACGGCTTGTGCGGTGCTTACGATGGCGATGCGAGCAACGACCGACGCTTGCCGAATGGTCGTCTGGCAACCAGCATTGATCAATTTGGTCGATCCTGGGCTAAGCCTGGCCTAAAGCCTGACGCCTGCCAACCAAAAGTCATTCCGCCCAAAGATCAGAAGAAGTGCTGGGATATGTGCGACGTTCTTACGTAAGTGTTAAATTTTTTTGATCCGGTTAAATTACCTTTGTAATATTACATACTATTCAGTTAAAAACACTCTACTTATATTTGGTCTCATTGCCATAGAATACAATTTTTTTAATTTCCATTATCGCCAATAGTCTTTTACGTCCACTGCTGACCATAGGTCTTACCAGAAATGCGTCAACTGCACAACTAAATAACATTATTATGAACCTTTGCCTTTTTATATTTAGCAAATATAATTTTATCTTCCTTAATTTTTAAATTTCCGACATTTCAACCAAAGGTTACGAAAGTGGTTAGGAGTTTAGTGTTTACATAATAATATCATAGTTAAAACGGGTTATTTTCAATCTACTTTTTAAATTTTAAAATCTATTTATTTATTGCTTACTTGCGATAATTGTCTTCACAGGAAGGAACCCATTTCTCAATGCGGCAAGGTTCTCAACTTAGATAAGTGGCGTAGTATTTGCCTGGAGAAAATCTGCGAGTGCGCTGAACAAGTAGTGAACGGCACTAAGAGGACTGCAGAGGAATGTAGATGTTTGCTAGTGGAACAACTGGTTGCCGAGTGCTTAGCCGCGGACAAAGATATCGACATTGAAGGATGGAGGATGCAAATGGATTGTCGTAAGTGACAGTTTTGGAAATTAATTTTTTTTTAGAATTTTATCTTTGTAATTTACGTTACTTTAATTTATAACGTTATTAGTAAAATGTTAATTAAACTTGCAAAAATTGTCTCATCAAGTGAATAAATTTGCAAATCAACATTTATTCATTCATTTACTTATAACAGCCCTTCACAAGTTCACTGCTGAACATAGACCTCTCCCAAGGAATGTCACAAAGCACGGCCCTGAGTCATCTGCATCTATCTACTTCCTGCATATCTTACCAGGTCGTTACTCTATCTAGTGCGGGACTGCCCTCCACTTCGATTACCGGTACGAGGCTGCCACTCGAGAATCTTTCTTCCCCATTGGTTGCCGGTTGTTCGAGTTATATGGCCGGCTCGTTGCCACTTCAGTTTACTAATGAGAATTTATAGTAACGACAAAACTGACGAACAGTACAATTATTACATATTATAATTAATTTTAAATAAAATAACGATTAATAAAAATAGATATAAAATAATTTTTACTAATGACAAACCCAAATCCCAAAGACTGGCAGTAACGCACCGGTGCCAGTATAAAAAAAAATACCTTACTAAAAAGCCATAGCATTATTAAAAAGGTCTATGGTCAGCAGTGTACTAAAAAAAGGACAACGATGTGGTGTGTTGTGATGTCCGTTTATTGATTAATTGTTTGTTTTTTTTTAATTAATAGTTGTATCCGGCTCGAAGGACCAATATACATAGAGCATAATTAATCTATTCATTGAAACGTACAATTTGCGTTCACAGCGGCGGAGTGCCCACCACCGTTGGTGCACTATGATTGCTACCGACGCCGCTGCGAGCCGACGTGTGGGGCGGCGGGTACCTTGAGCCGTGGCTGCCCGCTCGAGGACGGACTGTGCTTCCCCGGCTGCTACTGTCCCGAAGGCCGCTTGCGCAAGGGTGACCAATGCGTCGCGCCCACTGACTGCCTCGACTGTGAGTAAATACTCTCTTCTCGAAACGAATATAGAAGTGCGTTTCACCAGACATTTTCTACCACGTACACGACTACATTATAGTTAGTCTTACATAGGGACCTTTAAGAATAGAGCTTGCGCCTTTCTTAAAAAGCGGTAACCCATCTACAATTGTTCTGGACCATTTACCACCATGTGAGCTGTATGCTCGGGAACGCTAGAAGCAGAGCACATTTTCACTGATTATGACAACAGCAGATTTTTTATTTTGTGAAAAACTGCAACAATAATAATATTACATTCTTTAAGATGGTCGTAAAGAGTAAATTCAGGTTTGAGTTCACTATAATGAGTGAGTTGAGTTGTTAAATTAGACATGTATAGGTGGACAACACGGTATAGAGCGAGATGTGCCGGTGAGACATTATTGCTAAACGTATCCAATGTCAATTATTGTCACCGTCAAAATGACAATATATCTTTTTTATTTCGCGATCCGTATTTCACAATGCTTCCTGGCAGGAATATTATAACATAATCTTTCAATTAGACACATACAAACAAATTTTGTTTAGGCATACGATTAAATAATAATATTCTAAAAATTACCTTTTCAAATATAGGTGCATGTCACGGCGTGGGTACTCCCGCGAAATATGTGACGTTTGAAGGTGACGATCTGCCGTTCCTTGGAAACTGTACCTATCTCGCCTCAAGAGATAGGAACGAAACAGGACAGCATAAATATCAGGTAAGAAAATAAAATAAAAATCTTAAAAAATGCAACAAGGAGTTTAAATAAAATTAAATTCTAATTTGTTTATATTAGGTTTACGCAACAAATGGACCGTGCAAAGAAAATAGTGACGTTGTGTGCACTCGAACAGTTCATCTGATATATGAGAAGAATGTCATCCGCATCACTAAGGAGCCGGTCACGAATATGGTAAGCGCTTGTCCTGTAATATTTTTATATTATTTCTTTTAAGGGTGCGTACAGATCAAGTAACATTTTGTATAACTTTTGTTTTATAACACGTCCACATTATGTATTAGAATAACAATGCAATATAACAATGTTATATGACATTGCCGTTTGTTGTTATGCCGTTCGAGTTATATAACATGATTGTTACGTTATATAACACGTTTTATAATATTCAGCCTCCACAATATTATTATATGTTATATAACAACGTTTTATAACATGTTATGTTATATTATGTGTACGCACCGTAACATATTGATTGATATGACTAATGTTAAAATATTAATTCAGATTCAAACAATGGTGAACGATGAGCCGGTGTTCAAATACCCGAAAAAGTATGATTGGATGGAAATAACTAGAGCCAACGGTCAAGACGTAACGGTGAATTTGCCGGACATACATGTAGAGGTTTGCTTAATATATTTTTATTCTATATCAAAACACATTTAATTATATGTACCGTGTGCTATGGTGTACGAAATTATATTTCACAATCTTGCTCATTGATAGAAAAATTAGAAGAACGTGGTAGAGCCATGCTGCAGCTATGTAAGTAGTATAGTTGTAGCGCGAATGGGTCGGCTCGACCGGAGCAGGACCACGTTCTCACAGAATACCAGCATAAAATAGCAGCTTAACACTGCTGTGTTTCGTATGGTGATTGTAGAGAACCGGAGACACTTTTTACTGGAAAAGAGGCATTCCATCTTAGTCCTCACTGGTGACAACGCGTCTGCATTATGATTCGCAAATGTGGATAAATGTAGATGTCTATGGGCCACAGCAATCACTTACCATCAGGTGGACTGTGTGCTCGTTTGTCACCCTATCCTATAAAAAAACGTGAGTATTAGTTGGTTATAAAAATGGTCCTGTGAGCCAGATGAATGGCAGCCATATAGCGATTATTCATTTAATAAACATAACTTATTGATGCTCCGAATATTACTCTACTTTTAAATTAACCCATTCCATGGATGACTTAAAAGTCAGCTGTGGGAAAAGCCAAGTCCTTATGGCCTGGTGACCTTTACAGCTAGTCTGATCGGCAACGAAGAAAGTCGAAGGTCTAACGTCAAAATAAATCCTCTAGTAATCACTTATCCGTCTCTCGGGCTTGGCGACTGCTGCAAATCTTGTGTGCAGTGCGGTAGAGCTAACAGGAATTACTTAAACCTTAGACTATACATGACCATGTAGTGACTGTATAAGAACATCCATGACCTCATATCGTCCCGTGGGTGTCGTAAGAGATGATAGTTAGAAGCAATCCAGGAGATTGGCAGTAGCGTTTTCCTCATAAGAAAAAAAACAGCAGTTGCCTACCTGCCTGCCAAGTGTTGCAACTATGGTAAATATAGGGTGGCTAAACTGTATTCAGCAGTGGATCTTCGATAGGCTGTAACGATATTGTATACCATATTGAGAACTCATTCTTATTCCGTTATTGATTAAAGTTCGATATGGCATGCTCTATTTTTGATACTAAAACTGTTTTGTTTTAATAGCTCTTAGTCATGCGAGCTAAGATGGAATTTGCCGTACGAGTGCCGTCGTACTTGTACGCCAACCAGACGGAAGGACTTTGCGGCGTCTGCATGGGCTATCAGGAGCAGCTTCTCACAAGCAATGGCACCGCTACCGACGACTTTGAATTGGTATGAACTACTAACTATATTTAGTTTAGAACATTCTTTTATTTACTGAGGATACTAAAACTTTTTTGATATTTTAAAACATGTACATCATTTGTATAGGTAAAAAGGTCAGCGCCATTTTGTCAAATGGCTTTTAGTCTTGCAGTGACAAAAAAACTAAATAAAAAATTGACGGCTCTTTGAGGAAACCTCAAAAAGCCTTCAGCGACTGAAGGCGGTCGTAAAGAAGGAAGGAGCCAAGATGAGCTGGCTCTTTTTCACGGTAAACTGACTTGCTTGTGTTTTGGAGGCATTGAACCTCATAAGCATGACATCGCTCCACTTTTAGACGGCCTATTGTACATATTTTATGTCTGAAATACATTAAGAGATTATTAAAAAATATAGTGTAAGAGTAGATGTTGAAACAGCTTCACACCCGTAGAATATTTTGCTTGTTCTAGACCACAATGGACAGAATCACGACAAACAAGATAACCGAATGAATGATTGTCGGAATCAAAGCACGTCAACTGCGAACTTAACCTTTAAAGAATGGCGACTTCGAGTTCTACCCACAGTTCTATTTGTCTCTTTCTATCTTTACCCTCTATCTCAGACACATGTTTTAATTATTATTTACATATTGGTGTAATAACGCAGCCGGCGTTCTTGGCACGATACCGCGGGGAATAGGACTATATGATAATTAAGTTTCTAGTTTTAGTTTTTTTTTTATTATTATAGTTTTTAATATTTTATATACTGTAATTGGTGTTCAATAAATATTAGATTGTATGATTAATCTATATATTGGCAGTACGGCAAAAGTTGGCAAGCGGACGCGGATACTCTTACGAAACTGGGCGAACCGCAATTGCAGCAGTGCGGCGAGCCGCCTGTCGAGCCAACCTGCGCGCCACCCACCCCGGAGAATAACCCCTGCCTCGTGCTGAATGACCCGGGCAAGTTCGGACCGGTAAGTTTTCATGCAACTCTACTGTAGCTCGAGACGTGGCCCTTTACCTACAGATAGCCGTACGAAAAATTTCAGTCACTACGAACAATTAAAAAAAAAACACTAGCTAGTACTACTAAAATTAACAATGTTAAAATTATTGCTACTGGCAATACTAAATTACTAGTATTCTATTTCAAGTAATTTATGTTACGAGTTGCAGCAATAAAAGAAGTCAAATTGTGAATTCAAATTCACGACTTTTATAAGTTCGCTACAAAAGGCTACTGTCGCCTCAAGTGGAGAAGAATTTAACAATAGCCCCAGTAGACTAAGATTAACATAGAGATCAGTAGGCTGTTGGACTATAATGAATATAATATATAAACTCAAAACCTGCGCGCAGTACATACTACGTAATTGCGTCGACTATAACTATAATCTATCGGAAGACGGAAGTTCTTTTTAGCTTCATATTTTCAGCTCTTTACTATCATACCTTTAATTTTTTTTAAATATTACCTCCACACTATAATTCCTGTGTCGTGGGAGCGGTATACATTTATAAATTTCAAAAGGACGAACATTCAGACCTGGAACAATTATTTGTGGGCCATTCAAGTACTTGTTTCCATGGCCGTCTGTGCTGTAACTCATTGCTATGCCACTGCGCCACGGAGCCGTTAACTGATGTCGTTTACGTCACCAATGGAACGAAATAGGGTGATGGATTATTTTATGCCGCCGTCATATCTTTAAGGATGTTAATTGGATTGGACCCCACGATGTACTCGTATATTGGTTGTAACTGTACTTTTTGTTTTTTAAAATATCTTTAAAATTTTCTTCAGTGCCACGCGCTGGTGGACCCGCAATCGTACGTGGAGATCTGCGAGGAGGAGCTGTGCGCTTTCAACAGCTCGGACGCGTGCGAGTCGCTGGAGCAGTACGCGGCCGAGTGCCGGCGCCAGGGCGTCTGCCTGCAGTGGCGCGACGCCGTCTGCCCGTACCCCTGGTCAGTTGCAGCTGCTATACACTTCCATAAAACGTACAATACAATACAATGCAATATAATACAATAAGTGTGCTTGCGCTTGTGCGACGGCCTCTGCCCGTACGCTTGGTGAGTTGCAGCTGCTACTTGTACACTTGCACGCAACGTATAATATAATACAATATAATACGTGTGATTTGTTAATAGAATAGTGTGAATTTTTTAATAAAATATAAGTAAGTGGAATAAAATCAAAATGTAATTGTTGTCGAGGATAGATGTAGATGTCCATGGTCCACAGCAACCACTTACCATCAGGTGGACTATGTGCCCGTTTGTCACCCTTATCCTATAAAAAACCCCTGAGGATGAGAATGGCTGGTTACCAGTGAAAAGGTACGCTAAGCACCGACTAAGCTTAAAATGTTTTGTTTAGTGCTTGTGGTAAGAGTCATGAGTATAGCCAACAAGTTTTTCTGGAAAGATTAATGGGAGCGCAGACCTACCTGTAAGCTAAGCTCTAAACTCTGCTGGATAATGTTGAAATTTTCTTTCGTGTGGACTTTGAGAAACCAAATTTTAAGGGGGCGGGGGGCTAGATATTTTAGAGAATTCGCGTCTTCTCAAACCTTTCGGCTCCTGTCACTGATGGTTCTTCTTTTCTATTGCAGCGAAAGTCCGCTAGTATACAGGAACTGCGTCGACTGCGAGCGAACTTGTGAAAACTATGACGAACTCGAGAAGAACCCTGCAAAGTGCGATAAACTACCGGTCGAAGGTTGCTTCTGTCCTGAAGGCAAGGTAAGTTCATTAGGATAAGGACAGCCATTTACAATCTACACAGTTCAACAAAAATATGATAAAAACTGTTGTTTACAATTTACAATTAGTAGATGATTTTATCAGATTGTTAGTACCAGGTAGTTTTATTAATTGTTGAGTAATAATTAATTATTTAACTATTCAGACTCCACAGCTGTGAAATTCGCTGCAGTGCGATTTCACGCAAGTTCAATCAGATTTATATAACGTTTGTGGCGGCGCTGTCGTCGCGCCACAAGCGAAACCACATCGAAGCCTAAATCGCACTAACAAAGTTCCAAAGTTAAAAGCAGTATATATAGAATAGCTCCGAACTACCACTTGGAGCGTTGACCGCTCCCCGTGCAGAACACCTTGCCCGACGGGAGATCTCTCCTTCTCCTTCCACCCGCCACACGTTAAATAACTCTTACCCCACATTTGAAAGTTCTCTCGCATCGTGAAGACGTTTTATATGACATATACTGCATAAAGACATACATTTTTAAACATGTATTATAAGCCCTCTCTCTGTAAATGGAAATTCAATAACGTATGTCTATTTCTTGTAGGTTCGTGTCAACAACACATGCATAGAGCCGACCAAATGCTTCCCCTGTGACGCAAACAAGGAACATTACGCTGGTGACGAATGGCAGGTAAGTAGTAGTTAGACACTTCAAGTTTTATAATAGAAACTGCACGATTTCCTTGATAAAGGTTGACATTTCTTTAACATGTGTATAGTAGAGTAACAACTTTTTTTTAAATATATATAGCAGATTCGTTTGGAAACCTTAATATCGTTATTTAGGTTACGGTTATTGTTTGATGCATATTCAATACGGCGCAGTGATAGCGCGATCATAAAATAAATGACCAGGCATAGAGAGTGACCACTTCATTGCCTCCTGCCGACCCAACTTACCACAGTCCGCCGGATTTCAATAGAGACTTCATTTGCGAGTATTTCTAATTCAATCACACAGCACCACCGTCCACGTACCTACATAAACCAATGCATATGTTTTGCACCTATGGTTCATACATATTATTATCGAGAGTAGGCAGACTGTGGCGCCATTATTAATACAGATGAATGGTCAGTCATTTATTAAAAAGAAGTTTTTTACTGCTTCAAACGACTATGCCGTGAATTTACCAATCTTTAACTCAGTGACAATATCCAAGTGTAGTCTTCTTTTTTAAAGTTGGTTGCAGGTGTCAATGAGCTGAATTAGCTCCTTACCATAAAGTGGACTGTATTACCTCAACTTATAACAAAAATGTTTTGATTAAAATCCGTCTTTTGAATTCGTAGGAAGACGCATGCACAAAATGCACGTGTAGCAAACTGGCGGACTCCAACGAGGCGCACGTGTCGTGCGTGAAGAACACGTGCACCGTGCCAGTGTGCCATGAGGATGAGAACCTCGTCACCACGCCCGCGAAACCTGATGAATGTTGTCCCGAGTATTTGTGTGGTATGAAAATATTTCTGTATTTCTATATTTTTATTATTTTTTCTATCCTAAACAAAAAACTTTTACAATAAAAAACTAAAAACTAAAGTTGTCATAATATATCCTGTCGAGAAAACGCTCTAACTCTAGTTCTAGCTAAGAACGCTGACTGCGTTTCCTAGCTGAACGGCTCAACTAAGCATTGAGAGGAGAAAAATAACGGCGACTAGTCGCGGATACATATTGTTTACTAACTTTGTCGCACGTGGATTCCGCAGTTTGACAGTTTTGTGCCATTTACTGTACCTAGATAAGGTACAACAAATGGCGCAAAAATTAATTCGTCATTTAGAGACTTATATTTACGCCATTTAGTCTAGCATAAGCTAAACGTGTGTGAAACAGCCCATTAACCTCCCGATTTTTTTTAGTTTTTCAAACATGCAGGTTTCCTCACGATGTATTCCTTCACCGCTGAGCCTGTTATAAATACAACACATTTACAAATTTGAAATTAATTATTTTATTCCGGCATTCAATATCGCCACCTGCCAAACGCGACGATTCAAGCAAATCCATGCTGCTGCGACATGCTCATGAACAGAAGGAAGCTTTCAAAAATAAAAAGAAGAATTTAACTAGTGTCGGCGGCTATGAACTCTATTTGCTTTCGTCCACCCTATCTAATTATATGGCGGTTGCTTATTCCCTTATCTACCATGACTATATTACCGTAAATAGCGTAATCAATAAAATACTTATTTTTCAGTCCCCAAGCCACAGGAGAAGTACTGTGAAGAACCGAAAAAAATGGAGTGTGGATACGGACAAGTTCTCAAACAGAAGAATACCCCGAACGGCTGCAAAGAGTTCTCATGCGGTAAGAATTGAGAGATGAGTTGAACATAATGGATAATATACTCGTAGTCGATTTATTTTAGTATTTATTAAGTGTAATGATTTTAGTTTAATGCGAGCAGTTTGTATCTTTTTTTTTTAATTTCCACAGTAGGATTTTCTCCTGTATCGAGGATGTTTACTTACATAAATTGTAAAATAACAAACACTTTCAAAAGTTTCAAATTATTGTTCCGTCATAAAATATATAGTGGTAATAGAGAGCAGCGTCAAAAAGCGCGTATGAATTCGCAGCGATTAAAGCGGACGGAGCGAACAGCGGATGGACGAAACCATAGCACAGTGGCTTAGCAATGAGTTGCAGCGCTAATGGCCGCGTTCGGATCCCGCACGGAACAAGTATTTGTATGGTCTACAAATAATTGTTCAAGGGTCTGGATGTTCGTCCTTGTGAAATTTATGTATGTATACTGCACCCACGATACAGGATAAATCCTAGTATGTAACGATAAGTATCCTAGTATGTAAAGATAAGGTAACGATATTACACATGGTAGAGCCATGATGTAGCTATATTAGTTGTAGCACGAATCGATCGGCTCGACCGGAGTGGGACCACGCTCTCACAGAATACCAGCGTAAAATAGCAGTTTAATTTTGCTGTGTTTCGTATGTTGAGTGTAGAGAACCGGAGACCCTTTTTACTGGAAACAAGGCATTCCATCTTAGTCCTCACAGGTGACAAAGCAGCTACATTTTAATTGAGCATGACACATTTATGCTGATATGTCTATGGGCCACAGCATCCACTCACCATCTCGTGAACTGTGCGCTCGTCTGACACTCTTATTCTATTAAAAAAAAATCCTCCCAACTACGCGAGAGGGTTATGTCTAGTAGTGGACTTGTAGGGCCTGTTAAATAAGAATATTATTTTATTGTAACCCTCAAAACCTTTTTGAACAGAGTGCATGCCAGCAAGCGAATGCGAAAGGATACCTCCCGACAGTGAAGTGGAAATAATGGAACCGGGCATGGAACGCATCGTGGACCACAGCGGATGCTGCCCACGAGTTCAGCTCACGTGCAGACCCGACAAATGTCCACAGCCGCCAGATTGTCCACAATTCGAAACTTTGCAGACGATTAACGCAACCGGAAAGTGCTGTCCGGAATATAAATGTAGTAAGTATTTTGAACCATGAACTGAATCTAAATACAACATAACCATCCGGGGTGAGGGTTTTGGCTCCGTGTTTACCAACCCGCGACAACCCAGCGTGGTGAGTATTGGCAAATCAATGTAGACCAGTCAGCGCATTCCTAGAAAGAACAATGTGCAGTGGCGGCGGTACGTATTTGGGGGCGCATGTGAAAGAGACGTACATGGAAATAATTATTTTAGCACAACTACTCTACTGGCCTATCTAAAGTAAAAATTACTTTGTTATTTTATATTTGCAATCATATGGATTGTACCATATATTCGCTGAAAATGACCTCGAGTTTATTGACAACTCTTCTTTATTTATTAAATATGTATGTAGAGGATTTTGAGACGGTGGTAGTAATTTTTTTTGCATGACTGAATGGACCATATCGATCAAAACTGTAAAAAAGACATATTTTAAATTCTGTTAATTAGGAGCCCATACCATATATATGTCACAAACTACAAAATGGTTTATATTTCAGAGTTACCAAAGGACAAGTGCATTGCAATTCTGGAGTGGGAGGCGGCGCCAAGGGGTGGAGAGAAAGCCCGCGATACACCGCAAATTGTCTTGAAGGACGTAAGTATATTATGGATATCATAACTGTATTAATATTTTACTTAAAAATTAAATTACTTCATAAGGTATATAGCAGAAGCCCTAAAATGTTTCCTTGGGGTATGCCATAGTACAGTACAAACTTGTAACTTTAGATCGGCTACGATCTGATTTAGAGATAAAAATATTATTGTGATTTTATCATGTTAAATCAGTTTCAATGTATTCAATGGCATCTTTAACTGAGTCATGGTAGCTCAGAGCAAGTTGAGCCAGTGGGACATAATTAAATACCAATTTTAAGTACGGGTTTACAATTTGGGTAAATAATGAAGAAACACTCTATCAGATTCCCTGATAGTTTTTTCCTGTGCAGTTGCAGTTAGTTCACTAACTTTTTAACTGTCGAAGGCAAACGATTACAGGAACTTGATACTAGACGCGTTCACTTGTGGCTATTCAGATATAATTACTGTGACGGTGTTCTCACGTGCCCTAAGTGTGCTCGTACTTTTCTCAGCTATGCTAGTCACTTACGGCTACATGACGGGACGAAGCAGTAGGACTTCGATGTAGGAGTCAAAAACGATCACTGTAGCCGAAAGCGGCTAGGAAACTTTCACGTATATGAGAAAAATAATTTACATACACATGTATGTATAGTATAATATATTGTGTATATTTTTTTCTTTTTTTTTAGAATAAAGGTAATTTAAGAATCACAATGCAGATACGTTGTCACCCCTGAGGACTAATTCTTCAGGGGTGATAATTCTAATTCTGTAAGAGCGTAGTCGTACCCCGGTCGAGCCGAGCCATTCGTGCTACAACCATAATATATCTGCTACGTGGCTCTACCACGTATAAATATAATATTATGTGGAACAGTTGGATTCGGTGTGGCTGGACGGGCCGTGCCGCTCGTGCCGCTGCGGCGCGGGCGGCGCCGTGCAGTGCGGCGTGTCGGAGTGCGCGGCGCTGCCGCTCAGCGAGCAGTTCGTGCTGGAGCCGCGCCCCGTGCCCTACCAGTGCTGCCCGCAGCCCGCGCAAGTCGCCTGCCGCGACCAGAACAACATCTACAAGGTACTGTAGCGGCGCCGTGCAGTGCGGCGTGTCGGAGTGCGCGGCGCTGCCGCTCAGCGAGCAGTTCGTGCTGGAGCCGCGCCCCGTGCCCTACCAGTGCTGCCCGCAGCCCGCGCAAGTCGCCTGCCGCGACCAGAACAACATCTACAAGGTACTGTAGCGGCGCCGTGCAGTGCGGCGTGTCGGAGTGCGCGGCGCTGCCGCTCAGCGAGCAGTTCGTGCTGGAGCCGCGCCCCGTGCCCTACCAGTGCTGCCCGCAGCCCGCGCAAGTCGCCTGCCGCGACCAGAACAACATCTACAAGGTACTGTAGCGGCGCCGTGCAGTGCGGCGTGTCGGAGTGCGCGGCGCTGCCGCTCAGCGAGCAGTTCGTGCTGGAGCCGCGCCCCGTGCCCTACCAGTGCTGCCCGCAGCCCGCGCAAGTCGCCTGCCGCGACCAGAACAACATCTACAAGGTACTGTAGCGGCGCCGTGCAGTGCGGCGTGTCGGAGTGCGCGGCGCTGCCGCTCAGCGAGCAGTTCGTGCTGGAGCCGCGCCCCGTGCCCTACCAGTGCTGCCCGCAGCCCGCGCAAGTCGCCTGCCGCGACCAGAACAACATCTACAAGGTACTGTAGCGGCGCCGTGCAGTGCGGCGTGTCGGAGTGCGCGGCGCTGCCGCTCAGCGAGCAGTTCGTGCTGGAGCCGCGCCCCGTGCCCTACCAGTGCTGCCCGCAGCCCGCGCAAGTCGCCTGCCGCGACCAGAACAACATCTACAAGGTACTGTAGCGGCGCCGTGCAGTGCGGCGTGTCGGAGTGCGCGGCGCTGCCGCTCAGCGAGCAGTTCGTGCTGGAGCCGCGCCCCGTGCCCTACCAGTGCTGCCCGCAGCCCGCGCAAGTCGCCTGCCGCGACCAGAACAACATCTACAAGGTACTGTAGCGGCGCCGTGCAGTGCGGCGTGTCGGAGTGCGCGGCGCTGCCGCTCAGCGAGCAGTTCGTGCTGGAGCCGCGCCCCGTGCCCTACCAGTGCTGCCCGCAGCCCGCGCAAGTCGCCTGCCGCGACCAGAACAACATCTACAAGGTACTGTAGCGGCGCCGTGCAGTGCGGCGTGTCGGAGTGCGCGGCGCTGCCGCTCAGCGAGCAGTTCGTGCTGGAGCCGCGCCCCGTGCCCTACCAGTGCTGCCCGCAGCCCGCGCAAGTCGCCTGCCGCGACCAGAACAACATCTACAAGGTACTGTAGCGGCGCCGTGCAGTGCGGCGTGTCGGAGTGCGCGGCGCTGCCGCTCAGCGAGCAGTTCGTGCTGGAGCCGCGCCCCGTGCCCTACCAGTGCTGCCCGCAGCCCGCGCAAGTCGCCTGCCGCGACCAGAACAACATCTACAAGGTACTGTAGCGGCGCCGTGCAGTGCGGCGTGTCGGAGTGCGCGGCGCTGCCGCTCAGCGAGCAGTTCGTGCTGGAGCCGCGCCCCGTGCCCTACCAGTGCTGCCCGCAGCCCGCGCAAGTCGCCTGCCGCGACCAGAACAACATCTACAAGGTACTGTAGCGGCGCCGTGCAGTGCGGCGTGTCGGAGTGCGCGGCGCTGCCGCTCAGCGAGCAGTTCGTGCTGGAGCCGCGCCCCGTGCCCTACCAGTGCTGCCCGCAGCCCGCGCAAGTCGCCTGCCGCGACCAGAACAACATCTACAAGGTACTGTAGCGGCGCCGTGCAGTGCGGCGTGTCGGAGTGCGCGGCGCTGCCGCTCAGCGAGCAGTTCGTGCTGGAGCCGCGCCCCGTGCCCTACCAGTGCTGCCCGCAGCCCGCGCAAGTCGCCTGCCGCGACCAGAACAACATCTACAAGGTACTGTAGCGGCGCCGTGCAGTGCGGCGTGTCGGAGTGCGCGGCGCTGCCGCTCAGCGAGCAGTTCGTGCTGGAGCCGCGCCCCGTGCCCTACCAGTGCTGCCCGCAGCCCGCGCAAGTCGCCTGCCGCGACCAGAACAACATCTACAAGGTACTGTAGCGGCGCCGTGCAGTCGGGAGAAACATCAGTTATTGGATTTTTCTATCAAGAAATTCTTAGTAGCAACCACAACCGGAGTCGGGAAGTTTTTTTCACCACCGTGGCTCGGAAATCACGTAAAGCCGTTGATACTGCACCTGATCTCTCTCTGGTCATGTCGGATTACAGTCCCATCGGACTATGAGAGTGAGGGAATAGAGAGTTCACCCGTGCTTGCGCTTACACTTGGACGCTATAAACTTGTCCTGTGCAGATGGCTAGTCTCCGTTGAGACTGGCCGCCGTAACCGAAATTTGGTCTGGAAAATATTATACTTTAAGGATAGTCCCCTTATTAACTTGGTGCCACAAGTGGGGCTTTAATCCTTCTATACACTGTGTGTTTTTTAGTTCTTTGAAGTCGGCTATTACTTTTAAAGAAAAGTTAGCTTTTTTTTTCGAAAATAGCGCCAAGCGTGCTTTTTAATATAGACTGTTGTTGGTGCAGCCATTTTGCATAAATTAATAACGGTATTAGTGTCGAAGCCGCTCGCACCTTCTCATACACATTATTTACGTGAGGAAGAGAGGACGTTCTGAGCCTTAACTAACAACCTTTAGCATTTTTTTTATTAAACTTAAGTGACAAACGAACTTGCAGTCTACCTGATGGTAAGTGGCTGCTGCAGTTCATGGACACTTCTATCCAAATACAAACAAAGATGGCTGCAGATGTGTTGTCACCTCTGCGGACTAAGATGGAATGTCTCACAGCCTGTAATTATACTAGTTCGCAGTGCTTGCAGAACTATTTGGCGGCAGAAATATATAAGAGGGTGGAGACCATCGATATATATGTACTACGTACTAGATTGCGCATTCCGAACGTACACTATGTTCAACTGAACTGTACTGCAACCCGTACAGTGTGTCATTTAGTGTGGTTTCAATCTACTAGTTAGTCTGTGGTTTCAATATACATGCAGTGTGGAGCGACGTTAATAATACAAGATTTCACTGACCGCGCAGGCGCAACGCTCTTAAATCAACTGCGCATGCACGACTTTACTATCTCTCGCGCATGCGCGAAGACATAGAGTAGTGCACATTTTTTGTTTAGAAAGGCTTCTCTAGTACGTAGTACATATAACTCAATGGTGGAGACAGAATAAGTTTTCTAGCACCTTGTGTTATCTTCTAATTAGTTGTTAGTTACCTTTCTATGTATACCATTAAGTATAAAGAAATATCACCGTAAAATAATTTTGTTATCACTACAAAATAACAATAACCAGGCTTACTGAGAAAATTTAGATTCAATGTACCACACAAATTACCCAGGACTAAAATATCACCATTAGTTCCACCCTTGCGCACAACAGTTTTGGGCTCAAGTTCATTTGTCCCTAGAGCAAGCAGACTTCTAAACTGTTATGGTAAAAACATAGATATCCATGCTACAAGTCTGAATACGTTTCGCAAACACTTGCAAAAAACCATAGTCGAGTTATAATTAAGTAATTGTTATGTTCATTTATATACTGTGCTATTATTATTTCCTTTTCGCTCTTTCTTTTTCTCATTTATTGTGAATACATTAAGTCACTTATAAAAATTGGATGTTACTACTACCTTAATAGTTTGTACATGTGGTGTTTACCTTAATTAATTGTGCATTTGGCTGTAAAACACATATTATTGTTAAATACTCATTGATGTATTATTATTACTATTACTGGTAAACCTAATAAATAAATAAAATGACTTTACTAACGAAATAATAACACTTAGGTTGGCGAGAACTGGACATCACCGCTGAATCCTTGCGAGTCATACCAGTGCGTGCGCGTTGGAGATGGTCAACTCGACAGGGTCACCACCGTGCGGCATTGTGAGGAGGACTGCCAACCGGTAAGACATAACTTATTTTACTGTTCTGTGCTAAATTCAGCAAAACGAAACTCTTATGGAATCACCTTAGTGTCTATGTCACAAAGCTTTTATCAATTAAAGACGTATAAGCTTAAAATTTCGAATTTTCGACTTAATTAAATTGGATCACTAATTGAACATAGCTTATAAGTCATAGCATTAATCAAAATTAATCTTAAGTTTTATTTTTTAACAGGAGTACCTGTCATTAAATTAACCTTACTTTTTAATTTTACCTACTGAAAAAACAAGAAATTTGTCAATAAAAAGTCGTTACATAACTGATACTGTTTTCAGGGTTGGGAGTACGTGCCGGCAGAGGAGAACAGTGGACAATGTTGTGGCAAGTGCAAGCCTGTGGCGTGCGTGTGCGAAGATAAATTGCATCCCATAGGAGAGACTTGGACTTCTGCTGACTTCTGCACAAATTACACATGCGTCGATCTTAATGGCACTGTGAGTATTATTCATTAATTGATTTATTACAGCCTATCAAAAGTTCGCTGCTAAACATAGGCCTCCCCCATAGACTGCCTCATGAGGCGAATATTTGCCGTGATTGCCACGCTTGGCAAGCGGGTTAGCAACCGCAGTTTTTTATTTTGTAGTTGTTATCAATAAGACACACATGCCCATTTCCTGTTTTTTCCCTCTGTCGCCTCTGTTGACACTCTCGGGATAATATGGGGTAGTGGATATTCTTTCACCAACACTACACGGTTTATAATAATTGTCAAAAATAAAAGAAACCGAAGCATTTAATTTAAAAACAATTATTTTACTGATTTTTCGACTAATTTTTAATGAATTAAGATTGACTGTTTTTTTTTTTTGTTTTGTGTGTTTGTACTTAATAAGGCAGTTTCAAAAATCAAAGTTAATAAGTTAATATTCCAATTGTTAAATTATCATTCTTCTATGACATAAAATAATTATATATTGCGATAAAGTTGAGTACAATTGCAAATGAATGTGTTTATTGAAATTATGTCAGTTTGCTGTGTGATAAGCGTAATGTTTTTATTTATAGGATAAGGGTGACAAACGAGCACACAGTCCACCTGATGGTAAGTGGTTGCTGCAGCTCATAGACATCTACATCTATCCTTTATTAGAAATAAAAATGTAGATGCGTTGTCACCCGTGAGGACTAAGATGGAATGCCTCATTTCCAGTAAAAAGGGCCTCCAGCCACCTGCACTCACCAAGCGAAACGCAGAGGTAAACCTCTACTTCACGCTGGTTTTCTGTGAGGTCGTGGTACCACCCCGGTTCGAGCCGGCCCATCCGTGCGACAGCAAAATCTGCCGCGTGGCTCTACCACTGTTAATCTACCATTGTATGTAATAAATTATAAATTATAATTTTTTGTAATTTTAATAAGCTTATTTTTTGTTCAAACCAGTTACAAGTCCAGAGCTCAAACGAGACGTGCCCAAAATTATCGGAGCAGATGCAGAAACAATTTGTACTGACAGTGGAGAAGGTGCCTGGCAAATGCTGCCCGAAAGTCGAACCTGTCGCTTGCCGTGTTGAAGACAAAGTTTACCAGGTAATATTATATTTACCTGTTTATAACATTTATTATTTTGTTTTAAAACAGTTCATGACTAAATATGATTTTTGGTTGGAAGATTTACGGTAATTATCTCGCACAGTGCTCTTTATAGTTTTGGTTTAGTTATATTCGTCAAGGAAATACTATTTATTTAATGAGGCCCAATACAAGTGCGTGTTTCCAGTGATGACTTATGGATCTGAGACGTGGTCCGTCACTGCTGGCCATACGACAAAGCTCAAGGTCACTCACCGAACTATGGAGAGGGCTATGCTCGGAGTTAATCTGCGTGATAAACTTAGAAATGAGGACATCCGCAGTAAAACCAGTGATCAATATAGCCGAACGGATTAGTAAGCTGAAGTAGCAATAAGCCGGTCATATAGCTTGAAGAACCAACAACCGAAGGAGAAAAAAGGTTCTCGAGTTGCACCCTCGTACCGGTATGCGAAGTATAGGGCGACCCCCCACTAGATGGAGTGACGACCTGTTAAAACATGCAGGGAGTCGATGGATGCAGGTGGCTTAGGACCGTGCTTTGTGGCATTCTTGGGGGACTTATTTTCAGCAGTGCACTTGTGAAGGGCTGTAATGATGATGATGATGATAATACAAGTTCATTTTTATTAAAACTATTTTTTTCTCAATAGGTTGGAGAGAACTGGACTTCCCCTACAGACGCGTGCGAGTCGTATCAATGCGTGCGGGTCGAAGACAACAAGCTGGAGAAGGTCACCACCGTTCAGAACTGCGACACCGACTGCCAAGAAGTAAGTTAATTTGACAGATATGACAATAATGAGACGTGTCATATCAATAAACTACACATATTGATGTGAAAGCTTTATGGTGCGTTGTTTAAACCAAACGGCATTTTTTTAAAGTTCAATTCTATCTATTATCATTATGTCATATACGTTATAATTCAATCGGTATAGTACTAACATCTTTGTTGTAAATTACATCATTGAAGACTTTTAAACAACTCTGTTATAAAATTACAAAGGTAATAACATTTTTGTACTCATAGGATTAATGACAGCAATAGTAGAATAAAATAAAAAAATATATTTTAAATAAATAACAACAACAACAATGAAAATAAAAGACTTATGGGGATGTACCCATGAGTATGAATTTTCTATTGTAACGAAATCGTATCGCCACAAAAGGTATATGTACGAAAATAGGAAAAAAATAAGAATTATTATATATACATTAAAATCAAGTCCAATCGACCATGTTTATTAGAATTATGTTAGAAATTATTCCAAAACTTTTAAAAAATATGTGCTAAAGCTAAAGCTAATTATATCGCAAAAAATATTCTGCTATCAAAATGAAAAGTACTTGAGGTATTGTTATAAATCGTGAAACTGGTAGATCTAAATATAATGATCGTACATTTTCTTTAAAAATCGATAATAGAATTGTCAAATCGGATGCCGAAGTGTCCGACGCATTTGAAGATTTTTTACAAAAATAAAAAATACCTGTTGACTACACATGTAATATACACTCATGCCTGGAACACGCTGTTGACCTCCTGGAGCCAGATGTAAATGAGTGCCATAATTGCTTAAATTTAAGACATGTTGAGAGTGATATAATTAAGGAAACATTTAACACTGTTAAAGTTTAGAAAAACCGAAGATCTTTAATCAATTATTAAATCAATAATTCACTGCATCATTGCACCGTAATTAAGTTATATTTTGATAAATGCGTCAAAATGCTCTGCAACCAAATATCATGTTATATCTTGTAAACGTTCTTAATGCTAATATAAAATATAGCTATTGATATTTGCGATGTAAACGAATCTAAAGGCATCTCACCCTTGAATACCTATATCATGTTGTTACGCTACAGAAGATCCCAAAGGAACACATAGATATATACATAGAATACACATATAAATTCAGATGTAACCCACGGGTAGAAGTAAAAAGTCGAGTGTTATACATTGTGAAAGAAATAATATTTCCTTCATAATGTATAACTTTCACTTTTTTAAGTGGTAGAGCCATGCCGCAGCTATGTTATGGTTGTAGCACGGATGGATCGGCTCGACCGGGGTAGTACCACGCTTTCACAGAATACCAGCGATTAAATATAAAGACTTTAATCTTTATATTTAAACGCTTAAGAGAAAGCACGAAACACGCGGCGCGAACATTTACTAACACCGCAAGATACATGAGAGAAAATACCTAATAAACGGAATTTGGACCCAATCTGAACATATTATGTACCTTTTACAATATTTTCAAATTAGGTCCAAAATTCATTCAACCATTCAAGTCTAATTAAATAACAAACATGCTATCATAGTTAGGTTCTCTCTTTAAATATAAAGAGTAAAGAGTTACTTTATAGAAATGTGTTTGTCCAGGGTATATAGGATTAAGAAGGGGTGGGGGGGGGGGGGGGGGACGAGGTATGCGAGCGACGGTATGCAAAATATTGCAAAGAGCTAGGTTTTTATTGTGCATCGGGTAAACTGAAAAATTGTTTGTCCAGGGTTGGGAGTACGTGCCTTCGTCGAATCCCAGCTCGCAGTGCTGCGGCAAGTGCCGGCCGGTGGCGTGCGTGTGCGAGGGCCGCCTGCACCCCGTCGGCCAGCTGTGGAGCTCGCCCGACTTCTGCACCAACTACACCTGCGTTGACAACAACGGAACTGTGAGTATAGATTTACTATTTCATACTTGTCTTAAGTGAATGTTAGAACATTATATTCATTAAATCCTAAAATAACGAATATGTTTATTACATATTTTATACATTTTGACGTATAATTAATTAAATTAGATAAAGTGATTTCTAGTTAATATGGTAAATTCATTATAATATAATGTGTTTATTATATATAATGTGATAGGGTAATTGTGTAATAAAAAAGTCTAGGATCTTATTTTAAGATGAATTTATAAAATTATAAGAAAAATTAAGACAGACTTAAGTCAGACAAAAACTATTGTAGAATTTTACTAGGGCTATTTTGACCATTTCGAAGACCGTCTGTTTATTTGTATCAAATGTAAAGTATTATGTTGACAGATAATTTGGAAGTGTTGCAAGTGATAGATATTTCATTTGATTCTTTTTTTTATTTATAAATAAAGAAATTTGATACGACTATCCTGATTATAAAAAAATATATCGTATTAAATTACTTTCAACACGATTAACTAACTAAATACTACATAACGAGAACAAAACACAATGAAAGAAAGCAGATTAAAACAGTTTTATTCGACAGTATAATATAGTCGATTTGATATTGATTCAATTTCAATCCTGATATTTTTGTTGTTCGTTCTGTACCGAGTCTCTATGCCATATAACATAATATATATATATATATATATATATATATATATATATATATATATATATATATATATATATATAATAAATGATGAAACTAAGTACTTAATTAATTATGAAATACGTTGCGACAGTTACAAATTCAAAGCTTCAACGAGACGTGTCCAGAAGTGAGCGAAGCGATGAAGAAGCAGTTTGTCCTGACAGAAGAGAAGGTAGAAGGCAAATGCTGTCCCAAAGTAGAACCAGTCGCCTGTCGCGTCGGTGATAAAGTATATCAGGTATATATTCATCATCATCCCCTTCTTTCATTTCTTTTTTAATTTTTTTGTTTACAATTATTTTGCAAACAATAAACCTGCAAGTCGATAGTCAATGTGCTTTATGGCTGTCTATTGAGGAGCCCTCAAGCCCTAAGTCTAACTCTATAGCATATTCTGCTCAGTTTATGTCGTAAAACACGAACGGCAACTAGAGATGTAAAAAATTTTGCTAAAAAACATATACAATAATTTAATATTATTACGCGGATTACTTACTAGCTGGTTTAACTTAGCTTATTAATTTTTAGCGTCTTTGGTATCATGGATTTCCGCAAAGTAATGCCTAAACGACAGCGTCTTCAAGGTATGGACCTGAAATATGTAGAGTTTAAGTGGTAGAGCCATGCTGCAGCTATATTATGGTTGTAGCACGAATGGATCGGCTCCACCGGGGTGGGTGGTAAAATAGCAGCTTAATGCTGTGTTTCGTATGGTAAGTGTAGAGAACCGGAGATCCTTTATACTGAAAACGAGGCACTCCATCTTAGTCTTCAGGGGTGACAACGCATCTGCATTTTGATTTTTAATCGAGGATAAATGTAGATGTCTATGGGCCACAGCATCTACTTACCATCAGGTGGACTATGTGCTCGTTTGGCATCCTTATTCTATAAAAAAGAAAACCTGTGATGGAACACCTTGGATGCTAAGTATTACGATCCAATATACCTGTGAAGCTTAGACTTAAACCAATTCCTTCTATATAGTCTATATATCTAGCCAATGTTATTCGTACTTTTATTTTAATATTAGGAATTTGGCGTAGTTACACAAAAAAGGTACCTGCCTACACTCTGGTCATAAATTACTGATAACAAAATAATTCTCAGGGCTCCATTTTTACTTAGTAAAGCAATTCGAATAACTATTTGCAGTCTTTACCGTTAACTTTACAGTCCTTAAAAAGCCTACTTCAGAATATAGGCCTCCCCCATAGATTGCTTCATAGAGGAGATATATACCATAGTTGCCATACTTGGCAGGTAAGTTGGCAACTGCAGTTTTATATTTTAGTTGATATTAGAAAGATGCTGCCGGCCATTTCCTGGTTTGTTTACCCTTGTCGCTTCTCACGACACCTACTGTACGATATGGGGTAGTGGATATTCTGACACCGTCACTGCACGGTCATCGCAATCTGCAAATACAACATAATTTATCAATTTTGCATTTCATAATTTTAAGCCATTATCTTTAAACAGCTAACCAAACTTCCAGTCGTCAGTATCTCAAAAGTAATTTTTATTGGGATCGTTTTTGCGTGCTCACATCTAATTGTGTCTTATTAGTTTTGGATAAACAGATTTAAAGAAATTCAAAAAAGTATTGTAATACAAAAAAAGCAGAGTTACTGATTGTTATTTTTACAGGTGGGCGAAAACTGGACTTCAACAACAGACGCCTGCGAATCTTATGAATGTACGCGCATGGAAGACGGCAAACTGCAGAAAGTGACCACCGTGCAAGGATGCGACGACGATTGCCAACCGGTGAGTTGTAGTTTTTTTTTTTTATAAAAGAAGTGCCGCTTTTATTGGTCTCTAAGAACAATCCAGAAAAGGACATGTCTAGCTACAGCTTAGCATTTTTATTGTAGCAGATATCGTCATAATATAATATTATATTATATAATTATATAATAATATATTATGAATTTTCCTAACTTTTTCTCTATTATTATTTCTCATTGCAAAATTGGTTGATGGTTAGTTTTTTCGCTTATTCTAACCGTCTAGCCCTCGGAAATGGTTATAAAGGGCAAGACTTTACAATGATTAGACAAAATGGTCCTGTAAAACAGCGCTTACCCTATCACCATGTTGTCATCAGGCCGCATCAATCGAAGGAGGTTATACGGGATGGCAACATTCCGAATGAGGCCGACGAATAGGAAAATCTGGTAACATGTTTTGGCGGATATTAACTACCGCAGGATTACATCGTGAACGAGCATATTGTGTTCATTGTACATTTATTAAGGAAAAGATATAGGTACATAAGATAATTTAAAATTAAAAATTTTGAACAACCGATTTCAATATATATTATTAGGGATAACTCAAAAAATATTGCTCAGACCATGATCAAATTTATATGTGACCACATGCACCAGCACCACAGATTCCACAAAAAAAGAATCATCAAAATCGGTTCACATAGGACAAAGTTATGAGGTAACACACATAAAAAACATACATTTGAATTGAGTACCCTCTCCTTTTTGAAGTCGGTAGAAAAGGGCCATGCTGCATGCAACGTGTTAAATTTTTTTGCCTCAAGATTTCGTTAGCTAAGTTCGTTTTTCTTTGTCGAGGAATCATTTAAAGCAACAAAACAGACCCTTTCAACAAATTTCTTTAACAACATTATTTATAACAAATTATCCAAATTATTCGTTCTGGACTTCTGGTTTCCTGGTTTGTGACCATTATCCTTATATTCCCAGAGGCTACAACGTGTCGACTAAACTATTGTTAGGCTGGGTGATTTAGTATCAAAAGCGTGTAGATCACTTATGTGAATGGGATGGAGCAGGTCTGCCGGCATGACGTTGGAGCGTTCCATATGTACAGCCGTTGAAACACGTGTCATGGTTTAGTAAACTAAACGATTATTAGGATAGTCTATTCAAGGATAATATGATACTACGAGTATGCACAGTAGCTATACGCACACATTTTAATGGCCCGACCTGGGATTCGAATCTGGGACCGCATGATCAACAGTCGTGTTGACGACCACTAGACAAACGAAGCAGTCAAAGATATATAGTGGGACGATCAAATAGATTGAGAGTCAAGAATGTAAAGGTAAATTGAATATTCAAATTGAACTGTCATAAGCTATTACATTAACTACCTATTGAAAGTACGAATTAAATTTTAAGAACGTAAAATGAGCCTTAAACAATAACGGTGAAATTTAGTGTCGTTACTTAGCTTAACAAATCAAATTAAAAAAAATTAGTCATCAAATTATTACCACCGTAATAATAATTGCCTTGACCATATTGTTCTAAAAACAAAGCGAACATCCAAAGTTTTTGTCCTCAACTCGTATATAACTGATCATAAACCTATTTTCTTAGCTATGCATAACAAACTTCCTATTGATAAGTTCCAGAAAGTATTATCCAAAACCGATTGGAAGTCTGTTACTGCTTGTATCAGTCAATTTGATTTCACACAAATAGTTTCTTGTGATGATCCTAACTTGTCTGCAAAGCTATTCATAACTAGTATATCAAAAATTACTGATAAAACACACAATAACAGCGTTTCCAGTCGCAAAAGGGTTCTAAAATCATGGATTACTCCGGGTGTAATAAAATGTATCCAGACCAGAGACAAAATGCATTTTGCGGTTAAAAAACATCCTTACAACAATACCTTAAAAATATCTTATGTTCGCTATAAAACCTACTGTACTTAATAACTTGTTAAAAAATCTTAAAATTGCCTTTGAACAGTCGGAGCTGAGGCCAGCCTCAAGAGATCCTAAAAATACTTGGAAAATTATACGACGACTAGCAAACCTTGATGAAATAAAAATTACTTCTAACTCTAAATTACTCTAGAATCAATAGAAGAAGTTAATGTTTTCTTTGCTACTATCGGTAGTCAGCTTGCATCTGAAATCCAATCCATTAGTTCGGACGACGATACTGATTATCAACCTCTCCGTCCATTACACTCATTTGCACTTCTACCAACTAATGATGCTGAAGTGGCCTCTATTATTCGAAACCTGAAAAATGATTCCGCCCCTGGTTGGGATAATATTTCCACAAAATTGCTTAAATCAAAGAAAATGTGATCGTCCCGCCTCTAACAAAAATATTTAACTTATCGATGGATACTGGAGTTTTTCCAAATGTTTTTAAAATTTCGACCATTCATCCTATTCATAAAGGGGGAGACAAAAATGATATTAACAATTACCGACCGATCTCAATTTTACCGGTAGTATCGAAAGTATTTGAGAGGATAATGTGCAATAGACTTATTAGATATTTGGAAAAAATAATTTATTATCTGAATCCCAATACGGATTTAGGGCTGGCAGATCGATGGAAGATGCTGTGCCTAATTTAACTAATTACGTCGTAAAACATCTAGATGGTAAACGCAAATGTTTGGGTATCTTCCTAGATCTTAAAAAAGCTTTTGATACCGTTTTCATACCCAAGCTGATAAATAAAATGGAAAACATTGGGATACGGGGTAAGGCTTTAGATCTTTTTTCAGACTACTTACACAATAGGGTTCAAAGGGTTAAAATTGATAATTACTATAGTTCGGACGCCTCGATAATATTTGGTATTCCGCAGGGCAGTGTCTTGGGTCCGAGTCTCTTCTTGATCTACATCAACGATCTATGCCAGTTACATCTTAATAATGGAAAAGTGTTCGCTTTTGCTGATGACACAGCATTAGTATTTCACGGAGAGACTTGGGATGAGGTACGAAAGGCTGTGGAGATAGTTTTGTCGGGTGATTCGATGGCTTAGACAAAATCTTTTGACAATCAATGTTCAAAAAACTAAATTCCTTCCCTTTTCAATTAGAGGAGACCCCATACTTAATAGTATTAATTTTATCAGGGCTCATGAATGTGGAAATAACAATAATAACACATGTTCATCTATCTCTATTGAAAAAGTATCTATATTTAAATACCTAGGTATTTATCTGGACTCGAAACTCAACTGGCAATATCATATTAATACAGTATCAGCACGCTTTCGCAAATTAGTTTGGGTTTTTAATAAATTACGACGGATTTCAGATATAACTCTTTTACAAACAGCATACTTTACCTTATGCCAATCTATACTCACTTATTGCAACTCGGTCTGGGGAGGAGCCTCTAAAAGTATGATTATCCCACTAGAAAGAGCTCAAAGATCGATCATCAAGGTAATGACCTATAAATCATTTCGGTTCCCTACTAAACATCTCTATTCTGACTGTCAATTATTAACAGTTCGTCAACTTTTTGTATTAAGAAGTATTCTCAGGCAACATAAATCTACTTTATTTGATCCAAAACTATATAAAATAAAAAGAAGAGCTCATAATATATGTCCGGTTTCTAAAGTTAACATTGCTTTCTCTCATAATTTTCAATGCTTCCTTGGCCCACATCTGTACAACAAATTACATAGAGAACTGGACATTTTTCCACTGAATTATTACTTGTGTAAAAAATGGTACACGCCTGGTTATTTTCGCTAGATTACGATTAGACCGAAAATTTGTTGACGACAGTAAAATAAGCAAAATAAGAAAATTAAATTCTGTAATTCTGATTTGTGTTACTTAATATATTCCATTAGACATACATATCTACACTTTCAAAACATCAAATAAAAACTCCTAACCACCTGCCAATCACATTGACCCTCATACATAACTCACGTTTAACAAATAAGCTTTAACAAATTTTATCCATTACCCATTGTTTTTCTCATATTTTTATACTATATAGACTTGAGTGTATTTCTCCAAATTCTATTTGTTTCTAACTGTGTTAATTATTCATGCTTAAGTTTGGTTGTAAATGTATTATGTACCAATGACTACTATTACAATATGGAAGGTCTGGAACCCTGTAAGACAGGTTTACCTAGTACAGGGTTCACAGAGCATAGATTATGTTATGTAATACATACTCCTTAAATAAAGAAATAAATGTATCTAAACGTAAGACAGAATAATAGCTACGCAAGTTAAAGTTATATCTACTTATAATACATATATAAGTTAAAGTTATATCTACTTATAATACATAGTTATATCTACTTATAATACATAGACAGCACGAACGACGCGGCGCGAACATTTACTAACACCGCAAGATACATTGAGCGAAAAAACCTAAAAACGGATTTTGGACCCAATTTGAACATATTATGTATCTTTTATAATATTATCAAATTAGGTCCAAAATTCATCCAACCATTCAAGTGTAATCAAAGAACAAACATACTCTCATAGTTAGATTCTCTCTTTAAATATAAAGAGTAAAGAGTTACTATAAAGAAATGTGTTTGTCCGGGATATATAGGATTGAGAAGGAGTAGGGGGGATAGGTATGCGAGCGACGGTATGCAAAATATTGCAAAGAGCTAGGTTTTTATTGTGCATCGGGTAAACTGAAAAATTGTTTGTCCAGGGTTGGGAGTACGTGCCTTCGTCGAATCCCAGCTCGCAGTGCTGCGGCAAGTGCCGGCCGGTGGCGTGCGTGTGCGAGGGCCGCCTGCACCCCGTCGGCCAGCTGTGGAGCTCGCCCGACTTCTGCACCAACTACACCTGCGTTGACAACAACGGAACTGTGAGTATAGTTATACAAACTCTTCACCTACGCTAAAAACGTAGAAAGGGTAGGGTCAGAGTCAACTACTTAATATACGGAAAATGATCTCTTCCGAACTGTGTCTGTTTAAAGTGCTAAAAATAAATAATTTACTAAAACGGTTAGTGTTACCCTTTATGTCAATTGTCAGTTTGTGTGAGGTGGGGTGTAGTGAGGTTCGTGCATGGTGGTGTGGTGTCCGAGCGTACGGGCGTGGTCCGATGAGTATCTCGTCGGCGTGTATGACCCAGTCGTCGTAGCGTAGGTTTGTGTGAGTTGGGGTGTAGTGAGGTTCCTGCAATTTATGATCCTCATTTTCACAATTACAGTCCTTTCTTTACAAGTCTATTGGTTGAACCTAGATCTGCCTCAAGGAATGCTACAAAACAAGATCCTGAGCTATCTGAATTAATCGACATCCTGAATGTTATTCATTTACTCTGCATTTTTTTAAACAAGTATTTGCTGTTCAGTTTATCCCAATATTAGGAAATTTATTTTCTTGAATTGAAATATCTTAAGTGAGCATAGAGGGAATTCGATATTTGATCGAATAGGATTCAATTAGCCGAATATTCGTTGCAAGTCGAATATTTAAACTACCTTATCAGCATATTATCGTAGCAGCGCCCTCTATGAAGTACGTTCCGCGAAGCAAAACCCGGTGTTGGTGAGACAGGAAGAGAACAGTGAATCAATCCTGTTCTTAATAGGATATTTTATTACACTTCAGTGTTTTCATAACGAAGATAAAGTTATTGAGAGCCCTAACCAAAATTTATGTCAAAGTATAAATGAACGTTTATAACATTTCATGTACTGATGTCGTACACCAGGACTTACATTCCCTCAAAAACAAAAAACCAAGAAACATACGTGCTATAGTAAAGGAGCAGATATTTAACGTTAGAATTTTTTTACTTAACATACGGTGTGTACTTCTTTTACAGTTACAAATCCAAAGTTCAAATGAAACATGTCCAGAAATAAGTGCGGCAATGCTGAAACAATTTGTCTACTCGGAGATAAAGATACCGGGCAAATGCTGTGCGAAACGTGAACCGATAGCTTGCCGTGTTGGAAACGAGATATATCAGGTTAATATGAATTTATTATACAATTATATTAGATATGTAAAAATAATTTAATATGTCCCTCATAGACTCATAGTCCTCTACACTCATAATATCCCATAGACTGCCTAATTGAGATTATGAGATGGATATGTTCAGTAACGGATTTTGATAATTTATTTATGAATGGATGAAGGTAATGATTTCTTATATTTACGCGAACACTACACATTGAATAAAACTATCTTTTACGGATTCTATCGCGTTTAATTAACTTATTTTATATTCCCGACGTTTCGGTTGCTGGATAAAATAAGTTAATTAAACGCGATAGAATCCGTAAAAGATAGTTTTATTCAATGGATGAAGGTACTTGAAATATCTTACGTTTGTATATTGGTTTTGGTTGATACATCTACTAATACATATGCATGGTAGATATTTATGAAATACATCTTGTTTAATTTGACAGAGAATTGCTATTTTGTGTATTCATCAGCAGGTGTGCATAGAATAAATGTGCGCATTTCTCAGGAGAGTCAAATGTGGCCTACATCTGACTCGTGTGTGAACACGGATATTTTTTTTTATAGAATAAGGGTGACAAACGAACACAATTCACTTGATGGTAAGTGGATACTGTGGCCCATAGAGATCTATCCTCGGTTAAGAATCAGAATGCAGATGTGTTGTCACCCCTAAAAACTAAGATGTAATGCCGCATTTCCAGTAGTAAGAGTGTCCGGTTCTCTACATACGAAACACAGCAGCATGAAGCTGCTATTTCACGCTCGTATTTTGCGATAGCGTGGTCCTTTCCCGGTTGAGACCGAATTTCGGTCACGGCGGTCAATCTTAACTAAGACCAGGACCATGCCCAGGACACGATTATAGTGCCTGAGTGTATGCGCAAACACAGACACACTCTCTATTCCCTTACTCTTATATTCCGTTGAGAAGGTAACCGGCACGACCGGCGAGAGATCAAACGCAGGACCGACAGCTTTACGTGCTTTTTGAGGCACGGAGGTAAAACACTGCCAAATTCCTGACTTCGGGCTGCTATTGAAATTTTCTTAATAGAAAAACTCAATAGCTGTTTTTTTTACTTGCTCCGGGATTCGATCCTAATACTACTAGTCCAGCGAGGCAGTTATGTCAGTAACATCGTTCCACCACGTGAAACACTGATATTTATCGCACGTCGTCACGCACGTATCTTCTGTTACATGTTGTATATTATAGTCTGTACCACTTTATGTGTATAAATAAACATTTTTTTATAGGATAGGGTGACAAACGAGCACACAGTCCACTAATGGTAAGTGGTAACTATGACCCATAGACATCTACATCTATCCTCAATAAAGACTCAAAATGCAAATGCGTTGTCACCAGTGAGGACTAAGACGGAATGCCTCTTTTCCAGTAAAAAGGGTCTCCGGTTCTCTACACTCACCATACGAAACATAGCAGCAGTTAAGCTACTAGCTACTATGTTACGCTGGTATTCTGTGAGAGCGTGGTCCTTCCCCGGTCGAGCCGACCCATACGTGCTACAACTATACTACTAATATAGCTGTAGCATGGCTCTACCACGTAAAGAAATAAACATTTTTTTGATATTTCTTTTCTATAAATGTGGTTATTTCGCAGGAGGGTCAAACGTGGCCGACATCGAACCCGTGTGTTAACATCACGTGTGCGCGCGACGCGTCCGGGCAGCTGGCGCACAAGGAGAGCACGGAGAGCTGCGCGCGCGACTGCCCGCGCGGCTGGCGCTACGCGGCGCCCGGCGCCGGCCTGTGCTGCGGCAAGTGCGTGCAAGAGGCCTGCGTCGTGGACGACCAACTGCGGAAGCCCGGTCAGTGTCCCTACACATACACAGGGTTAACCTGTGGCCAGACGCGGCCAAACAATTACATAGTTAACCTGTGGCCAAATGATACAGCTCATTGATTGATCGATTACTTCTGAGAACCATGTATACTCAGGTCCTGATTAACCTAAAGACTAATAATAATAATAAAATAGGTAAGAGTGTGGTGGAACCTACCCAGGCTTTCTAACAAAACAAACAATAAGTTAAATTTGCAATTAACAATTTTATTTACGCCGGTTTACTCGCATTCTATGAATTAGTAAGGCGAGCGCTTATCCAAAGAGCTACCACAGCACACTCAAATTTTCTTCTTTTTCTTCACTACTCCAGTAATGGTCATTACCCGTTGTAAATGTTTTAATCGCCACGCTTGGTAGGCGGATGGGACTTATAATTTACAATTCGTCAAGAAGGTATAAAAATTTCTTAAAAATATAGGCTATACGTTAAGTAATATGAATATAAAGTAATTGACATTTTCATTTCAGGCGAGACCTGGCAATCGGCCGACAACTGCACGACTTACGCCTGTGATCAAGACGGCGAAGAATTCTTCACAAAATCATCGTACCAGCTCTGCCCCGACGTATCCAATTGCGCTGCGGAGGACTTGGTCAATGAGACCTGCTGTCAGGTCTGCAAGCTGAAGCCTAGCCCGTTGAGTGAGTAAACTATGTTACTGTTTCAATTTAATTGTCACTTCTATTTGTTGGAATTAGTTCCATGGCGAGATTTCTATCCACTTAAAAGACACCATCGACCTTTTAATTTTTTTCATAAAACTGAAATGACAAACGTACTTATCTAGTCTGCCTAATAGTAAGTGGCTACTGCAGTCCATGAACACCAGCAGTCAACTTCTAACAAAGAAAGTTATATATGCGTTGTCACCTCTGAGGACTAAGATGGAATGTCCCGCAGCCTATACAAATCGCGGCACGTAAGTCTAGCGCTGAACGAAACGTGGAGAGAACTCGCACAAATTGAATTGCAAGAATCAGACAGGAGAGACAATCAACGCGTGCGAACGATACGCACGAGCCAATCAGCGCGACTTGTGCGCTATAAGCCAAACAGCGCGACTCATGCGCAATAACGGTCACCGATAGACTTTTGTGCCGCTACTTATAACTATACTGACTCTCTCTCTTCATACCGGAATACAGCAATGCTATCGCTGCTATTTAGCGGCAAAAATGGACAAGAAGGTGGTACCTACCCAGACAGACTCCCGGATAAAAATGTAGTCCTACCGATTTGTATTAGTTACATTTCACCAATGTTGTAAAAGAATGTATAATCCATGTTGTATCTTGCCTTTTGTGTGTCGGTAAGAGTCGCTTAATGACTACATTTCTGTATTGGAATTGACTTAGTGGAGTCTTAAAAAATCTAGTAACGACAGGTTACAAAGTTATTAATTTTTTACTTCTGAAAGGAAAGACATTGCTGTAACGTAAAAGTAGTGGACAAACTACTTTTAACTATAATCAATTTTATTGTACAGGTACGTGTGTACCAACGGCTATCCCGAGCGCGGAGTCCGTGGGTCTGATTAGAGTGCGTTTGGGAGCGCACGGGTTGTGCATCAATCGCTCCCCACTTGTGGGCTTCAAGGAATGTCGCGGAAGCTGCGACTCTGGCACCGTCTTCAACAACCGTAATTATTATTTTTATTTGTTATACTTCATATACCCAAAATTGTTTTTCCCTTGACTTCATTGATTCTATTTGGCTAGGTGGTCGGAATACTTCCGAAACTACTTGTACTATTATCTATTCTGTGCCGAAACTAATATGAACAACAAAAATGTATTTGTTTCTTAATGTGTGTGTCTGTTCAAACAGCTTGCAAAATAATCATCTAACATATCACTAGATCTTTAACCGACCGACCGGTGACAATAAGTAGATGTTAAGGCCAATAGATATCTACATCTATCGTTGATTAAGAATCGAAATGCGAATGCACGGTCACCCCCGAAAACTATGGAATGCCTCGTACCCAGTAAAAAGGGTCTCCAGTTATCTAATACGATCGTCAATTTATTTTCCAAGTGTATTGACACAAAAACCAACTTAGGAGAAGCTTAGGTCCAAAAACAGGATTGTTGCTTTAATTATACAAACCACTGGATTTCTTTCCTACGTTAGAATTGGTTGTGATTGGTAAATATTGTAATGTCCCCGTGTGGATGACCCTAATTAACCACTCCTATGCCGTTTTAAATGTACCGTTGGATACGTAAAAGTGCAAACGAGTGGATGGTAGTTTCTTCGCGCAATCACTAAAGACATTTTCATGATCTCCAATCTAACCAAGGAAATATAATTTTAGTCTTAACTTTATACAGCAACAACACAACAAAGCCCATAACAACAGAAACAACAACAGCAATTTCACGTTTTATTTGGTATCTACTGGGAGCATTCGTTAAACCAAACGGCATATTTCAGAAACGGGCGGTCACGATACGAAATGTGAATGTTGCGCTGCGGTTAAATACGAGCGGCTGCTAGTGGGGCTGGATTGCGAAGATGGAACTCTGCGAGTACACAGCGTCGCCTCCCCGCTACGTTGCGCTTGTCGACGCTGTGGAGGCACTAACGTCTGGCCGTCGAAGACGAAGACTGGTGAGTACAAACTATATTAGACTGGAATCTCCAATGTCGTGATCTCCGGTAGACTTACAAGGATTGAGAGATAGATGCCTTAATTATAAACTTAAAATAGTTGTGTTTTAACGATCACAATTTTCTTGAACAGTCACTAAAGGATATCATATAGGAGTAAAGTTAAAGAAGAAAAAGTTAAAGGATATAAGAAAAGGAGTTATATATGTATTTATAGTTTAGAGCCAAATGAAATGAATAGTTTTCAATTTAAATATCAAGTGTTGTTAAAAATCGAAAGAATTTAAACAAAAAATTGTAGTGGGGAACACTAGTCTGCGTTGATCTGGAATACATAGATCAACACCAGTAAGTACGAATTGGGCTAAAAGGATCACTTACTGCATTCTGCTAGCCACGTAAAAATAATGATAATACTAGACTTGAAGCGAGCATTGTCATTTAACCCTCTATTCCCTAGTAACGGCACACTACGGAAGACCGGCCGTGAGGTGTTTGACGCCGTATGAGACATATACATTTGAATTTGCTTTCAGCTGTTTTTATTATTGGTTTCACGGTATCTGCCGCTACCTATGCTACGGGCCTGGAAGAAGGAATCGCTCTTCGAAAAGGCCTAAAACATTCTGAATCTCATTAATAATGTACATAAAATATAGCATATGTTTTCTCCCATCGTAACATTACGTAGTCTGCGGCACGTGAAAAACCAAATACTTTGTAGAAAAAATTAACAATTAACGAAGATTCTAATAACTCTTCGATTTTGTCACAGGTAACCACGGATACGGATACGGATACAGTTCACCTCGTCCAATACAAGATGAAGATTACAATATCCCCGAGATGTTCGCGAGATTCGGTACGACACCGCCGCGACCAAGACTGTGAACGAGTATAAATAGCAGTAACAAATGACTTTAAATCACAGTTCACAGAACGTGTTTCATTGCGAGTCGATTGCTTATATGATTGATATTTATTGAAATTCAATGTCTGTATTAGTATTGTGTTTGAGTATTTTAGTGGATATATGTAAGACATATTATATTAGGTATAGGATACCTTGTTTTCTTTGTGCTGTGATTTAAAAAATCTAAAACCAAAGACATGTAAACTTACGCTTTTTATTAATCTTTTGTATTATTTTGTAAATAGCAATGAGAAAATATTATGAGTTTGTTTTATTTAATACATTCCTTTGCACGTAGATATTTAAATGAATTGATGCCATATTTCAAAATCAGAGCTAACAAATATTTTGCTCGCAATGTACCATTATCTATCATGTGGTTACAGCATGCTGCTGCCTGCAGTAATGTGCCCGTAATAGGCGGCGAATAGAGAAATACCTAGAAAGTTTAGGGCATTCGATAACGTCATAACCTTCATCGAAGCGTAAATGTACGACTGAACATGGGTCTCCCCTACTTCACCATATTCTCTAGGCTTACCTTCACCAGGATTTCATTCTGAAAACGCTATCACAGTACCAGACATTTTGCACCTTTGACACTGTTTCCTGTGTCGTCTGAGATATCGTACGTAAGTAAACGGGATGGTTTACCGTAATCAATGAAAAGCAGACTGTTTTAACTCCCTCGATTCAGGACATAGTAATAGATTCTTTTTACTTCACCACCATCCGGCAATAAGTGTGAAAATTCCAAATCACACATGTGTGAAATTATAGCAAAAATTTTAATATAAATTGTATTTATAGGTATAGTACTTTTATCTGGAGATGGTGGTTGGTTGGTCTTACATGTAGTACAAGTACCAATGCACATTGTTAGTGTGCGTAAGCTCGAGATTCAAAGATTATTATCGAGTACCGATTTTAGATACCGATATAGGTTTTAATAATGTAAAAAAATTATTACAATCTTTTGCTAAGCAAGAGAGCGTTCGTTTGGTTGTTAATACGTTCGTTACGTTCGTTCTTTATACGTAGTAGAGCCATGCTGTAGCTATATTAGTAGTATAGTTGTAGCACGAATAGGTCCGCTCGACCGGGAAAGGACCACGCTCACAGAATACCAGCGTAAAATGGCAGCTTGACACTGCTGTGTTTCGTATGGTGAGTGTAGAGAACCGGAGACCCTTTTTACTCGAAAAGAGGCATTCCATCTTAGTCCTCACGGGTGACGACGCATCTGCATTTTGATTCTTTATTGAGGATGGGTCACAGCAACCACTTACCATCAGGTGGACTGTGTGCTCGTTTGTCACCCTATCCTATAAAAAAAATGTAATTAATTGTTTCTAATTACGTATTATTATTCTATTCCGAAGATATCCCGGACGTCAGTCTGAGCGAGATTAGAATGGCTCTCCAGCACCTTAAAAACGGCAAGGCCCCAGGCGAGGATGGAATTACAGCGGAGCTACTGAAAGCGGGTGGACGACCGGTACTTGAAGTCTTTCAGAAGCTCTTTAATTCCGTCCTCCATGGTGGCACTACACCGGAGGCGTGGAGCAGAAGTGCGGTGGTCTTGTTCTTCAAGAAAGGTGACAACGCTCTCTTGAAGAACTACAGACCGATTTCCCTTCTGAGCCGCGTCTACGTGCTGTTTTCGAGAGTCATTACCAATCGTCTCGCGCGCAGACTTGACGACTTCCAGCCTCCCGAACAAGCCGGTTTCCGAAGGGGCTTTAGCACCATAGACCACATACATACCCTTTGGCAAATTGTACAGAAGTCCGAAGAGTACAATTTGCCACTATGTCTGGCGTATGTGGACTATGAGAAAGCCTTTGATTCCGTCGAAATTTGGGCGGTGCTACAGTCCCTTCAGCGGTGCCAATTTGACTGTCGGTATATCGAAGTGCTAAAGTGTTTATACAGTAGAGCTACGATGGCTATCCGAGTACAGAACCAGAGTACGAAACCTATCCAATTGCAGAGAGGTGTAAGACAGGGTGACGTCATATCCCCGAAACTCTTCAACGCTGCATTGGAAGACGTTTTAAGCTTCTGGGCTGGATAGGATACGGTATCAACATCAATGGCGAGTACATCACTCACCTTCGATTTGCCGACGATATAGTCCTTATGGCAGAATCGCTGGAGGACCTAAGCACCATGCTCAATGACCTCAATAGTATCTCCCAACGAATAGGTCTTAGGATGAACATGGACAAAACAAAGATTATGTTTAATGTCCATGTCACACCCGTGCCGGTAGTTGTTGGGAGCACTAAGCTCGAAGTTGTTGACGAGTATGTTTACCTGGGACAAATAGTCCGACTAGGTAAGTCCAACTTCGACCGAGAGGTCAATCGACGAATTCAACTCGGTTGGGCAGCGTTCGGGAAACTACGACACATCTTCTCGTCAGATATACCTCAAAACCTTAAAACGAAATTGTACAACCAGTGCGTGTTGCCAGTGATGACTTACGGATCTGAGACGTGGTCCTTCACTGCTGGCCGTATGAGGAAGCTCAAGGTCACTCAGCGAGCTACGGAGAGGGCTATGCTCGGAGTTTCTCTGCGTGATAAACTTAGAAATGAGTATATCCGCAGTAGAACCAGAGTAACTGACATAGCCCAGCGAATTAGTAAGCTGATGTGGCAGTGGGCCGGCCATATAGCTCGAAGAACCGACAACCCATGGGGAACAAAAGGTTCTTGAGTGGCAGCCTCGTACCGGTAGGCGAAGTGTAGGGCGACCTCCAACGACATGGAGTAACGACCTGGTAAGACATGCAGGAAGTCGATGGATGCAGGTGGCTCAGGATCGTGCTTTGTGGCATTCTTTGGGGGAGGCCTATGTTCAGCAGTGGACTTATGAAAGGCTGTAATGATGAATGATGATGATGAATTACGTATTGCTTACTTTAGGGTCGGCATATGGTCACTGATTTGCATCATTTTCACAATTTGAATTCATGCAAAGTAATCAAGATTAAAACTGTGATTTCTATGAAATTACCAATTCTTTTGTTTTTAACGAAAAATATTTTTATTTTCCCTATGTAGCTAAACGTATTTAGCTAGCTTTTTTAACTTATTATAAACCTGTGCTTGACAAAAATCCCACCTGGTGGTAAGTGGTGATAAAGTCCTAGATGGTAAATCGCACTGTCTTAGCGTAACCAAAGCCTATTCACTCTTGCCTTGAAGACGCTCAGAATGTATTTGAACGGAGAAAACAGACGATGAAAAATTATTCACGTACGCAAAAGCTTATATTATGTTGTACAATTACGATAGGCTGGCTATCGTTACCTGCAGTTACGTACATGTGCACGCACGCGTCTCTTAAACATCACACTTACAAGTAAGTCTCAGCTGCCTTCGTGAAATAAAACATCTATAATAATACCACTATGAACATGGTATCGCCATGCTGCAGATATATTATGGTTGTAGCACGAATGACCGATCGGGGTAGGAGCACGCTCTTACAAATTACCAGCGTAAAATAGCAGCTCTGGTTACGAGGCTTTCTATATTAGACCTTAGAGGTCACAACACATCTGAAATTTGATTCTTAATCGAGAATAGATGTAGATGTCTAGGGATAGGATAGTATCCACTTACCTAGTCAATTTGATTTAAGGTGGACTGTGATCGTTTGTCACCCGTATTCTATAAAAACATATGACAATATCTCAAAGTTTTGTGCTGATTGGAATAGTTTGGCATAAATGGATCCAAATACGGAAAATAACGTACATAGAAATCTAACAAACGTAATAAACATAATTTATTTTTGTAACAATTTTTTACTTCATCTATAAACATTTAATCGAAATTTTTTATAAAGTGCCACTTTCCCTAGTCCAAAACATCACTTTAAATACATGCCTATGGCAACATTTTATACATCAAACTAATACAGAAATTAGCTCAAAAATTGGTTGGTTTACGAGCTAATTTCGTCGTCCGGCAATTTCTGTGTATCACTGGTATTTTCCTTCTGCGCTTCTTTTTGATCTTCTTCCTCTTTCTGTTTCTGTTTCCTTAGTACTTCCGATAAATATTTACACCGCTGCATACATTCCTCCTGAAA